TCCACACTAGGGACTATATTCGTGGACAACGAAAATCAAAGGACGATAACTGTGTACTCGGACCTAATAGGGTAGAAAAAGTTGACCAATCTTAATGAAACTTGGTATGACTAAAGCTTAATAAATTATGACTGCTGACAAAGTTTCATGGCAATAGGATTTATATTATAGACAATATGACTAATTCTATATTCAACTTTGCGTGTTAAATTTAGACATTAAAATTGAAAATTTTCAACTATCAACATTTGGGGCTTAAAAAATTTAAATATTGCAAAATAATACTTTTGAAATGCCTTAATATATAATATATTATGTATTAAAAGCAATAAAGTACTCATTTGATTTATCAGACTTATCATAATTATTAAAAGGTCAAATTTATATGAGCCTGTGCCTAAAAATGGAGGTTTTCAAATGAAGGGGGGGGGGGGGGGGGGGGGGCTTACATGAAGATGTAATATTTTCCAGTAATTTTAAATTTGTAAAGCTTTTTGGTTATAAATAATCCTTACATATGTATCTAATGTACTTTAAATGGAAAGAAAACTTACAAATAACATATCATATTAGTTTAAAAGGGTCTTAGGCCAAGTAAGACTGAAAATAATTTAGGGTCAATTTAGGCCGTAGCACATATTTACATTTAAAAATGCATATTGAAGCTATAGGAAATAAAAATTTGTGTCTTATCTATCACTTCTATACTCAAGTGACATGATACAATAAATCTGAGCACAAAAAGACTCTTGCATTCAACTTTTTTTGCAGACAGTATGGTCTGATACAAAGATTTTTCACTTTTTAGTGAAAAACATGCATGCAATTTTAGTCTCAACAGGCTTATATTTGAACCACTTGCTATCCTACAGAAGAAAAGAAAGATATTATGTCACATGAAACAGGTACAAAAGACATTGTTAAGTGCTTTTTATACAAATTTAGTGAGGTCTTTATTATGGACTTCAACTTTTATGTTCCAAGCTCCTCACATTTAACTTGATCCAAACAGGGCGTTAGACGAGGGTCATATATACAACACATTTTGCACATATTGTATGAGATAATCTTCTTTTCTGTAGATTCAGAGTTCACAAATGAGTAATACAACTGGATTGAAGCATAGAAACACAAATATTGACACATAAAAACCTGTCCGATAGAAAGTCAGAATGCCATTTATGCATCAAAATTGAAAAAGCTATAAAATGCTTATTTTGACCATAAAATGCCCAAATTGGTCATTTTTGCAGAAATTCTATGAAATAAAAGTTTAAATACTTTAGTTTTATGCTATTTGACAAATTGACACCATCAAATCATTCGGGGAAGTTGCCAAAGTACAGATTCTATATTTCCTGATTTCACCTCTTAGGTCCGAGTACACAGTTATTTCGTAGTGCATTTCTTTTAGACAATAAATGAAAATTAAAAAAATCCCACCTGCGCTTTCTCAAAAATATTTTTACAGTGTGTTGTACTACTTTTGGGACAAATTATATCAAAATTATAGAAAACTTCATCGGCTCTAACTCAAAATATGGACAATTTTATGTTAAGGGGGTCTTCAAATCTTTTGACAGCTTCCGAAGTGCTAATTTTTAACATTTTTCAGCTGGACCAAATCACTACTTTACTTTAAAATTCATGACCCAAATTTTTTTACAGTGTCATTTCACCCCCCTACTTGCTATTTGAGTCATAAAACATGCAGAAATAAATATGGAAGGGGTATAAAAAAAATTAGCAAGTAACACACTGTCCACACTAGGGACTATATTCGTGGACAACGAAAATCAAAGGACGATAACTGTGTACTCGGACCAGTTAGTTCTTTCCGCCAGTTCTTTCCGCCCAGAACTTTCCAACGTCGGAACAAAAGAGTATTTACACAATTGCCTAGGTCCTTTTTATACTTTCAGTTAACAGGATCTGTATTTGGTACTAATACCACATAAACAGTATCAATTTCCTGCTCCTGATGCACATTTTCACACTATATGTGTCCAGCAATGTTCAAGGCCAATAATTTAAAGGTCCAAAACCTTATACACATATTGAAGAGCTGATAAAACCATAAAGGACCAAAAATACAGCCAAAGCCGGACCAGGAATCTGAGCTATGCATGAAGGAAATATATTCCTTAATTTAAAATGATTTCAAAAACTTTACAACAGTGAATTTTCATGAAAGAATATCAGTATTTTCATGTTAGCTACAAAGTGGTGAAAATTAACCTGAAAATGACAAGATCATTTGTAAGGTATATGTTTTTGGAGATGCAGTGTGGATTGAGAAATTGTTTTCCCTGGTCAGTAATTGTATTCCTATTAAAATCTTTAAAAAGACCAGGCTAAGTGGGAATGCCTGTGTATTTTTGGATGCACACCAGTCTAACATGTAGTGACACATTTTGATAATGTGTTTATTTTCTTGGTGGAAACGTTACGTGACATTCTGAAAACTACTAAGAATTGATATCAAAAACAGTTCATCCCTACCTTCTGGTTCATGTCTTGTAATAGTCACGTAGTAGCAGATTTGTTTATCTATGTGTTATAAAAGGTTCTGATTCATAAAATTCAGCCTCTAACTCGGAACAATTTAAGTTGATAATAACTTGGTTCTAATGCTGATGTATACAGTTACTGTAAATTCAGAAGTTACTGCGATTATTTTGGGTAATGATTGCATGAAATTCAATCAAAACCTTATGGTACTGACTTGATATCTATATCTCCTAAAGTTTATCACTACTTTTAATAGTTCAAACAAAATAGTGCAGTGAAGTGATCATTATTTGGATCCTATCCAGTTAATGTCATGCAATTTTTTGATAATATGCTATACTTAGATATTTAAGTTACAATATATGATGTGTATTTGAATTACCATACTTGTCAAGAAAACATTCTTTAATTAAAAATTACATAAGTAATGCATGGTGTATGAATCTGTTATTAAAATAGGTTCAACTACATATGTACAATCATGAACAAAGGAAGATAACTCCAACCCAAATTTTTGATTTGTCTAGCAAAATACAATTTCAATTTATTTAAAAAATTCACAAAATTGCAAAATGAAAGCAATCTTTACCCTTTAGTGCTCACAAACACTTTGATTAATAATGCAACTGGGTGAGTATTGCAATAATAAGAACTCACATTTTGATATCTGTTGCATATTTCTATACAGCTTTTCCTGAAATTGTAATAATGCTCACATTTATGTTCATTTTTCAAAAATCGCAATGATAAATGCATGCAATAATTTCTGAATTTACTGTAGTTTGCATGTTTTAAAGATTTTACATGTAGAATGATTTGTGTGTATAAATAAAACATTATCTTTCCTGTGTTATTTAAAGCACTGCAGTAATGTTGATTTTTGTCTTTTACAGAAGGCAATACTCCAGTCAGAGAGATATCTGTACAGACAGAGGAGACTTCACCACACTTGCTATATATAGCTTCTAGGCTATCAACTGATGACATGGGGCTCTACCAGAGTATTCTGTCTAAAGATCCCATACTTCCACAGGTTTTAATGGATGGAGATGACATTCAGGAAGAAGAAATGACGAGCTCTGTTCAAGAATCAGAACAAGAAGAAAATATTTCAACAAACAGAGTTGATGACATGTCACTAAAAGGTATCATTTAACTGGCCCAATGGTTCATATGATCAAATGCCATCACTTGATGTAGGTAATGTGATAAAATTCTTTTCTGAACGAATTAATTTAAAATTATCTTGATTGTTTTTTACCCTGAATTTTTTTTTATATATGAAGAGATTTTTCTTCATGACCAAAACTATCTGTTGACACCTTGAAGGAGTTTTTTGTGATGAAAACGAAAGTTTATGCTCTTGAAAAACTATTTATTTGCACTTACTGTTCAGAGATCTGAAACTTTGAAACTAATGAACCAATTAAACAAACTCGACAAAAAGGATTTTATATAGTTTTCTAGATTTTAGTTAAAGTTTGTGATTTATGTTCCATTCTATCAACCAACATGACCACCATGAATAGAATTAGAAAACATGGGTAAAATGCAAGTAATTGAAAACTATAGTAGATAAGTGAATGAATATTACCTATATGATTTTTGAAAGAGACTTAACTAAAAAAAAGTAATTGTCTTTCATTTTCAGATTATTAGTTTAAACAGTGGTAGAAAATTGCAAGATACCCTGTTTCAGATTTGACATTAAATTTTATAAAACTTGACATAACTCATATTATTCATATGCTAACTAAATTATTACAAAAGAAAACACATATGGTTATGTATTTGTAGTTCCTAGGCTAGTGTGTTAAGAGCATGAGTTTCATATTTTGTATGTTAATGGTGTCTCATAGACATTGCGAAATATTTTTTAGATCCATTGGACTTGTGCTCCCTTTTCAAAGGGTCTGCATGAAAAACTGGGAAAAAACCTCTTGACCCCTGATTAATGATTTTTAAATCAATTCTTAACACTCTGTATTTATTTTCAGAGCCATTCACTGAAAGACTGTTTCCTAGAATTCCTTTGAGGAAAACTGCACCAAGAGGTAGGGCCCATGTCATCCAAAGGACCACAAGTAGGACTACATCACTGTCCTCTGTAAATGTAAACAAAGACATTAAACACAAGACTAGTGATATATCTGGAGAGAATATTCTACCATCTTGCTCTTCATTCTTTAAAGTAGATGCCCATAAAGGTCAGAGTTTAAAAAACATGGACTCTGCAGTGGAAGTTAATAATAAAATTTCTGAACAATCATGGTGTAAACAAAAAGTTAGTAATAGCAATGACAAGATGTCAAAGAATTTTCTGGATGTTGATGTTTGCTCATCCCAAAATAGTGCTGCAGTGATTAGAGAATATAAGAAAATCATCTCAAATCGTAAAACAAACATTCTGTTAAGTGGTGGTTTGGGTATAGGGACAAAATCTACAGTAAATAGACAGGACATCTCTGACACATCACATGAGACTGATACCGAGGTTTACCAAGGACTTGAGGAACAAGAACAATGTATGGGAGAGAGAAATAATAATAGTTTGTATCCTGTAAACAGTGATATGGCTAAACATGATAGTCTTTACAATGCACACAGTTCACCAGGAACAGTAGTAGCATCTAACACTGAGGAACATTTTGAGTTCAATGAAGAAAGAACAGAAAATCCAGACGTCTCTTTTCCTAACAATAGCTTGAAAAGTCCAATTGTTAAAAATGATCTTCATGGAAGGAATGGATTTGAAGAAACAGTTGAAGATGTTAAGCAGAAGACTGATGGAACTGATGCAAAAGAGCCAGAAGTTGAAAAGGCAAACAGTGTACCATCTGTATCTGCAACTGTAACAGCTATAAATGACAAACCTGTAAATCAGTCTGAAAAAGAGCAGCAAAATGATAAAAACAAAAAGGAGTCAATAAATGTAGAGAGTGAGATAAAGAAAAGTGCTGAACAAAAGAAAATCATGAATACAGACAATAGTGAAACTATTCATAGAAATACAAATTTGATTGCAGGCAATTCTATTGAACCAAACAATGAAGGAATAGAAAATTCCAGTAATAGTTCAAATAATGTTACGTTAGGAGGAGTTGCTTCCTACAAAAGATGGCAACATGAAAATTTATTAAAGAAAAAGTCCTTTGTTACTCAAAAAGAAGACGGCAATAATAATGAAACATGTGGTACTTATGGCGACAGTTCTATAGTGATACAACATTCACATGAAAAACCATATAATACTTCCGATCAAAAAGAAAATTCAGACCAGAACAGAAATAAACTGGACAAAATCAATAAGCCTGGACAGCATCAGGGAGGTGTATTCTCCAGAGGAGGGAGGGGTGATATAAAAGAATCTGAAAATAACAATGCTAAGAGTGATTCACATATGCATTTAAATAGTTTGTCTCCAATATTAGAATTGCTAGAACCTGATGTTTCACTAGATAACAACTGCTTTAAAAGTCTCCTACCTCCTCTATTGAGACCAACGGTAACAGTAGAGGCAGAAGTTCATACATCCATGAGAGAAATGGAAAAAAGACAGCAAAAGGAAAGTTGTTCTGCCGAAGGGATGCATTGTGATCTTGGTCAATCACAAAATAAACATATACAAGAACTGCTAGGACAACTTGATATAAGTGATATAGTAGGTGCATCAGGTATTACTACTAGTACTCCAGAAAAAGTGATGCAAGGTGTAAATAAAAAACAAAATCGTAAGAAACCTAGGATGGCAAATAAAGGGAAAGAAATAACAAGACCAAGGCATATAAGAAGTTGTGCTCCTACTGTGTTTTATAAACAAAATAAGAAAAAACTCCAGAAGCAAGATTTAGAAATGTTTGACACAAAGTTAGCCCAATCTGCAAATAATTTGAGTAAAACCAATCAACTAAATCATCATTTCATGGAACAAGAAGTTGCAAAAGTTGCAAACCAGGAAGCACTGACCAAAAGGTCCACCACTGAACATACCATTGAAATTAACATGGATGTTGATCATAGTTCACAGAAAATAACGACCATTTCTGCCCCACTACCAGTCACTGGACGTATCATAGGGAAAAATTGTATGAGGAAAAAAAGGTCTAGATATGAAAAAATATCAAGTCTTGAACCTCCGCTTAAACTCAGAAAAATTAGTTCAGATGAAAATAGTGCACTTATAAATAACTGTTCTGATGAACAAGTTAAAACTATAGCTTTAGATCAAATAATAGAATATGACAAAAGTGAAGACAGAAATTCTTTTGTTGGAGAAAAGGAATTGGCAAACCAATACGTAGAAAGTTCTGAAATATTGAGTTCAAAAATTTATGTAGCTGAAATATACAGTGAAGACAAACATGGAAAGGAAAAAGATATAAATAAAGATGTGTATTGGAACTACGGTGCAACATCTGAGATGGAAGGTATTGTTGAATTACAAGTTGATGATGGAGATAACATTGAATCTGGAATTGGGTCTGATTCAGATTGCAATAACAAAGATGGTGGGGATTTAAATGGGGAACCAGATTGTGTCAATGTTCTTGGTAACAACAAAAATCTTGACAATCAAGAATCAACTAATGGATTAGATACAGAGGTAGATAATATTATGAAAAGAACAGATGAAGACCAAGAAGCAGTGAACTTTGAGGAAACTAGAAATGTAATAAACACTGGATTCAGGAACTCGCCCAAAACTGCTAGTTTACGTGAATGTTGTAGTTTAAGCAATGCAAACCAAGTGGAAATAAACAGTGAGAGATATAATGATGTAAATCTGCATACTGCAGGCACTGAGGAGATGACAGATTTCATAGCTGGTAGAATTAAGGAAAAAGCTGCAAAAAAGTATGGGAAGTTCGAAAAGGTTTGTTTTTGTTTTGCTTTGTTGTTGAAGGTGAAGGCCGCAGACCACAATTAAATTTCTCTATTAGTTCTTTATAACGTTTTGTTTCATTAAAAAAATTGCACCATGCATTTTTGTCAAATCTTTTGTGTGTGTAATGTATAATATTAGTCTAAAAATATATCCAAAATTCAGAAAGATTGAACCAATCACTCTTACAAATTTAGCCAATACACATCCATACCCCTATGGACAAGTCAAGAGAATGTTCCGAAAACTGTAAATATCACCTTTTTGCACCTGGCCTTCTCACTCTTTCCACATCAAAATCAGTTAAAATACAACATCCAAAAGTTTATTTCACCTCTCTTCTTTCATTTCCACCCAAAAAAAACTAAGAAATGAGTGAGGAAGGGAAAGAAAAAAAATTAAGAAAAAATACACTCTAATTAAAAGGAACTATATTCGTGGACAACGAAAAGCGGGGTCATTAATTGTGGTCTTGGGCCTATTAGGGGTCTAAAACTTGACCAGTTCTAATAAAACTTGGCATGATTTAAGCTTAGTGTTTTATAAAACAGTTTACAAAGTTTCAAAGCCATATGATACCATTTATAAAAAATGTGGCATTTTTTATATCAGAACTTTGGGTGCTGAATTGTGGCGTTGAATTAGAACAATTTCAACTATCAAATTTGGGCTTTTAAAAACCAAAAGATACCAAAACTTGCACTTTTTAATGTCTCTATGTATAAGTTATCACCTATTAAAAGCAACAGATATCATACTTCATGTTTCAGACTTATAAAAAATGGCCAGAAGTTAATTTTATATGAGCATGTGCCAAAAAATAGAGGTTTTCAAATGAAGTGAGGCCTTATATGAAATGTAATATTTTTTACTTACCACAATTTTCTGAAGTTGTTAAGTTATAAGAAAACCATTTTACATGTTATAAATGTACTTTTAATGGAAATATAAGTTTCAAATACCAGAACACATGTGGATAAAATGGTCTTCTGCAATGTCAACAGGGGTTCAAATTAACATTTGGTACTGGAAGGTCCAGGACCTTTGACACTCCAAACTGAAAGGTCCACAACCTAAATTCCAGGTCCTACTTTTACTTGAAATATTTCCTAACATAGTAAGATACAAGTTACAAAATTAATGTGCTGTTGGTGTGAGGTCAACTTGTTTCATTGTCAAAGTCACTGTTGTATAAAATATTTAATAACAATTGTAATTGTCTTGTATATTATAAATTCAGATAATCCTTTTTTTTTTGTTATTGAGGAGGGTGTCACCATGGGTGGGTGTGTTTTCTCAACTATTGGTAATTTATTACTACTTATACCATTTTATAAAGCAGTTCAAATTCAACGCTGTTTAAGCAGAGACGTATATACATGTGTATATATGTCTCTGGTTTAAGTGTATCATATCTAGTTGTACTATTATAATGCATTAGTTCCTCTGTGAAAATAAGATAAGAAACTTCCAGATTTGTACTGGTCCTTTAAAATTGAGAAGACATCACCTCTTGGAATTGTAGTAATACGTTTACACTTTACAAAAATCTACATGTAATATCAATATTTATTAATGATAAAGAAAATTACTGTCACATTTTTTTGGATTTTGAGATGAAAATTTATAAACTAAAAGTAATTTTGAGTTTCTGTAAAAAAATATTTCCTACTTTTTTAGCTCACCTGACCTGAAAGGTCAAGTGAGCTTTTCTCATCACTTTGCGTCCGTCGTCCGTCGTCCGTAAACTTTTACAAAAATCTTCTCCTCTGAAACTACTGGGCTAAATGCACCCAAACTTGGCCACAATCATCATTAGGGTATCTAGTTTAAAAAATGTGTCTGATGACCCCGCCAACCTACCAAGATGGTCGCCATTGCTAAAAATAGAACATAGGGGTAAAATGTAGATTTTGGCTTATATCTCTGAAACCAAAGCATTTAGAGTAAATCTGACATAGGATAAAACTGATTATCAGGTCAAGATCTATCTGCCCTGAAATTTTCAGACAAATCTGACACCCTGTTGTTGAGTTGCTGCCCCTGAATTGGTAATTTTAAGGAAATTTTGCAGTTTTTGGTTATTATCTTGAATATTATTATAGATAGAGATAAACTTTAAACAGCAATAATGTTCAGCAAAGTAAGGACTACAAATAAGTTTCCATGACCAAAATTGTCAGTCGACCCCTTTAGGAGTTATTGCCCTTAATAGTCAATTTTTAACAATTTTTTGTAAATTTTTGTAATCTTTTACAAAAATCTTCTTCTCTGAAACTACTGAGACAAATTTAACCATACTTGGCCATAATCATTATTAGGGTATCTAGTTTAAAAAAATTGTCCGATGACCCAGCCTTCCAACCATCATGGCCGACTTGGTTAAAAATAGAACATAGGGGTAAAATGCAGTTTTTGGTTTATAACTCTGAAACTAAAGCATTCAGAGCAAATCTGACAGGTGGCAAAAATGTTCATCAGATTTAGATTTATCTGCCCTGAAATTTTCAGACGAATCGTACAAACCGTTGATGGGTTGCTGCCCCTGAGTTAGTAATTTGACAAAAATTTTGCAGGTTTTTGTTATTATCTTAGATATCATTATAATATCTAATATCTAATACTATTAATTATGATTTTAACCTTATTTTACATGATTTCCAAAGCATCAGTAAATACAGGTGATCGAGCGACACAGGCTCTTGAGAGCCTCTAGTTTGTTATTATCTTAGATATCATTATAATATCTAATATCTAATACTATTAATTATGATTTCAACCTTATTTTACATGATTTCCAAAGCATCAGTAAATACATGAGAGCCTCTAGTTTTCTTTTCAATATATCTTCTGGTTTTCAATTCGAGTGTTTATATTTTATCATCATAGATGTATTTTGTCAACTGCCTGGAATTATTATTTTTTCATTGTATTTGATCGGCAAACCCGGAATTACCCTTATCCGCTCCGGAATCAGATCCGTTTTTTGTTATTTTCTTCATTTCCGGTTTATGGCATCCAATGTTTTTCAATGTTGTTTTGTCAGTCAATTACGATTTTACCTCGGATTTACACATTACTAGTTGGCAATTTTCGGTATAAAGCTAGCGGTTGAACAAAATGCAAATCGCTGTCATGAATAATAATGATGAAAATAAATTTTGAGATTGTTTGGAAATTTTAGTTTAAAAAGATCGGCAAAGTTTATTTTTATTTTCTTTCAAACCGAAGGTCCGTCGGGCGTAGCTTGTAACCAAAACGAGAGTCCGACTGCAAAAATGGAAGGTCGCGGACCTCGGACCACCGCTAATTTGAACCCCTGGTCAAGCTTTAAAAACATGTTGTCAATTTAGGCCGTTCTCCACATTTGCATATTAAAAATTATATAATAATATGGGAGATGGAGATATAATGCTTCTTTTTGCTCAAATCTTTGCTTAGATATGATAAAACATGGAACCTGGATGTAACAAGACTGTCACTTCCAACTATAAATGTAGACAGTATGGTCTGATGCAAAGTTATTTACTGTACTTTTTAAAACCGGCATGAAATTTCAGTCTCAAAAGGCCAATATTTTAACCACTAGTTATCAAACAAAAGAAAACAAAGGTAGTCTGTGAAACAGACAAGGCCAAACAACCAGTAATAAGTGCTTTTGATACAGATTCAGTGAAATTTACTAAAAGGAATTGAACTTGTATGTGCATAGAACCTCATTTTTCACTTGCTTCATACTGACCGTTAGACTAAGACCATTAAAGCAGCACATTTTGCACTCTTATTCTGATCTTATCTACTTTTTTCTTGTGTTCATTGTTCAAAAATGAGTTAAACATCTACATAAGATACCACAAACACAAATAGAAAACCTGAAAAATCTGTCAGAAAGAAAGTAAGCATGCTACTTTTGTAAAAATATTGAAACAACTGAAAAAGTTCAATTTTGGGCATGTAGGCTGAAAAGTCTCTTTTTTACAAAATTTCTATCAAATAAAAGTGGAAATCATTTATTCTCATGTAGTTTGACAAATTAATACCAATAGATCATTCAGGGAAGTTGTCAAAATAAAAATTCAATATTTCCTGAATTCACCTCCAGGGCCACAGACCACAATTAAATTCCTCTATTAGTTCTTTATAACGTTTTGTTTCATTAAAAAAATTGCACCATGCATTTTTGTCAAATCTTTTGTGTGTGTAATGTATAGTACTAGTCTAAAAATATATCCAAAATTCAGAAAGATTGAACCATTATCACTCTTACAAATTTAGCCAATACACATCCATACCCCTATGGACAAGTCAAGAGATGTTCCGAAAACTGTAAATATCACCTTTTTGCACCTGGCCTACTCACTCTTTCCATATCAAAATCAGTTAAAATACAACATCCAAAAGTTTATTTCACCTCTCTTCTTTCATTTCCACCCAAAAAAAACTAAGAAATGAGTGAGGAAGGGAAAGAAAAATAAATTAAGAAAAAATACACTCTAATTAAAAGGAACTATATTCGTGGACAACGAAAAGCAGGGTCATTAATTGTGGTCTTGGGCCTGAAATGTCAATTTAAAAATTTTATTGTTTAAATTAATTTGTATTTAAACAAAGGGATTGCATAAAGGCTCAGTCTGTATAAATCCTTTCCCATACAAGATGGGAGGTGATATGTGTATGCTAATCTAATTGTGGCACATTGGAGACGGGATTTCATTTTGTAAAAAGACTAATACTTCATTATGTTTAAAAGTTAATTTGAATATTTAGATAGTATCAAGTTTTCTGTCGAGAAGATGTTATTTAGCTGTAACTTCTTATTTGGGTCACTCATACAAAATCTGTTTCCACATGCACTTTATTAAAAAAACTTGGTATTTCAAAAAACTTGTGAGTGCAATCTTCTAAAAATATGTGTTCAAATAAAGAATTGCAAAGGTTGGGGATTTGTAGTCATTCATGAGCTAGGCAGTGCTATTCTATCAATGTGTTCATGGAAATGTCAGTATTTCATTAAATCCATTATGTTCATTGGTAGTACAGAAGTACTATAAAACAAATGTATATGTATGAAAATAGTTTAATTTCAATTAAATTGCAATCCAATAAAACTTATGATTAGGATTCAGAAGTCTTTGAATTTACTTACAGATTGGAAGAGGTACAGCAGGATGGGAAGATTCCTTAAGACAAAAACCTAGAAAAACTGAATTATTTCAAGTCAATCCTGCTCCTCAGAAACTACTGTCTAAAGTTGCTGAAAACTCTGGTTCTGGAAACAGTGAATACAAAGAAAAGAATAAAAAAGCTAAACGTGGTAGGCCCAGATTGCATGAGAAGGCCAGTGGAGACCATGAAATTGATCCAACCTTAGAAATAAGAACAGACCACAAATCGTCTGATGTAAGTTATGTTGATTCAGGTTTCTATTTGAAATTATCAGCAGGATTGTGTTATCTGATTTATGAAATGCTTCAACATTAAATGCAAATTTCTTGTCATTGTTTATTCCTTTGCTACAAAGTTTTAGTGTTTGTAAGGCCTTGTCTATAAGGTTTGTGACGGTCTGCCCATAGGTTGATTTAGTTCTGGTCATTATTACTATTTCTGATTATAATGAAGGATGACCATTTTGACTCTTAAGGTCAAAGTTCCTGATCAAGGAGAGACAGATTAAAAGCATGTCCAATCCTCTTCTAACTGGGGCTACATATATTAACTAATATTAAGAGAAGGCTCTTCGTTTAGGTATCTATGTTTTGAAGCATTCAATATTATTTTATGGTTCTATAATGAAAGTTTTATTGGGTGAAATAAAGAAATATTTACCAACCAGAAATTAGTTGTTGGACGTAAGGTTGTCCTAAATCTATCAAATTTTGCACTTCCTTTGGTATAACTGAAGTAAGAAGAAAATTGTCAACAAGGATCAGTTATTAGGATTTTGACTTCTAACAACCATTATTTCCATTCTGACACAGGTCAAATTTTGTCTGTTAAAGGTATAATCTTAATCCTAATAATTAGCAATAATGAGACTATATAAAGGCTTCTGTTCTAAATTGTTTCAAACTGAAACATTAAGATATTTGAACTTAAATTTTTCAATATTGTATATATGAGTTTTTTTATTTTTCAGGATCCAAATTTTGGGCAAGTTGTTTGGGGCAAGCTAGGAAGACAGCGATGGTGGCCTGCCATTGTTCTAGAAGGTTATATGGTGCTGAGAAAACAAGCAGAACCTGGTCATTCATGGCTCTTTTGGTTTGGTGATCACAAAATAACTGAGGTAAAATTTAAAACACAAATTTCTTTGTAGGTTGGAAAATTAAGAAAAAGTCCAGATCTTGAGGTTGAAGATCATTTTGTCAAATGTAACCTACTTTAGGTGGGAATATACTAATTTCTTTACTTATTTTGAAACAAACTTGGACATAAATTAATAAGCAAGCAGAATTTCACTTCCATAATTTTTTGTTTTGCTGCAACAAGTTTTAGAGGCAAGACTTAGGTGTGCTTTTTAATATATATTTCTATTGCCAAGAAAAATGTCTACAGCTTTTTATTTCCAATAGTTGTATGATATCACAATTTTTTTTATCTCTTTCAGTCTCCTTCTTAGGGACTTTCATAAAGGCCTATAAGTTAAGAAATGCTTTGAAAAAAAAACAGATGAAAATATCTCTTTCCGTTTTAAAGATGTGTTATTTTTTCAGAAAAATATTGAAAAATGAACTTTTGTGTTTTTACATGAAACATACAAATTTCAAACTGAAATATCTCAAAAATAAAGTCATGAAGGTATATTTTTCTTTTGATATTTCAATAGTGCATATCAAATTAACTTTTTGCCAAAATTTAAAGGAATGGCCTCTTCATATATTAAGGTATACACAAAGTGCCACTGGTATAGGTCACCTTTTTTGGAATGTCAAATATATCAATAGGGTGCAATTTCATTGAGGTATTATATCAATGGGTTGCAATTTACATGTCAATGGGACATCTTTTATAAAGATGTCTGTAAAAACCGTTTTGATCTTTTTATGTAATGATATGACTGATCCTATGTGGTTAATGTCTAAATAGGATATCATGATAGTTGGGAAATATATGTAAATGGGTGGTGATTTTCCTATGAAATATATGAATAGGCAGGGTTTTTCGCATAAATCAATATTTGAATGGGGGTGTCTTATAAACCCCAGCCAGACGTCTGTACCCCAATTTGTATGTTGAGACCCACTCGTGGAAAAATCAACCTTTAATTGATTATTATCTATGTTAGAATATATATTTTCAGGTTTCCAGAGAGAGAATTGTTCCATTTGTTGCAAATTTTATTAGAATGTATGGAGGTAAAACTATAGGAAACCTCTTCAAACATGGAGTCGAAGAAGCAATTAAGGTACAGTACCAACTGTTTAACTTTTACAAGAACATACTTAAACTGTATATTCAAACATTGTTTAAATATAAAAGTTTACTTAAATGTACTTGGTTTGCAGCTTTAAATTACCAATTGATACATTTAACAAGGTATACAGATAATATTTTAGAAGACACATATCTTAAATCAATCTAATAATGCACATGTTTGCAGAAGCAGCACTTTACCCAAATTTAAATGGAAAACGGATCACGTCGATAAGGGAACAATTCTGGAAAACTAAGTTATGAAAATAAAATAAAATACAATCTGTATGTGTATTCACAAAAATGTATTCACATGAATTTATTAGATACATTTGTGGAATGAATGATATTCTAAATACTTATAAAATGAATTAGGCTATATCTTACCAAATAGTGCTTCCCTTAACTATAAGGTATATTAACCTGAGGGATACTAAGTTAAAAGCTGTAAACTAAGTTGTTACAGCAAATGTGCAATAAAGAAATTGTTATGTTAAAAAAAAAACCCAAAAAACAAGATATACAATCATGTGATTGATATCATTTTACCACATCCATATGCAAGGGCTACAATTGTATCGTAAACTGCATTATTTTCAATAATCATAAATAGAATTTGGTTGAGAATTGATTACTTGTGTTTCTATTTATGTGTTTTGTTGTCACATTGAAATTGAAAATGTGCAGAAACTGTTTGATTTTCTTCAGGTTTCTGCAGAGAGATGTAACTACAACTATTCTACCAACCAACTTTTGGATTGGGCATTGAAAGGATTTTTAGAAGAAAGCACATCTTCACCATTAGATAACAATATTTTCCTTCCTTCTAAAGGTAAATAGTAGTAATAGCTGAATGCTTTCTTGCTTTACATTAGTAAAACATTTAATCATACCCCACGCAACGAGTTGCTGAGGGTATAATGTTTTTGACCCGTCCGTCCGTCTGTCCGTCCGTCTGTCCGTCAGTCCATCAGTCCTGTTTCTTGTCATCGCAACTCCTCTCAAACCACACAACAGAATTTCACGAAACCTTTTTAGATAATAAGGACATACTATGTAGTTGTGCATATCGACAGGAATTTACGATTCAATTCTTTTTCTAGGAGTTACGCCCCTTTGAACTTATTTACTTTAATGTACTACTGCAACAGTTTGTCATCGCAACTCCTCTCAAACCACACAACAGAATTTCATGAAACCTTTTCAGATAATAAGGACATACTACGTAGATGTGCATATCGATAGGAAATTACGATTCAATTTTTTTTCCAGGAGTTACGCCCCTTTGAACTTATTTGCCCAATATACTACAACATTTTGTCATCGCAACTCCTCTCAAACCACACAACAGAATTTCATGAAACCTTTTCAGATAATAAGGACATACTATGTAGATGTGCATATCGACAGGAAATTGCGATTCAATTTTTTTCCAGGAGTTACGCCCCTTTGAACTTATTTGCCCAATATACTACTGCAACCTTTTGTCATCACAACTCCTCTCAAACCACACAACAGAATTTCATGAAACCTTTTCAGATAATAAGGACATACTACGTAGATGTGCATATTGACAGGAAATTACGATTCAATTTTTTTTCCAGGAGTTACGCTCCTTTGAACTTATTTGCCCAATATACTACTGCAACCTTTTGTCATCGCAACTCCTCTCAAACCACACAACAGAATTTCATGAAACTGTGTAGATAATAAGGACATACTATGTAGATGTGCATATTGACAGGAAATTATGATTCAATTTTTTTTTCTGATACAATTTTTTTTTTCTTACACTTATTTTATTTCTCCAATGACAATGTGGGGACGTGGGGTATGTGAGCGCGCTCACTAAGGTTCTTTCATTATACCAATGTTTTTGACCTGTCTGTCTGTCAGTCAGTCCTGTTCTTGTCATCGCAACTCCTCTAAAACCACACAACAGAATTTTATGAAACTTTGTAGATAATAAGGTCATACTATGTAGATGTGCATATCGATAGAAAAATTATGATTCAATTTTTATACCCCTGCTTTAAAAAAGTGGGGGTATACTGTTTTACCTCTGTCTGTCCGTCTCATGAATATTTTTTGTCGCATCTTTTTCAGGAACTACATCATAAGGATTTCAGAAGTTTGGTTTCAGGGTTTAAATAAGTCAGCTATACCGTGTGATGCGTTTTCAGATTCATCACTCAACAACTTCCTGTTTACCGAACACTTACATATTTTTACACTATTAAAATTATCCAGTTGCGGCGGGGGTATCATCAGTGAGCAGTAACTCACAGTTTCACTTGTTTTCTAGGAGTAATGCCCCTTTGAACTTAAGAATTTTGGCCAAAATATACTACTGCAACAGTTTGTCATTGCAACTTCACTGAAATCAAACAACAGAATTTCATGAAACTTAATTGATAATAAGGACATAATATGTAGATGTACATATCCACAAAAAAATTTTATCAGTTGACTTTTGTAGGAGTTATGAGTCTTTTAACTTAGGAAGCTGTTGAGATTTTGTTTGCCCAATGACAATGTGGGGCCGAAGTGTATGTGAGCATGCTCACAAAGGTTCTTTAATTGTTCATGAATTTTTTGTAGTACTTGATTTAACAATGCCTCTTCCATTTTGAATACACCTGTGTGTCTGTTTTACCTCAAAGAGTAAATTTGCTGGTAAGATGGTGTTGGACTAGTATTGGAAAAAGATGAATGCCCATTTGCCTGGTACTAGTCAGGAACCTTGTAAGTGGTTGTCTTGTTTTGGGGAGTTTAGTATTGATGGTTGATACCTTATGGAAAACAACATTCTCTGGGAATGACACCTAGCTTATTTTGATATTTTCACTTCTGCCATTCAAGAGTTACTGTCCTTGATTAATTAGAAAATGGCAAATAATGTGGTCTCCATGCAATATCATGAGAACCTTTCAACCAATGTTTTTCAAATTATTACAAGAAAGAGGTCAAGTATGATATTTACAATTTTCACTTTTGTTGTTCTGGAGTTATGGTCGTTTGTTAAATTGGAAAATAACACTTTATGTTTTTTCAGTGCAAGAAATTTGAGAACTGATTGATCAATGCTTTTCAAATTTTAATATCTATTATGGATGACAAATCTGAGGTCAAGTTTGTTAACCCTTACCATGCGGGGGCCGTAATATTACGGCCGTACCCAGACCACCGTTATTTGGCACTAATGGCGCTCCATACATTTGGAGGTCAACGTAATGCCATTTAATTCGAAATGTATGCATGTTTCCTTAATCTTACACCATTAATTGTCATCTTTCTCACTTTTAATGTTCATTTTGAGCTCAAATACGAACTTGGAAAATTGAAATCGGACAAAATTGGGTTATTTGGAGGGGTGGGCTTACCTTCGAGGTCTGAAACATGAAGTTGTGAGGCCTGAAACTTAGACAAATAGTGTAAACCCCAAGGCATATAAATACTGATCGTGTCTATTATCAAAATACGCCTAGGCAACGACTACTTCCGGTTGCAGGTCCAGTTAAAGTAAAAAATCGGAAAAAGTCGGAAATTTTTAGAATTTTGGTGCAAATGACCTTTTTTAGACTGGTGTACCCAGATCAGTTTCACTCCGACCTAACAACTGTTGTGATTAATGTGTTCACTGGGGTCCACCCTACATGCAAACTACAGTTGGATGCATCTATTAGCATCCCTCGGACTTCCAAGTCGAGAAAAAGAACGTAAAAACGTCAAAACTGACGCCTTTTGCACCTGAGGACCACATTTAAATTGATTGATTGATTGGTGTTTAATGGCACTTTCAACACTATTGTGCTATTTCGTGGCGGACAGTTTTTATTGGTGGAGGAAGCCGAACTTTGGTAGGAAAACTGACAATCCTAATCAATTAAGATTGGAGTCGAGTGCACCTGCCCCGTGCGGAATTCAAACTCACAACCTCAGTGTTGACTGGCTAGTGATACAGTGGTTCGACTACTTAGACCACTAAGCCACCGAGGCCCCCTTGAGATTTAGAGCTTGACATGTATAGAAATTTGTCATTTTTTTAAAGGACTGTTAGTTGACCTCATGGTGTCTTTTATTTTTTGTGTCATGGGTAACTATCTTGTTAACATTTACCCCACATATCCTTCATATTTATAAATACAGAATTTTATTTTTCTGTAGAAAAACCATTGTCAGATTTTGTCTTGGAGGCAATCAGTGAATTAAGATCAACAATGAGAAGGAACATAGATAACAGTGATGATGAAGATGATGATTTAAAACCGAGTGGCCAAGGTAAATATTTTTCCTGTTATTACTTGTATCCAATGTTTAATACAAGTCTTAAGACAAAAATTATAGTTTATACCTGATACCAACTGACCATGCTGCTCGTCTACAGTTATTTGTGTAAGGCAGAGGATTGACTCATTAGCAGGTTTATATACTCTAACCCTAGAGTTTTAGATTAAAAAAATTGGTTTACGGATAAAGGATCCACATGATTATGACAGATAAAAACACCACTGAAATAAGAAATCAAGATATTGTAAAATACAACACAGAAAATAAAAGGAAAAGCACCATCAGTCCCCCAAAATACCAAGGATGAACTCAGCTGCTTCAGGATGGTAAACTGTTCCTGCTTTGTTAGTGGTAAATGTCATGTTCCTCATGAAAAGTAAAAATCTGGTAATAAGTTGTGTTCAGTGATGAGCCATGAATGAAAGGAGCAGGATTATTGCTATGAAAAATGAAACTATCTTTGGTAATCTGTGACACAGATATTCTATAACAGTTGAACAAATCATGATCTATGACACAGATATTCTATAACAGTTGAACAAATCATGATCTGTGACACAGATATTCTATAACAGTTGAACAAATCATGATCTGTGACACAGATATTCTATAACAGTTGAACAAATCATGATCTGTGACACAGATATTCTATAACAGTTGAACAAATCATGATCTGTGACACAGATATTCTATAACAGTTGAACAAATCATGATCTGTGACACAGATATTCTATATCATTTGAACAAATCATGATTTATCACTTAGAACTTTCAAATAAGTGACTTCAATTTTATCATTAAGTAATATTTGTTCAGTAACTTCCCTGAAAGCAGCAACTTTCTGTCATGGAAATTCTGATAAAAACATAAGTTCTAAAATATGGTACCAAAATGTTTTCCATATGCTATGCACTGTGTCAGCAAACTAATAGCTGACAACTTAGGGTTTTACTTTAAATGAGATAAAATATTGAATTCCTGAAATTCAACAAATTATATAATATAACATGATTGAGAATAAATTGCTACCTAATTAAAAAGCAAAGTTGAAAAAAGGATATTACCTAACCTTGAGGTATGCCATACATTACTTTACTTATATTCAATCTTACAAACATTGTGTAATTTTGATATTTTGATAACAGATAAAAAATTATTTTCTTCAGGAGACGCCCTTGATAAAGTAAAAAGCAAAGAAAGAAAACTTGAAGGTATGATATAACTTTACATCATTATTAATGGGCCAAGGTCAGCTATTCACATCACTCATTTCTTAGGAGTCTGTTTCCATCTTTTCATTCTTTCATCCTCTTAGTAAAATTCCTTCGAACAGTTTGACTGCAGGTAAACCTTGATGAATATGTTGGCAATATATTTGCCACAATCTTCCAGAAACTTTGCTATTTTTAGAATATTTGCATTAACATAAGCATGCATAATAAACTGTATACTAGAATTTGGAATGGAAGATAAACTGTTAAATTTATATATACTGCATATTTTGTATTTAGTATAAAGTAGACAACGAGGCATTGTTATAATATCCATAACAGAGTAAATATCATTTATTGAGATCATCATTGGAATCCAATGTGTTTATTTTAATTACATTACCCTTTGTGAAAACAAACTTACAAATTGAAGTTAACATGAAATGATAAGACTTCTTATGGGACCTTTTTAAAAGATAAGAATTTGAGCCAGAATTTTTGACTCACTTAATGAGAGCAGGCCTTGTTGCCCTATAGACACATGTTATTACAGTGAGAGCAGGCCTTGTCGCCCTATAGACACATGTTATTACAGTGAGAGCAGGCCTTGTCGCCCAATAGACACATGTTATTACAGTGAAAGCAGGCCTTGTCGCCATATAGACACGTTATTACAGTGAGAGGAGGCCTTGTCGCCCTATAGACACATGTTATTACAGTGAAAGCAGGCCTTGTTGCCCTATAGGCACATGTTATTATTATCTCTTCCTCTAAATTTTAAAGTGGAATCAAATTTTGAACACTTAGCCTTTTATTGTCCTTTGATAAACTAACTTTGTTTTGTATTTTCATATATCTACAGAAATCTGCATTTCCTGTAATGATATCACACAAGAGGTTGTACATCAACATCCATTATTTGTGGGTGGATTGTGTAAAGAATGTAAGGTCAGTAATTAGTTCGGAAGTTTAGGTATAATTATTCCTCTTTATATAATCTATGGTGTAAGTTAGTTTCAATCTTTTATAATGCTCCCCGAAAAAATTTCAGAAGCAATAGCCATAGCTTTGCCAAATTGTCCATCTTACATAACGTCAATCTGTGCATCCAGAACAAAGGGTTTACGTATGAAAACTTTAGTTTCCCTTACATGATTGGAATGAAACTTGTACAGATTGTAGAAATATGGAAGGAGAAGATTTTGGGTTTAAAGTGTAAGGTTACTGTTATTAAAAATAGGGTAAGAAATCTAATGTTTTGGGGTCATTAGGTAAAGGTCAAGGTCACTTAGTACAAATTGATGGAAAAATGGTTGCTTGATTTTCCTTGCCTGATTGGGATGAAACTTGTCCAGATGGAAATGGATGATGATTATTGATTTTGTAGTCAATAAGTCGAAATTTCTTTGAAGAATCCGCTTCTCCTACATCAAGAAGAAGTATAAAATATTTGTAAATGATTCTAAAATAAACCAAAATCACAGGAAAAAACATTGACAAGTTGTGCTTATAATGAACCTGAAATAGGAAAAGTATGTGTAAATTGCAAACAATTTACACTTATCTGTGTAAAAAAAATATACCTATATACTTTACCTAGATATATTTTATTTTACAAAGACAAGTGCCTGTGGTGGATTTTCAATTTTAAAAAAAGACATACTCTTTCCAGATTATTTTTTGCAAAAATGTCGGTTTTTCAATTTATTTAAATACATTTATACAACATAAAAAACAAGGCTCATTTCAGAAAATAAAAAAAAAAAACTACAAAGATTCACAACAAAAATGAGAAAATACATGTTTATAGCAGAAAAATACAATATGTGGCACTGAAACAATGAACAATTTCCTTGTTGATTGGTGCAATTTATCCTTCTGTTACTTCTGCTTAAAACCAGAAACTGTACTTCATAGAAAAATTTAACCTCAAACAGTTGCGTGAGTTGAAAACTAAAACTTTGAAAATAGTTTCCATTAGCTACTCACCAAGTATGGCGAGAGGGGAGTGGTGAAAAAAATCTATTTTTTTACTCCCAAGATTGCATAACTTTGCCTCATCCATTAATATAAGTACATTGTATTTACACTTCTATGTGATGGATGTAAGAACTTTCAATTTTAGATAAAGATTAATTTTTATACGACCGCAAAAAAATTTTGTGGTCGTATATTGGTATGACGTTGGCGTCGTCGTCGTCGTCGTCGTCGTCGTCGTCGTCGTCCGAATACATATTGGTTTTCGCACTCTAACTTTAGTTTAAGTGAATGGATCTTTATGAAATTTGACCATAAGGTTAAATACCACAAAAGGAAGGTTGGGATTGATTTTGGGGGTTATGGTACCAACAGTTAAGGAATTAGGGGCCAAAAAGGGGCCAAAAATGAGCATTTTCTAGTTTCCAGACAATAACTGTGGAACGGTGTATGGATCTCTCTGAAATTATACTACAAGTTTCCATACCACAAAGGGATGGTTAGGATTTGCTTTGGGGGGTTATGGCTCAAACCGTTTAGGAATTTGGGGCAAAAAAGGGGGAAAAACAAGGTTGTCCTGGTTAATGGACAAATACTTTAGTACAAAACATAATTTAAAGCAGTGTAAGGGAGATAAATCAAATACATCATTGAAATTATCTCCCTTACACTGCTTTTAAATTATGTATAAAGTAATGGTTAATGAACAATAAAGATAATCTAAAACAGTGTAAGGGAGGTAATCCAAATACAACGTTTTGGTTACTTCCCTTACTCTGCTTTTAAATTATGTTTAAAGAAATGCATATTTATAAAGGAAGACCAGTAAAAATATCTGCAAATGTTTTCATCTTTTTTTTTTACAAAAAAATCCATATGAAAGATTTGACACTATATTTTTATTAATTCCATTATAAAATAGATTAAGTTAGCACTATGGTAAATTTAAATGGGTAATTATGGTTGCCAACTCCATTGGAAATTTGAATTGAGATTATGACCATATCTTGAGGGAAAGAATTTTTTTGGGGGAAAAAGTGGGGGGGGGGGGGGGGGATAAAAAGAAATTGTGGGGGGCCAATTTTTTCTCATTTCAGATTTCAGAAATTAAAAAGAATTATTCTTCAAATATTATTTTTTTTTCAAATTTCAAATATTGAAAAATTTCAAGAAGTAATCTTTAATTGCACAGTATGGCGCATTAGATTTGTAAAATCTTTGATCACATTTATTTATTTGTTATGCCGAATCTAACAGTGTATTTAGATTTTTAATTTTGGGTCCAGTTTTCAAATTGGTCTACATTAATGTCCAAAGGGTCCAAAATTAAACTTTGTTTGATTTTAGCAAAAATTGAATATATGAGGTTCTTTGATATGCTGAATCTAAACATGTATTTAGATTTTTGATTTTTGGCCTAGTTTTCAAGTTGGTCCAAATTGGGGTCCAAAATTAAACTTTGTTTGATTTCAACAAAAATTGAATATATGGGGTTCTTTGATATGCTGAATCTAACCATGTATTTAGATTTTTTTATTTGTGGACCCCGTTATCTAATTGGTTCATATTGAGGTCAAAAGGGTCCAAAATTAAACTTTGTTTGATTTCATCTAAAATTGAATTATTGGGGTTCTTTGATATTCCAAATCTAACCGTGTATTTAGGTTCTTAATTTTGGGTCCTGTTTTTTAAATTGGTCTACATTGAGGTCCAAAGGGTCCAAAATTAAACTTAGTTTGATTTTAACAAAAATTGAATTCTTGGGGTTCTTTGATTTGCTGAATCTAAACATGTGTTTAGATTTTTGATTATGGGCCCAGTTTTCAAGTTGGTCCAAGATAGGGTCCAGTATTTAAACTTTGTTTGATTTCAACAAAAATTGAATATATGGGGTTCTTTGATATGCTGAATCTAAACATGTATTTAGATTTTTGATTATGGGCCCAGTTTTCAAGTTGGTCCAAATTGGGGTCCAAAATTAAACTGTATGATTTCAACAAAAATTGAATATATGATGTTCTTTGATATGCTGAATCTAACCATGTATTTAGATTTTTTATTTGTAGGCCCCGCTATCAAATTGGTTCATATTGAGGTCAAAAGGGTCCAAAATTAAACTTTGTTTGATTTCATCTAAAATTGAATTATTGGGGTTCTTTGATATACCAAATCTAACCGTGTTTTTAGATTTTTAATTTGGGTCCCGTTTTTTAAATTGGTCTTCATTGAGGTCCAAAGGGTCCAAAATTAAACTTAGTTTGATTTTAACAAAAATTGAATTCTTGGGGTTCTTTGATATGCTGAATCTAAACATGTATTTAGATTTTTGATTATGGGCCCAGTTTTCAAGTTGGTCCAAGTTGGGGTCCAAAATTAAACTTTTTTTGATTTCAACAAAAATTGAATATATGGGGTTCTTTGATATGCTGAATCTAACCATGAATTTAGAATTTTTATTTGTGGGCCCTGCTATCAAATTGGTTCATATTGAGGTCAAAAGGGTCCAAAATTAAACTTTGTTTGATTTCATCAAAAATTGAATTATTGGGGTTCTTTGATATTCCAAATCTAACCGTGTATTTAGATTTTTAATTTTAAGTCCCGTTTTTTAAATTGGTCTACATTAAGGTCCAAAGGGTCCAAAATTAAACTTAGTTTGATTTTAGCAAAAATTGAATTCTTGGGGTTCTTTGATATGCTGAATCTAAACATGTGTTTAGATTTTTGATTATGGGCCCAGTTTTCAAGTTTGTCCAAGTTGGGGTCCAAAATTAAACTTTGTTTGATTTTAACAAAAATTGAATATATGGTGTTCTTTGATATGCTGAATCTAACCATGTATTTTGATTTTGGACATTGGACCATAATAGGTAAATTAAAAAAATTCAAGTTCTTAGACCACATTCTTTCTGTGTCAGAAACCTATGCTGTGTCAAATATTTAATAACAATCCAAATTCAGAGCTGTATCAAGCTTGAATGTTGTGTCCATACTTGCCCCAACTGTTCAGGGTTCGACCTCTGCGGTCGTATCAAGCTGCGCCCCAGCGAAGCATTTTATTCAATTTGCTTTCATGTATTCTGTTAAATTGAAATTGTCCTAAGAAAGAGAGGTAATTTTTTTTATTTGTAGCAAGAACTGATAGAGTCTTTCTTTGCTGTTGGAGATGATGGCACAGGGGTGAGTATTTACTTCAAAAGATGGAGTTTGATAATGTAAAAAACTAAGCATGTTAGTGTTTAGGTAAAATGTTTTTTAATTAAGCCTAACATAAAATTCAAGAGTCATATAGATTTTGCTTTGCCTTATGCTTGTCCATTTATGATTTATTTGCCCCACTACTAAGTGGCTGGTGTATATAATGTTTCCCACATCCTTCATTCTTACCTTTTCCTGTTACAATATCCTGAAATCAAGTCAACTTTTTTATGTTACTGCAGATATTGCTGATTTTTGTACATTATTTTAAAATGATAACATATTAATTTACGGTTGCTTCAAGTTGATCAACTTTTGGAAGAATAACTGCACTTGGAATTTTTATATTTTTACTTGTCCTGACTTTTTTTTTAGATCACCTGGCTTTTCTCATCACTTGGCGTCCATCGTCGTACTTTTACAAAAATCTTCTCCTCTGAAACTACTGGACCAAATTTAACCAAAGTTGGTCACAATCATCATTAGGGTATTTAGTTTCAAAAATGTGTCCAAGATAGTTGACATGGCTAAAATAGAACATAGGTGTAAAATGCTAGTTTTGTATATTATCTTGAAAACTGCTTTGAATAGAGAAAATCTGACGGGGCAAAAATGTTAATAATGTTGAGATCTACCTGCTGTCCATTTACATCAAAACTGTGAAGACAACTTCTTGTAGGAGCTATTGCCCTTAACGTCAAATTTTACCAATTTTTCTTCATTTTTGCTTGTTATTTTGGAATTTATAATAGATGGAGAGAAACTCTAATAAGAAAAAATTATCTGGAAGACAAGATCTACAAAAAAGTCCAACATCGGCGAAATTGTCAGATGACTCCTTATTGGAGTTATTGTCCTTTAATGATGATTTTTACCATTTTTTTGTGTTTCTGATTAATATCTTAAAAAATCTTCTCCACTGAAACCACTGTGCCAAACTTAACCAAACTTGGTCTCAATCATCATTGGGGTATTTAGTTTAAAAAATGTGTCCGATGACCCCACCTGCCAACCAAGATGTTTGACATGGCTTAAGATAGAACATAGGGGTAAAATGCAAGTTTTGTCAATCATTTTGAAAATCATTTTGAATAGAGAAAATCTGAAAGGGGCAGAAATGCTGAGATCTATCTGCTGTTTATGTATGTCAAAACTGTCAGACGACTTCTTGTTATTGCCCATAAATGTCAAATTTTACCTTTTTTTTTTTTCATTTTTGCTGATTACTTCAAAACTATAGATAGATAGAAAGGATCTTTATCCTGGAAAAGTGATCAGCAAGACAAGATCTACAATTAATTCTAATGACTTAATGTCTGAAATTGTCATACCACTCCTTATTGGAGTTATTGCTCTTTGATGACTTTTTTTACCAATTGTTTGCATTTTTACCTAGTATCTTAAAAGCTATAATAGATAGCTAGTATCTAAAAAAGCCAAAATGATCAACAAGAAAAGATCTACAACTAAGTTATTTGCATTTTTACCTAGTATCTTAAAAGCTATAATAGATAGCTAGTATCTAAAAAAGCCAAAATGATCAACAAGAAAAGATCTACAACTAAGTTAGCATAACCAAAATTGTCAGTCGACTCCTTATTGAAGTTATTGCCCTTTAATGATGATTTTCCCATTTTTTATCATTTTTGCCCATTATCTTTATTAATTATGATAGATAGATAGAAACTTTAGATAGCCATAACGATAAGCAAGACAAGATTTACAAATAAGCCACATTGTTGAAATCTGTCGACTTGTTATTGGAGTTATAGCCCTTTAAAGATGATTTTTACTATCTTATTTAGTTTTTGCTTACTATCTTGAAAAGTATAATAGATTCAAAAGTAAATAGAATCTTTAAAAAGCAAAAAAGATCAGCAGGACAAGATCTACAAATATGTCAACATGACTGAAATAGGCAGTTAGCTCTTAATAAAGTTATTCCCCTATAATGATGATTTTTACTTAAAAGTGGCCATTGTTGAAGGTGCAGGTGAGTGACACATGCTCTTTAGAGCCTCTAGTGTGTAATGCCTACTGATCTAGAACTGATTTTTATACATTTGTGTATAATGAAGACTTAAGATTGAGTTGAGTTTTGGATTTTTTTTATCGGTTGACCAATTTTGATGTTATGTTAAAATTTCCATAAAATTTGTACTTCATATTGACATTTTTAGCTCACCTGGCCCAAAGGGCCAAGTGAGCTTTTCTCATCACTTGGCGTCCGTCGTCGTCCGTCGTCATTAACTTTTACAAAAATCTTCTCCTCTGAAACTAAACTTGGCCACAATCATCATTGGGGTATCTAGTTTAAAAAATGTGTCAGGTGACCCGGCCAACCAACCAAGATGGCCGTCATGGCTAAAAATATAACATGGGGGTAAAATTGTTTATCAGGTCAAGATCTATCTGCCCTGAAATTTTCAGATGAATCGGACAACCCGTTGTTGGGTTGCTGCCCCTGAATTGGTAATTTTAAGGAAATTTTGCCGTTTTTTGTTATTATCTTGAATATGATAATAGATAGAGATAAACTGTAAACAGCAATAATGTTCAGCAAAGTAAGATCTACAAATAAGTCAACTTAACCAAAATGGTCAGTTGACCCCTTAAGGAGTTATTGCCCTTTATAGTCAATTTTTAACCATTTTTCGTAAATTTTTGTAATCTTTTACAAAAATCTTCTCCTCTGAAACTACTAAGACAAATTTAACCAAACTTGTCCACAATCATCATTAGGGTATCTAGTTTAAAAAATGTGTCCAATGACCCCGCCCGCGAACCAAGATGGCTGACATGGCTAAAAAATAGTACATAGGGTAAAATGCAGTTTTTGGCTCATATCTCTGAAACCAAAGCATTTAGAGCAAATCTGACTTGGATAAAATTGTTCATTATGTCAAGATCTATCTGCCCTGAAATTTTCAGACCAATCAGGCAACACGTTGTTGGGTTGCTGCCCCTGAATTGGTAATTTTAAGAAAATTTTGAAGCTCTTGGTTATTATCTTGAATATTATTATAGATAGAGATAAACTGTAAACAGCAATAATGTACAGCAAAGTAAGACCTACAAATAAGTCAACATGACCAAAATGGTCAATTGACCCCTTAAGGAGTTATTGCCCTTTATAATAAATTTTTACAAAATAATTTCAACTGAAACTACTGGGCCAAGTTCATTATAGATAGAGATAATTGTAAGCATCAAGAATGTTCAGTAAAGTAAGATCTACAAACACATTACCATCACCAAAACACAATTCTGTATTGAATCCATCTGTGTCCTTTGTTTAATATGCACATAGACCAAGGTGAGCGACACAGGCTCTTTAGAGCCTCTAGTTTTGTAATGCCTGCAGATCTTTTGATTGTAATTTTTATGAACCATTTAGAACTACTGTAATAGGAAATATATAACAAATATATATTTGTCAGATTATCAGATTTCTTAGCTTCTGATCTAGTGATAACAAGTAATAAATATACAATAAAATATCAGTTAAAAATATTTTTGATTAATAGATGTTTTGCATTGTTTGCTCGAGTGGTGGAAGGTTGTTTGTCTGTGAGGAGTCAGAGTGTAACAAGTAAGTACTGTCAGATAAGTTTACTATTTGAAAACGTCTTAAAAGAAAATTATATTATATTTTCATTCATTCAAAAAAAAATATAGGAACTAGATACAAGTCCAGAAAAAGACAAATTGGGAAATATTCTTTTCAATTCTAAGATTTATTGAACGTGAAATGAGGGTACTTGTAACCAAAGTTAAGAAGACATTTCTATTTGCATAAAATCCTACTAAAAGTTGTATTCTGAGAAAGTAAAAATTTTCACCCCCAACTTCCAAATTTTAAACATTGCAGTTTTGTGTATGATAATCATTTCGAGCTTAAAATAAAAGTGAAAAACCTCCATAATTTGTTATGATTGTCAGCTTATCTCAAAGTATGTATAACAAATCCATACTAATGCATATACTTCTTTCAGTTCATTATTTCTTTTACAGTGTATATTGCTTGGAATGTATACGACTGTTTGTAGGGGAAGACCATGTTGAAAAGGTGAATTAGAATATGTCTTAAAGATGCCATCACTTTTGTTTTTACCATTATTACTGAGAGTCTTTCTCAATGTTTGAATCCCGTTCTCTTTTCCTTGAATGTGCCCTACTGAATTAGACTTATCACCAGGTTTATACTTACATAAGCAACTTGACACATGTGGAGCAGGATCTGTTTTCTTCTGGGGCACCTGAGATCACCCTCTCCCCATTGTCAGTTTGTGAGTTTGTATATCCCTTTGGTATCTTCTGCCTCTCTCTTGAAGCCATTTCTCACCAGCTTGATAAATGAGAATCAATTGGACATTTGAACCTGCTGGTATAGCAAACATTGCAACCATGTTCAAATGAGGGCTTAAACAGAAAATTCAAACTTTTCATATTCCACTCTAAAGTGGTGGTATACTATTTTCACCTTCTGCCTCCTCGGTCTGAAATGATTTTATCAACAACAGGGATGGTCTTTCTAGAGTTTTTTTTTTTTTTTGGGGGGGGGGAGGGGGATAAGAATACTTCCATGAAAAATTAAAATTGTAAATAAGTAGTTTTTGTACCAATTCTATGTGTGCAGAAACTTACAATTACTTAAATGCAATATGTTGTTGCCTCTATACTTCTGAATATGATGAGCTTAATTATATAGATAAAGATTATTTATTTTCCTTTGAGGAATAAAACCTTAGGTTTCTATGTTAAATTCTGCAATTTCAAGCATTCATAACTATTTTGTCTTAAGTTAGAATAAAGTGACAGTTACTCTATGTCTAAACTATATAGTTTCCTGACGTGCTGAAAAATTTAACATACCTTTAATTGCATATTAGAGCACACTGGTTCCTGGAAGTTTTGTAGTACAAAAACAGGTACTTCTGATCTGTGCTTCAGGGCAAATATGCCTTCCTATTTTGATTTCATATCTTTTTTGTATTATTCAAAAGAAATTTTTAAAAGGGTCCTACAGTGATCCGTCATACTTAAGCTTTCATTTGATACAAAAATTACCCAAATATTTTATTTAATGTCAATATAAAGCTATGTGTAGGAACTATTTTGTTTTAAATATTACTGCTTTCTTGTATGTTCTTTCTGACCTTGGTTAAATTAGTGGTTCTATACCTATAACCCTACCAATACCTTACAAATGTTTTTGAATTTCACTTACATGTAATGCAAATTGGTGTTTTCAAAAGTATATCAAACGTTACATTTTGTACCCAACTAGGGAGCACTGAATGTAAACTTTAGAATGTTATTATCCTTTTACGAATATAATAGTTTTTTACAAATATAATAGGTAAAACCAATGATATGTGCTGTGTGTATATTTACAGATAAATCAGGCTGATCCATGGACATGTTTCCTATGTCATCCATATTCTAAGGAAACACATGGATATTTGATACCTAAAACTGACTGGATGCGTAATATTCTTAGACTGTATGACACAGGCTACCAAGTACAGGTTTGTTAATATGAAAAAATGGTCAACAATATTTGGCTAATGAATTTTTTAAACTTCTTTATGTCCATCTTACATGTTATATGGAGCTTTTTTCAGTTTGAGTGGTCAAGTTTTGCAGATTAAGGTCTGTTTTTAGTGATGGAACGATTACGTCTAATATGTTGAATGTGATGCATGAAATATGTCTTTTAGAAGTGTCATTGTAAGGCTGTAGTTGTCAGCTTAAATTTTTCCGATATTAAAGTTCAGTTCCTGATTAATTATTAATGATAGGTCAACAATATTTGGCAAGTCAGTTCATTGTGTGTCTATCTCATGTGGACCATGGTATTGATCAAATACAAATGCTGATTTGCTTAGATGTAAAGACCTCAAAAGAAATGCCTTCAAAATTGCAAATGTATAAGCAAGTGAGGGAAAAATTGGTAACAAAAGTTTATAATCTTTCAAGAAATTTGCAACACAAGGGTCTGATGTGCAAAATACAACATATTAAACTGATCATTTTGTACAAGTCACACAAGTGGGATCAATGTTTAAACTCACTTAAGGTGTTCCATTGATCCAATTTAGTGGTGGTTTCAGATATGTGGTTATAAATCATAGATACGGGTATTTGTCATTAAGACAATAACCAAACAGCAAAAAATTCAAATGACCTCTGGAAGTCGACATTTGGTCTTCAGCAATAGACAGGTGTCTATATATAGATTCCACCACTGCAACAAGTGTATTACATTATTTCTCCACTGGAGACAGTTAAGTTTTAATATTTAAAGCGTGAGGCTTGCTGAGGTTTTTAAATAATTAAAATTTAACGGTTGAGAGTAGAGAAATATCGTAATACACGAGTTATAGTGGTGAAATCTGTTTCTCTAATGATTTTTATCCTTCTTTTTCAAAGATTTGCAGAAAGTTGTGTTCTTTATATGTGACTTCATCAGGCATGGTCGACTTTTTTCATGACGCCTCAATAGGAAATTCAGAAGAAACCAAGAAAAATGGAAGTCATAATTAAATTTCAACCAATCATTTGCCGAGAACAGATATTTCACTAGTGAGGAGAACAATTTTTTCACAATCGGTTGGGAAATGTGAAAAAATTAGAGAAATATATGTTAAACTTTTAAGTCTACACGGGTCTAGGAAAGTAATGAATACATTTACAATTGACTGAAACTGTCTTGACAAAAAAAAAAATAGAGACTTGTGCTTAAAATATGATTAAGACAATCACTAACTAGGTTCCTGACTTGAGACAGACACATGAACAGAAAGCTTTGTAAAACTTGTTTTTTGAGTCATCAACCCTTCCCTGTTTATTTCAATACAATTTGACTACCACAAAAGATGCACAAAAGAACATATCATAAACAGGAATAACACTTGAATCCAAAATTACAGCTTAATAGAAAGACAAAAAATAAAGCATCAATAAAATTAAGAATGCTGGCAGCTACTGAAATAAGCCAATAGTTCTTAGAATTTGTGGTAAGTCAAGTACCCTAAGGAACTGTACTTTTACCATTACTATCTCTAATATTTATCAACAACTTACTGGACAACATCACATCTAACACACCACTATTTGCCAACGATTGCATAACTTCTGTTATGGGCTGTCCTATGATCTCATATCAGTTGTAACAAAAGTCTTTTTTACATGTTAACAAAGCAATTTTTTTTTCCCACAGCTTTTGTAACACATTTCTTGGGAGTAAAAAATGTAGCATTATTTTGAAATAAATCAACTTCTGAGAATTGAGTTTCACAGTAAACCAAAATTTCTCTTATTTCTTACAGGAGCAGGATTTGAGTTACCTCTTGGTAGGAGAAAAGAAAAAAATAAGAGTTCTCTCCCTATTTGATGGAATTGGAACTGGTTTGTATAAAAAGTCGTTAGCCTTAGAAAAAAAAAAATGGTTAAAGCAAGTTTATTCGGTCAAGATGTATTATAAAAGGAAGAATTCTGAATACATCTTATTGCTATTTGCCCGCCATTTTTGGACATCACCAACATTCCCTGAAAATTTTTATTTAATGCCTGCTGAACTGGCATTATATATTTATTATAAAATGATGATGACATACCCGTTAAGGTTGTGTTACATTGTCTTTACCATATTTTAAGCTCACCTGGCCCGAAGGGCCAAGTGAGCTTTTCTCATCACTTGGCGTCCGTCGTCCAGCGTCGTCCGTCGTCGGCGTTAACTTTTTACATTTTGAACTTCTTCTAGAGAACCACTGAATGGAATGAAACCAAACGTGGCATGAATGTTCCTTATGAAGTGCTGACCAAGTGTTGTTACTTTGTAGCCGATCCATCATCCAAGATGGCCGCCAGCGGGGGACTTAGTTTAACATAGGACCCTATGGGAAATGCATACAAATGACTTCTTTTAGAGAACCACTGAATGGAATGAAACTAAACATGGCATGAATGTTCCTTATGAGGTGCTGACCAAGTGTTGTTACTTTGTAGCCGATCCATCATCCAAGATGGTCGCCAGCCTGGGACTTAGTTTAACATAGGACCCTATAGGAAATACATACAAATGTCTTATTTTAGAGAACCACTGAATGGAATAAAACCAAACATGGCATGAATGTTCCTTATGAGGTGCTCACCAAGTGTTGTTACTTTGTAGCCGATCCATCATCCAAGATGGCCGCCAGCCGGGGACTTAGTTTAACATAGGACCCTATGGGAAATGCATACCAATGACTTCTTTTAGAGAACCACTGAAAGGAATGAAACCAAACATGGCATGAATGTTCCTTATGAGGTGTTGACCAAGTGTTGTTACTTTGTAGCCGATCCATCATCCAAGATGGCCGCCAGCGGGGGACTTAGTTTAACATAAGACCCTATGGGAAATACATAAAAATGTCTTCTTTTAGAGAACCACTGAATGGAATGGAACCAAACATGGCATGAATGTTCCTTATGAGATGCTGACCAAGTGTTGTTACTTTGCAGTCGGTCCATCATCCAAGATGGCCGCCAGCGGGGGACTTAGTTTAACTTAGGACCCTATGGGAAATACATACAAATGTCTTCTTTTAGAGAACCACTGAATGGAATGAAACCAAACATGGCATGAATGTTCCTTATGAGGTACTCACCAAGTGTTGTTACTTTGTAGCCGATCCATCATCCAAGATGGTCGCCAGCCTGGGACTTAGTTTAACATAGGACCCTATGGGAAATGCTTACAAATGACTTCTTTTAGAGAACCACTGAATGGAATGAAACCAAACATGGCATGAATGTTCCTTATGAGGTGCTGACCAAGTGTTGTTACTTTGTAGCCGATCCATCATCCAAGATGGCCGCCAGCGGGGGACTTAGTTTAACATAGGACCCTATGGGAAATACATAAAAATGTCTTCTTTTAGAGAACCACTGAATTGAATGGAACCAAACATGGCATGAATGTTCCTTATGAGATGCTGACCAAGTGTTGTTACTTTGCAGGCGGTCCATCATCCAAGATGGCCGCCAGCGGGGGACTTAGTTTAACATAGGACCCTATGGGAAATACATACAAATGTCTTCTTTTAGAGAACCACTGAATGGAATGAAACCAAACATGGCATGAATGTTCCTTATGAGGTTCTGACCAAGTGTTGTTACTTTGTAGCCGATCCATCATCCAAGATGGCCGCCAGCAGGGGACTTAGTTTAACATAGGACCATATGGGAAATACATACAAATGTCTTCTTTTAGAGAACCACTGAATGGAATGAAACCAAACATGGCATGAATGTTCCTTATGAGGTGCTGACCAAGTGTTGTTACTTTGCAGTCGGTCCATCATCCAAGATGGCCGACAGCAGGGGACTTAGTTTAACAAAGGACCTATGGGAAATACATACAAATGTCTTCTTTTAGAGAACCACTGAATGGAATGAAACCAAACATGGCATGAATCTTCCTTATGAGATGCTGACCAAGTGTTGTTACTTTGTAGCCGATCCATCATCCAAGATGGCCGCCAGCGGGGGGCTTAGTTTAACATAGGACCCTATGGGAAATACATACAAATGTCTTCTTTTAGAGTACCACTGAATGGAATGAAACCAAACATGGCATGAATGTTCCTTATGAAGTGCTGACCAAGTGTTGCTACTTTGTTGCCGATTTACTGTTCAAGATGGCCACCAGGATATTTTATTAAATAACGGGACCAATATTAATCAAAATTTGGCCTCAATCATTATTTGGGTATCTGTTATGATTTTTATCTATCTTTACATGATTTCTAAAACCAAAGTAGAGTCAGGTGAGCGACACAGGCTCTCGAGAGCCTCTAGTTGTATTAAGTCTTCTGGTGGGGCCATTTGTAATGTACCTACACATCTTGTTTTGTTATTATATCCTGAATGATTTTCAATGTTTAGTTTCTATTGACAACAGGAAAGGTAATATTGGATTCATTAGGACTGGACATTGAAGTATACTACACATCAGAAATAGATGAGGATTCCTTGTTGGTGACATCCTTTCATTATGGTGATTCTGTTACTCCTATTGGGGATGTGACCAAATTAACTGAAGAAAAGGTAATGTGTTCAGTGTTTACATCTGAAATAAATATGTTGTTTTTATCTGTAACAATCCAGATAAAGATTTGTTTGGTTATACTATATGTGCTACTTGTCGTATGCAATTGCCCTATTGTGTATTCTTAAGATGAATGTAAGCTATTAGCACCATCCTGCTCATTACTCTCTTTTATTGTACATGAGAAATATTGTACAGGATATAGTTTTGAGATGTTCCAAACTTTTGGTGCTGAGCATTTCTGATTAAGATAATTCAGCCATGATGTCATGAACAAAATTGTCAGACAACTCCTTATTGGATTTATTGCAAAACTTGTAGTGAAAACTTTAAAAGCTAAAATGATCAACAAGTCAAGATCTACAAATAAGTCAACATGACCAAAATCAGCAGTAGACTCCTTATTGAAGTTGTTGCCCTTTAATGACGATTTTTCCTATTTATTTTTTTTTCATTTTGCCTATTATTTTGAAAACTAATAGATATATAGAATCTTGAAATAACAAAAATGATCATCAAGACAAGATCTCCAAATTTGTCAAATGACGGAATTGTCGGTAAACTCTTTATAGAGTTTTTGCCCTTTCATGATGATTTTTACCAAAACATGGCCATTGTTGATGCAGGCAAGCAACACAGGCTCTTTTGCTTAGCAAGGCAGTGTGCATTCTTGTTGAAGACACATATATATATATATAAGTATATACAAGTTTGGCAAACTTCTATATTATTAGCTCACCTGGCCCGAAGGGCCAAGTGAGCTTTTCTCATCACTTGGCGTCCGTCGTCGTCGTTAGCTTTTTACAAAAATCTTCTCCTCTGAAACCACTGGGCCAAATTTAACCAAACTTGGCCACAATCATCATTAGGGTATCTAGTTTAAAAAATGTGTCCAATGACCCCGCCAACCAACCAAGATGGCTGCCATGGCTAAAAATAGAACATAGGGGTAAAATGTAGATTTTGGCTTATATCTCTGAAACCAAAGCATTTAGAGCAAATCTGACATAGGGTAAAACTGATTATCAGGTCAAGATCTATCTGCCCTGAAATTTTCAGACAAATCTGACAACCTGTTGTTGGGTTGCTGCCCCTGAATTGGTAATTTTAAGGAAATTTTGCAGTTTTTTGTTATTATCTTAGATATCATTATAATATCTAATATCTAATACTATTAATTATGATTTTAACCTTATTTTACATGATTTCCAAAGCATCAGTAAATACAGGTGAGCGACACAGGCTCTTGAGAGCCTCTAGTTAAGGACTAGTATAGAAATAAACTGATAATTTTTGGAAGTAAATGTGTAATATTTAATGAATGGTAAACGTTGATTCTTGTTACAGTTGAAAGAAATCAGTCCAATAGATTTGGTGATTGGTGGATCCCCATGCAATGACTTGTCTTTAGCCAACCCAATAAGAAAGGGTTTTTCTGATTTCAGTAAGTAATATTTTTTTAATTAATTAAATTAATGAATGTTATAATATTTTAAGTATGGATATTTAACCTGACTTGGTCCTGTTGTATTTTAAAAGTGGTGTTTTTAACCTCATACTTTGTGATATAGTGTGAAAGTGTGATATAATGCAATATATGTTCAGCTTTCTTTCAATTTTAATCTTAAAATTCTCTGTGGAAAGAAATTAACCCCTTTTGATTTTGGGGTCAATAGGTCAAAGATTAAGGTCTTGGGAAAGTTAATTTTAGACAACAATATCAGGTCTTTACTAATCTGTGGTGGATTATAAGACCCTTAATGAGTTTAAGGTCTCAAGTTCAAAGGTCAAGGTCACATCAGCAATAATAAGACAGAAACTTGAGCAAATCTTTGGTTTTCCATCATTTGACCTAAATTGTCAGCAGAATATAAAAAACTTCATTATCAAAACAAAAATAACCCCCAAAAACAGTTCTCCCAAAAATGTTCTTCTCCATAAAGATAGTAACTCTGCTAATGCACCCATTGTGCTTCTGGAATCTTTTTTCTATACAAAGCATAAGTTAAAATAATCTGTACTGTAGATGCATTGTAAAACATGCTGCTGGTAAATATTTGTGATTCTAGTCAGCTAGATAAGTGGAGGGATAATGTATGTGAGCAGTTTTTCACAGCATGTCTTGTTTAATATGTATTTTCAGGCAGCACAGCTCTTTTGTTCTTTGATTATTTTCGTATACTAAGATGCGTACAAAATTTATCTGATGGCCATCATGTCTTCTGGCTGTATGAAAATGTGGCTTCAATGAAAAGAGAATATTCTGATGTTATATCAAGGTTTTTACAGGTATTTGAAAACACTAATAGATGATTTTACACATACACACACAAACGCACAAATTGATGCAGTATATAAAAGATTTGGCAACACAAGAAGTTGAGTTGTGATGAAGTTGAACTTGCTTATAATGTAATAATATCTATCTGGGTTTAAACATTTCATATTTTGGAAAAATCTTTTGAACCGTAAGCAATTTGTTTTTTGACGAAACTTAGTTTGATAATGCCTGATGGGATGAGGACAAATCTTATTGGTGTTTGAATCAATAGGTCAAAGGTCAAGGTCACAGAAACTATTAATATATGACATTTGGTTTCCAGATATTATCTTTTGAACCAAATTCCCAACTTTTACCAAATTTAATGCCCCCAATGGCATGAGTAACACCCCTAATGATTTTAGGGGCAAAAGCAATTATCTGTAGTTTGAAATTTGGGCAAAATGTAAGGAATTCCTTAACACATGACACGCAGCTGACAAAAAATCTATTCAGGAATGTGAGTAAAAAATTTTCATTTCTTTATATTTGTTACATTTATTAAGCAAACATAAAAAGAAATATTTGACATAATTTTTTGTATTCTTCAGTGCCAACCAGCATTATGGGATGCTAAGTATTTTTCAGCACAAGCCAGGCCAAGATATTTTTGGGGCAATATTCCTGGAATGTATAGGTGAGAATTAACTGGAAATCTTTTTTTAGAAGCTAGCTGAGATAAAATTAGGCCGTTCTTATTTAGCAATGTTTTTTTAAAAAGTTAAATGGGCAAAGGATATATTTTATGTATTTTTAGCATTTTTATCTACTGAAATTGAAATGACACATTTATTTCTCTCTGTGAAGACTAATGTAAAATGTAGTTGTCATGACCTGTCAGTCTGTCCGTCCGTGAGTCCTATTCTTGTCATCGCAACTCCTCTAAAACCACAGTACAGAATTTCATGAAACTTTGTAGACAATAAGGACATACTATGAAGATGTGCATATTAACAAGAAATTTTTGTCAGTTGACTTTTGTAGGAGTTTTGAGTCTTTGAACTTAAGAATCTAGTGACATTTTGTTTGCCAAGTGACAATGTGGGGACGTTGGGTATTTGAGCATGCTCACAAGGGTTCTTTAATTATCAACTAGAAGACACTACCAAGTATCGTGATTGCAATTATTTTCACAAGAGGCATACTGTAAATTCTTCAGTGAAATTATAAAGAGGCTAAAAAATGCTTTTTCACACCTTCATCACTAAGAACTGTTGCATATTGCTTTTAACTTTTAAATTTATACACTTATTGTAGAGAATTCTGAGATGTAAACAGTGATTCTTTTACTATTGTGAAAGACTATATTCCCCTTATGAAGTTTTTGGTGCTTTGTGTTGTCGAGTTGCTGTCTCATTATACGACCGCAAAAAATTTGTGTTCGTATATTGCTATCATGTAGTCGTCGTCGTCTGAAGACATTTGGTTTCCAGACAATAAATTTAGTATAAGTGAATGGATCTCTATGAAATTTAACCACAAGGTTTAATACCACAAAGGGAAGGTTGGGATTGAGTTTGGGGGTTATGGTCCTACTGTTTAGGAATTAGGGGTCAAAAAAGGCATTTTTCTAGTTTCCAGACGATAACTTGTGTATAAGTGTATGGATCTCTATGAAATTGTACCACTAGGTTCCATACCACAAAGGGAAGGTTAGGATTGACTTTGGGGTTTATGGCCCAAACCGTTCAGGAATTAGGGGCAAAAAAAGGGGGGGAAACAAGGTTTTTCTTGTTAATGGACAATTACTTAAGTATTAGTCTATGGATCTCTATGAAATTGAAACACAAGGTTCCATACCACAAAGGGAAGGTTGGGTTTGACTTTGGGGGTTATGGCTCAAACCGTTCAGGAAAAAGGAGGGGGGAAGGGGGGAACAAGGTTTTTCTGGTTCCCGGACAAATACTTAAGTATTAGTCAATGGATCTCTATGAAATTGTACCATAAGGTTCCATACCACACACAGAAGGTTGGGGTCGATTTTGTTGGTTGTGGCTTTAATCGTTAAGAAACTAGAGGCCAAATAGGGGCCAAAAACCAGACTTTTCTAATACTAGCTAAGCTGGTTCTAACATAAATTATTTCTGATCTATATAAAGAAACAACAAATACTGATATGGCAGGAGATACACACCAAACAGGGTGTGTAAATTATTATATTTAGTTTGTAAACAGATTTACTACGTATTGAGCAACAGCAAAGTATTGCACAACAGCAAGAACTCTTCAATTGAAAATAAATACAAATCTTTGAACCAATTTCAATGAGGATTAATTTAAAGTCTTGAATTGTTTGAGGTTTTTACCATGTATTACTATTTTGGATATTTGGACATCATTTTTAAATAGGTCTACATTGAGGTCCAAAGGGTCCAAAATTAGAATTTGTTTGATTTCATCAAAAAATGAGTTCTGGTGGTTCTATGATATGCTGAATCTAACTGTGCATTCAGATATTTAATTTTGGGCCTTGTTTTAAATTAGTCTATATTAAGGTCCAAAGGGTCCAAAATTAAACTTTGTTTGAATTCATGGTGTTTTTTTTATATGCTGAATCTAACCATGGAATTAGATTTTGGATATTGGACCATTAAGTAGATTAAATGTCCCATTTCAAATTTTTAAGTTATCTGACCACATTTCTTCTGTGTCAGAAATCTGTAATGTGTCAAATATTTAATCACTATCTAAATTCAGAGCTGTATCAAGCTTGAATATTGTGTCCATACTTGCCCCAAGTGTTCAGAGTTTGACCTCTGCAGTCATATCCAGCTGCTATAGGCAGAGCGCATTTTTGACATATACTGTACATCTCCCATTCTTTTTATCTCTAGTTATCTTTTAATTTATATTTTGTGGTTGTGTTGCTACATGTCTTGTATAGCCTTTTATATACCTCTTATTACAGCACACCAGATTTATCTGATATTAAACTCACAGCAGACCTTGATGATATTTTGTCTCAGAAATGCAACAGAAAAGCTACAGTAAGTTTAACTCAGGATGAGAAATTTGGGGGGAGAGGGGTTATGAATTGGCAGTCATTTTTATAGTGTGAAACATAATTTTTAACAGCTACTGGGTCTATCCTGGGAAAAAATTGTCTCGTAAACATCTAATTTTCAGTACGGTAAGGAATGACCAAAAAAAGACAGCTATAAGTTATTTCTGTTCACTTGTTTGTAATATGTATGAAACTGTAGAATATAAATACGCATATCACTATTTTCAGGTGTGAGACATAAGTGAAAATGCACTGCAAAAGAATATTCAGAGTGACCCCACATGAAATTTGGCTCAATTCCTTTAATGTTGTATCGAAAGAAATGTACAGAAAGGACAAAATATAGATACGGATTGCAAGATTTGTCACTTTTTGTACATTGCTGTTAATGCTGGTAGAATATCTCCAGATTAAACTGTAATATTAGTGTCAGATTGAAAATCTTATAGAATCATTTCTTTAATATGAATATTTAATTTTAGGTAAAGATTATAAGGACTGTTACAACAAGACAGAATTCTTTGAAACAAGGAAAAAATGATGCTTTCTTCCCTGTTACCATGAATGGAAAAGATGATATTATCTGGATTTCTGAATTAGAACGGTATAGCTGGTAAATGGATGTAGCATGATGGTCACCATGACATTTGTAAAAACTTAAAAAGGGCAGTTTGGCAAAAATGATTATCAAGACCAGATCTACAATTAGGTCAACATGGTTGAAATTGTTAGTTGACTCCCTGTTTGTAGATTGTTTCTTGTTGATTATTTTAGATGTGTACAGTTTCTCTCTATCTTCTATAATTTTGAACAAAATGAAAAAAAGGGGCAACAAATTTCCATTTAAGGGCAATAACTTCTAAAGAGTCAACTGACAATTTCAACTTGAGTTGACTCAAAACCATTTCTGCTTATATTATTTACTAAATCTGTAACTCCTTGAAAAAGAGATGGAAGATATCAAAGTGATGTGAAAACTCTTCAAGTCTCTAGACAAACTGACAACACCATTGCAAAAAACTAAAAGACTGAGCAACACCAACCCCACAAAAACCGGGGGTGATCTAAGGTGCTCCAGAAGGGTTAGCAGATCCAGCTACCGTAGTATTGCTCATTAAAGTACAAATTATGTGGCAAGTTATTCGCTTATATCACATTCTAGGAAAGGTGGATGTTAATATTGTTAAAAACAAATTCACAAAGCTTTGGTCAATGAGAGGACATTATCTATATAGCAGAATTTGAAGTTCAAGGATAATGCCTAGCTTAGTTCTTCCTAAGAAGCCTGTATGAAGTCTGCCTTATGTGAATTAAGGAAGAAGTTTGCAAGAAGATGAGTACAGTTGGTTCCCATGGGAATGCCGATTGCTTGCGCTTTGGAACTTTTCATTTAAATACCTATAACATGTTCTTTCCCATAATTGCTATATAAAAATAAGGAGATGAGTTTTGATTGCCAATGAGACAACTTTCCATCAAAGTTTAAATAAAGCGGATGTAAGCAAATATAGGCAACTGTACCGCCTTCAACAATGAGAAAAACCCATACAGTATACATGAAAAATATGAAACAATTCAATTGAGAAAACTTTTGTATAAATTTCAACAAGAAGTAGAAAATTAGAAATGCATGCTTGTTGAAGACCGTACTTTGACCTATAATGGTTTACTTTTATAAATTTTGACTTGGATGGAGAGTTGTCTCATTGGCACTCATACCACATCTTCTTATATCTATGCATGTATGCATGTTTTCATCTCTGAGCTAGGAAACTTGTTAGGGCTATTCCATTAAAAAGAATATACCAGGGTCGGAGGGCAATTATAAAAAATCCCGTTGGTTGTTGATGTGTTGAAGTGTGTATGGCCAGTGGCCCTTGGTGTTTAGAGAAACTAAGTATTGTTGGTTGTTGGTCTTCTTTGACAGTCATTTTTTGTGACTATCGGTTTCAATGTGTTATTTTCCGTTATTTATTATTATTTGTTTTTGCAAGGACTTATATAACCGATTGTTTTTGTCTCCTGCTCTTATCGTGATATTTTGGAAAACATAACTGTTCCCGCGACTTACGCAGCGGCAGGCGCAACCGTTGTATTCTACCCATGGTACCAGTTCCGGAAGTGCAAGAGTTACTTCCCTTAAATGACAAGCACATGGCGAACGATGTCTAATTCTCTTGAAAATAATATTCGTAGGTTCAAATTAGCGGTGGTCCGAGGTTTGCGACCTTCCACTATTGCAATCGGACTTTCGTTTGGTGACTAGCTAGGCCCGACGTACTTTCGATTTGAAAGAAAATAAAAATTTACTATGGCGACCTTTTTAACCATCAGTATGGTCATTTTAAAGCCATATTACTATTGAGATCGTACACCCTCCAGGGATTTTTCTAGCATTCCACAGGGTCCAAATACCGGACCCATTCCTATTGGCAATGTCAAATACCCTACATTTTTCCCAATTTTCAATTTGGGACCAAAACTTCCAAACGATCTCAACATTTATTTTTATCTTTATTATTCATGACAGCGATGCTCAGTTTGTTCAATCGCTAGCTTTATACTGAAAATTGCCAACAAGTAATGTGTAAATACGAGTAAATCGTATCTTACTGACAAAAACAACATTGAAAAACAATGGATGCCATAAACTGGAAATGAAGACGATTACAATACCGGATCAGATTCCGGAGTCGGATAAGGGTAATTCCGGGTTTGCCGATCAAATACAATAAAAAAAAAAATAATTCCAGGCAGGTGACAAAATATGATGATGAAATATAAACACTAGAATTGAAAACCAAAAGACATATGGAAAAGAAAGAAAAAGCATGAAATATTTTATACAGAAACTCAAAATAACTTTTAGTTCACAAATTTTCATGTCAAAATCCGATGAAATGTGACAGTAATTTTCTTTATCATTAATAAATGTTGATATTACATGTAGATGTTTTTATAGAGTATACATATATCTACAATTCCAAGAGGTCATTTCTTCTCAATTTTGAACGGCCAGTAAAAATCTGGAAGTTTCTTACTTTATTTTTACAACTAATATAATAGTGCAACTAGATATGATACATTTAAACAGCTTTGAATTTGAACTGTTACATTAATTATATAATCCGGTATGAATTGAACAATATAAAAAAAAAGATACAAATAGCCCTTTATATCATAGTAATAACCAAACATTGTAGCTCCTTGACCCTGTCCACCCCCTCTAAATTGTCTAGCAACTATAATGTTTATATAACAATTCCTTTGGTTGTGGTAAATTAGAATAAAATAAGTTAGATATATTCCAGTTGGTTCTTGTATTGTTATGAAACGACTTCCTGTTGGTTGGTGTTAAGATACATGGTACATTCCTCTTGGTCATGGGGGTACTTAAAAATTGCCTTCCGACCCTAGTACCTCCTTTTTAATGGAATAGCCCTTTTGAATGTTCACTGTAATAGAACTTGATAGTCCTGAACTTGTCCTTGCTCTAATATTTACTCTTGTTAGTGAATTGGAAGTTTAAATTCAATCCCTGATTGAAAACAAAGGGGCCCTAGTTTATAATTTATTTTGTGAAAGAAGTAATCATGGTTAAGCTTACCAGAGTGTAAGTAAAAATGGTCAATGCTTTATATCTTCAGCTTTTAGTACATTGAATAACACATGACAAAGAAAGTTGTGCTAATTTAATGTTATTAGACAATTGAAAAGAGTTTTTAAAGACCTTCTACTAGTGTAAATTCAGAAATGTGTGTGATGTTTTTATCATTGTTGTGAAGTTTTTAACATTGTTGTGAAGTCGGCAAGGGAAAGTTGTTTCCATAAATAACTTGCTTTAAATTTTGATAGCATTTCCTAAAATTGTAGTTATTTATCTTGCAATTTTGTCCATTGTTCAACAGTTTCAATAAAATAAAGTAGAGATCAGAATTTAGAGCATATCATCTGAATAAAATTGAAAGGAGATGAAGGATGCAAGTACTTTGAACTATTGTCAGAAAAACATCTGTTGTTTTTAGACAAATGACTTTCTTAGTGCAAAAAATGCTAAATGTCAGTATTTGTATTTTTCAGAGTTTTTGGATTTCCAGATCATTATTCAGATGTAGGGAACATCACAGTAACTAAACGTCGACAGATGATCGGCAGAGCATGGAGTATACCCGTTTTGAAGAAGATTCTTAATACACTCACAGATTTCTTTGCTGTCAGGAATGTGGTAGAAAGTTGTAAACTTTAAAATCTTTATTTGTCTCAGACTGAAGAATTATAAAGATTTTCTCCTAATTTCCTGATATATGCACATGAAAACAAATGAGGGTTTTATGCAATGTTTTTTTTTTATCATATATACCAGCTCCATGTGCAATTTGATAATTGTCAGATCTGACAGTGGTCCATAGTTATGTGACTTTAGTTGTTGTTACAATTTAATGGCATCTCAAATGATATTTCTGTGTACATTATTAGATCTTTAGGAAATTTTTACACAATGTTTAATGCATCTAGAAACATGAGCACTTTTTTTATTTTGAAATTTTGATATGTCTTGCTTATTTTTATATCCCCTACCTCTGCAAAATGTTTATTGGAACTATCTTCCAACCTTTTAAAGCTTTGATGTCAGTTTTTTAGATGTGATCTTCTGGAATTCGGATACCTAGGTGTCGAAATTAATCTGTGGATAAAAATATGCACTCATGATGCAGCTTTTTATTATTGACAAGTAATGTAAAGCATGAAATTTTTAATAGCTGTATGACTAGTCAGCTGACCTGTATTGTTTAACTTTTAAAACTTTTTTTCAGTTTTGTTTTTGTCATTGATATATAATTAATATTAAGTTTTTTCTTAAAATTGGATGAAAGGCTCAATAAATTGTTATGTTGTTGATATTTTTTTGTTTTGATATTCTTACAAGTTGTCAGCTAAGGTTATGTTATATATGTTATTTGAAATTCCAACAAGTTTTGATATTCTTACAAGTTTCTAGCTAAGTTTGTATGTTATATACATATATATGTTTTGATATTTTTACAAGTTTCTAACTAAGGTTATGTTTTTTTTATCTTTGTTTTGATATTCATACAAGTTTCTAGCTACTGTTGTTTTTAATAATATTTGCAGAAGACTGATTATCATAGAGACATTAGTTCATTCCTCAGTTACAAGTTTTTAGCTGGACTAAAGCCGTTATTTTAGGTTTAATGTCTATTAGTAAGCTTTTTAAAATCACAGATCTACTTTGAAAAATCTAGGCCTGAATGATTGAACTTTATTAGAATTGTACCTAAGGGTATCTGACATGAAAAATATGGTCTATTATAGGAGTAAGATATCAACTTTCACTGCTTTCTGAACTATTATGATAAATGTGACAATTTTATTGATAGATTTGCTTAGGTTTACCATATTTTGTACATTTACAGTGGTCATGCAGTAAGTTTAAAAATTCTTTTCAAAATGGAAAATATTCATCTGATGGACCCAGTAAATGAATATAAGAATATTTATACCTCTAGACTACATGTTCAAATCCTTTAACTACAGAACCTACAAAACAAGTGATTTAACCATATCACAGTTTCTTATTAAAATGGCATCAATTTGACCCCCAACTAATCACAAAGGTGATCACTGAACTATAAGTAAAAGTTGATATCCAAAACTTCATTAAAAACTTTTATTTGAATTATTAATTTAGTCTATTTTGGTCAGAGCTGTTCCATTTTTAAATTGCATATGAAGACATCATGCAACATCTAGCTCTACATTTGATTTGACACCATGCAACATCTAGCTCTACATTAGATTTGACACCATGCAACATCTAGCTCTACATTTGATTTGACACCATGCAACATCTAGCTCTACATTTGATTTGACACCATGCAACATCTAGCTCTACATTTGATTTGACACCATGCAACATCTAGCTCTTCATTTGATTTGACACCATGCAACATCTAGCTCTACATTTGATTTGACACCATGCAACATCAAGCTCTACATTAGATTTGACACCATGCAACATCTAGCTCTACATTTGATTTGACACCATGCAACATCTAGCTCTACATTTGATTTATGTTAAGTCGTGACCTTACTATGATGATTTATTTGTCAACAGAAAATATCAAACTTCTAGTCAAGACTTTTAATTTTGAAAAAAAATAACAACAAGAAAAGTTCATATGTGATTCAAGTTCAGGCTTTAACAATTTCAATTGGATTATTTTTTGTGTGCTTAAATGTGAATATTAATGGGATAGGATATTTACCCTTTGCATTCTGTACACATACATTTTTACTTGCATGAGTTGGGTGTTTTATGAACTTGTATGTTGAAACTTATGTACATTTGATTTCAATAATTTCAATGTGAATTTCAAATTAGTTTTACATGAAATATTCAAGAAGAGTTCACATCAATATTTTTGGAACATTTTGGTGGCTATGACATTATTCATGTAAATTTTGCATTTAGGCCAATGTTTAAACATTTCAACAGATGAACATCTGATAGTTAGTTGTTAAGTTCTTATTTACATATAGCACAAAACAACTTTCAACCTTATTAGCACCATAAGCTACATTTGATTCTTGAACAAGTTTTGTTTTATAATCATATTGTAAAGATCCATATTGTTATTTCATCACTTCATTTTATCAGGCATTAAAAATGCACTTCTTCAATATTTTTAAGTTGACTATGAACCCCATTAAAAGCTGTGCCTACTGAAGTTTTTTGTTGAGATGGAAGTGGTGGCATTTTCACATATTTTTTTTTTAAGTTTGAAGACCAGTCATGTACTATAGAATTTTTCATTCAAACCAACTGAACAACCAGGACAGAAGTCTTTGGCTATTTATAAGTTAATTTTTTTTGGTTTAATTTGTATTTAAAATTTGTAGTCTTGTTGTCATATAAATGTAATAATTTTTAGAATGATTTTGTAATTTTTAGTTATTTTTTTGTTTGTCTAAATGATTAAAAACTTTATTTGTTACATATGCCAGGTGCATAATTGGTAGGTTTGATATTTATTTTTAATTTGTTTTTGTTGTTATTTTCAAGGAAATGAAAATTAAAAAAGTTAACTCTTGTCACGTTTTATTTCATATACAACAGTATTTCATATACAACAGCACAAATCTCTTATAGAAAAAAGCACGAGAGAAATAGTCTGTGCGACTAGTTTCAATATTTCTTGCATAGAAAAGAACAAAACCCTAAACCATCCAGATGTTTGTTTTGTAAATTAATAAACTTTAAATCCAGAGTATGTGTTTTTAACTGGGCGTATAAAAACCAATACCATATAGTTTACTATAAAAGGCCCCGACATGAAAAATATGAAACAATTCAATTTAGAAAACTAACAGCCTAATTTATAACAAAACAATTTAGGAAAAACAAATATGACAAACATGAACCAATGACAACAACTGAACTACAGGCTCCTGACTTGGGACAGGCACATATAGAATGTGGTGGGGTTTAAACATGTTTGTGAGCGCTCAACACTCCCCCTAACCTGGGACAGTGGTTTAACAGCATAACATAAGAACAAACTATAAAAATCATTTGAAAAAGGCTTAACTCATCAGATCGATACAAAGCAGAAAAAATATCAAACAAAAGCACAGACCGGACGTGGCAGGGTATTTATCCATCCCTCATCCCTAACAACAAAAAAGACACTAAGTACAGATCTGAGAATACTCGCAAATACTGACAGCTAGATCAAAGCCAATAACAACTAATAAAAAAAATCATGCATCTAAGACTAAAATATCAATCAGTACACATCCAACATCCAATGGATTTAGTGTAAAGACATGACCTTGAGCAATGCCAAAATATAGTTATCGACAGATTGTAGAACTATGAAAGTACATATGTGTATAACAATAATATTTAGTATGGTTTAATTTACTGATAACAAAATCAATATTTATACCATAAAAAATAATGTTATGATGTGCCTCTTTAAAGTTAGAAACCGTGTCATGTTAACTATGTTTTCAACTGAAATCCAGTTAATTTAGAGGTGGAAGGGGCGGCTTCAGTTGTTTCTGTACAATAACTTATAAAAGTAATTCAACCAATGCTTTTCAAATTTTAATATGTTGCTGACGAAAAAATGAAAGTCTTAAGTTCTATAAACAATTTTCACTTTTGTTTGTGTTCCTTGATTGATTAAAAATAACACTGACAACCTCTTGTTTTAACTTGCCTGAAACTGGAGCGAACTTTGGCACAATCATCCTTACGGTGTTAACTTTAAACTATGTGACATTATTCTGTCTGAAATGATAAAGTTAACAGAAAAAAACATGCCATCTAGTCACATTATGCTGTTCCTCTTGAAGAGGTCATTGTGTATGTGAATAAGCTCACTAAAAGTTCTTTGATTTAGCCATTTTTTTTGTGTTTTTGGCTATTATTTTGAGAATTGTAATACCAGTAGATGATCATCATGATTGGGAGACCTTCTACATAAATTCCTTATTGGGTGGCTACTGTGGCACATGGGTGTCCTTTATATCTGTATTCTTTAATTTTTGAGGTCATTTTTCTCTATTCTTTATATTTTAGCACCCCGTTATTCTCTATTTTCTTGATCCATTTTTCTCTTTATTTTATATTTTTTGCCCATTATTCTCTATTCTATTTACCCAGAACCTCACACATGAGTTTCCATTGAAGCCTATGCGAAATCACATTTTCATCATCTTCTCTGAAACCAGATGGTTAATATTAACCAAAACTAATACCCCTACTAGTCAGATTAAGTGGTGTTCTGCATTGGCTTTGTCCCTCTGACAAATCTTGTGGAGACAACTTCTTTATCTTTTGAGGGATTTTGTTCATATTTTGCATCCTGACTTGCCACCAAATGAACATGATGATTTTATGCCAAATTTTTTTCCTATCCACTTTTACCAGACAAACATGCAACTTATCCCCAACAAAAGTTATATCAAAGGTCACATGAATACCTATCCAACGCTTGTTGAACTATAATACATCGGCAATAATTTTTAGCTTATTTTGACAAAACTGAACCAAACTGACTGCAGAAAGCAAAATATTATTTCAATATTCTGCTTTTCTTAATATAAAATGAAAAAAAAATATATTTTAATTTTTTTTTTCTAATTTCCAGCCAATGCCCATTAAAAATATAATGTATAACAGAATGTCATATATCATCTATATGATTTTTTTTTAATTCAAAATTTATGAGGCTGAAATGACAATCTATAGACCATTTCAAATTGACAACAGAAGACCCAATTACCCCATTGTTGTTATTCGAGGCATAAAAAATAACTATAAACTTTTTTATAATAATTTATTGTTTTTTTTCAATGTTTTATTTGATCTTTTAGTTGACACTTCTCATTTCCATTACACACACATTTATTCCACATTCTAACAGTATATGATGTGACTATAATCATTCTTATACAATGGAAATGGAAACACAATGAATGGAATGACTTTGGTAAAAATTATACACATTTTTTTTCGTCTTCAAACACTAAAGAATCAAGTCTATAGAAAACATACACACTTAAAACTTGCAAAATGATTCAAAATGTATTTGACAATCAGCACAATAAAAAATAACATTTCCAATTATAACTTCAATGACGTGTTTTCAGAGCACTATATGATAAAAATGAAATAAACTCACTGTTTCACTTTGTACACAGTTTTCTATTTCATAAAAATAACTGATAAATATTTTTTAACACGATAAAATGAACTTAAATGTTACTAAAACATAAAAGAGAGCTAAGTTTTTACTCAGAATTTATACTAGCTTCAAAAACAACTGGTGCCTCCATTGCAGCCCAGAGTGAAATACTTTGACACTGTGCATTAAAGTTGTTTATGACAATGAAATACATTAAGCAAATGTGTGTATATGGAATGCAGTGATGCAATGGCCTATACAAGTCTAAAAACAAATTAAGTTCATGTATTAAATGAATTATGTCCTAAATATGCCATTATTTAAGCAAAACATAAAAAAAACAAACATACGCACACACATACACATATAACAACACAAATATACATACTCCAACACAATTACACATAATACTAATTGCACATTTTGCTGACATAAAAAAATAAAAAACAAAACAAACAGTAACTAATAATTTAAGTATATTTTCAACAACATTTAAAACAAAATAAGATAAAGAAGAAACTGACAGTGTTTAATCAAAAATACTCCTATATGGTTAAGTCGAGAAAAGAGAGTTCTTACAGCTATTAGTGAAGGACTGTGAAATCCAAATATATACTAAAACTTCATTAGATAAGTTGGTAGGTTAACCAATGGCACAAGGTGTTATTTTCATTGAAAATAATACCGAAGTTCATTCTGTCTCTTTAAAACTGGAACTGTAAAGCTTTCTATTTTCTTGTAATTTTTTTCATTTTTTTTTCTTGTGTTTTTTTAACAAAATTATACTGCCTCTGTCTACGTAAATCACTGAATACCAATGATGATATTCAATGAAATTAACATTCCAATTTTGAAAGTTTTTGCACTCAAGACTCTGGAGACTATAATTAATTCAGTGACTTTTCAATAAGACATTCATTACAGTGTTAGAGGAATGAAATTTACTGAGGAGAGTTGAGACATTAAGATTATTCCAAGAATCTTCTACAATTAACAGAAATTTCAAAAATTCATGCCTCAGAAAATAGAATAGATGGCTAGGAAGAACAAATACTATTCTCATCTGGAAAATTCAATGGACTAGCACAACGCTATACCAAGTTTCATGTATATACTTTAATTCATTTAAGGAGTTGCAATGACAAAATGGTTAGAGATATAGGTAAAGACTGAACTTTGGAAGAACTAACTGGATCAACATATTTTTTCCAATCTGCATATGAATAAATAACAGTGCACTCTGGAGAAAAAGCCACAGAACACAACATCCTATCCACCTGCGAATCTGCTTTACACAGAAATCTTGATATCTAATATTTGTAAAGTAATTCAAGACCGTACTATATTTGTATACGATTTAATAAAGGAAGAAAGATAACTCAACTTATGTGAATTTCAATGTGCCTTGAGTAGTTTTCTCCCTTTGAAACTTGCAATGCACCAAATATTGTGTAGCTACAATAAACATTATAGAAGAAAATGTCATGATTAGGTAAGTGCTAGTTAGCCTGAAGTGTTTTAAATGAAAAGAAATTTGATGAACCAGAACATCCTCCCTTAATACAACAATACACTAAAAGATCTAACAAAGTACCAAATTATAATTCAATATATAATAGCCATGCAGGCACAGCAATGACAACATTCCACAAGCTTTTTATGTTCTGCCATTGGACTATACTTTGGGATGTCCAATCACATAAGCAATGTCCTTTCTAGTTTAAAATAAACAGAAGCAGTTCTTTCTTTAGAATTGTTAATTCCCTTTTAGGGGGTTTACTTGTATATTGCTTTAAGGAGTGGGGATCATCAATCAGAGTTCTATAGGGCGGTAAGTAAAGGACAAATTCCTTGTTATTTGATAAGTCATAGAGTGAGTGCTTGACTGTTGAGAAAAAAATAGACATTGGTGTTTTAGCCACAAATAAATTACTTTTTAAATGATTTCCATATTGAATCCGATTTGTTCAGTTTATACAGAATAAAGAATTTTGAAAAATGTTAACATGACAGGAAATAAATGGTGGCAGTATTTCACATTGATCTTATAACCTAGGGAGTTAAAAAAGTGTATTACAATTCATTATTACCCTTATGAAATTTTAGTTAAAAAAAAAGAGAATCCTGTCTCAGGAAAACTTATGACTAATGCAATAAAATAGAAGTGATAAAGTACCAATTTAAAATAACATTTATGCAAAAGACATGCATAATAGACAGGTATACAATAATCATAATGTTTTACCAAAATAACCCATAAAATATCTACACATACTTCCGTTATGATATATTGTATGATGAACCGTGTTATAATAAATATAGAATCTCTGATTTCATACAAACAATAAAAGGAAATGTTTGGTACAATCTGATATGTACGTCAATTTACATTTGTACATTTAAAAAATTCATTAATAATCTTTAAAATATGCAAATTAAATAAAACATCAAGTATGTAAGTTACCGGTATATGATTTGAGCAGTATAAATTACATGCTGCAAATAAAGTTGAGGAGCTTTGTGTGAAATAACTAACACCTAAATTAATGGGAAAATGAATTCTTTTTAAGGAATGTTAAATAAAATTGAAAAATTATTTCTGGTTAAATATGAAATAAAATGAGAATTCCTTTAACAAATGTGAAATGTCTCGTTCAAAGATGTTACTTAAGTTAGATAAACATCTGTATAACTAAAAAATGATGTCAACTAACACTGCTTAATTTAAAAACAAGAATGTGTCCATAGTACACGGATGCCCCACTCGCACTATCATTTTCTATGTTCAGTGGACCGTGAAATTGGGGTCAAAACTCTAATTTGGCATTAAAATTAGAAAGATCAAATCATAGGGAACATGTGTACTAAGTTTCAATTGGATTGGACTTCAACTTCATCAAAAACTACCTTGACCAAAAACTTTAACCTGCCCACTCGCACTATCATTTTCTATGTTCAGTGGATCATGAAATTGGGGTCAAAACTCTAATTTGGCATTAAAATTAGAAAGATCATATCATAGGGAACATGTGTACTAAGTTTCAAGTTGATTGGACTTCAACTTCATCAAAAACTACCTTGACCAAAAACTTTAACCTGAAGCGGGACAGACAGACGAACAGACGGACGCACAGACCGAAAAACATAATGCCCCTCTACTATCGTAGGTGGGGCATAAAAAAGCAGTTTGCATTTACAATTGATATGGTCTGAACGCATAAAAGTCAAGGTGATATTGAATATCAAGTTAAATGTAGAAATATTCACAAATTTATCAGCAAGGTCAAACAAAATGATTGTCAATTTATGCATAAATGGCATAAAAAACAGAAAATACACAATTCTCTTGAAAATCTGAATATGATTTAGGACTTGTTAACTTATTGATCACAAACATATCATATGCAGCCCTCAGAGGTGCAGCAAATCATTCAAAGGTTAACTTATAGAATGACAGAAACTGCACTGATAGATACCCATGTCACATGATATGTAACTGTTGATCAACTATGACCCCTTCTAGTTTTCACACCTTTAATTAACTAGTAAGTACCAATACTTACAGAATAATCACTGCCTTCTTGGAAAGTCAATTAAAGTAAACAATAAATTACTCAAAATAAAATGGCTGAGAAAAACAATAGAAACCTATGCATCTTCTTTTGTCCTAGATGAAATTGCATATAAACTTAAATCAAACCATAGATCAAATATAAAGCAGATATCACATCAATAAATATAACTCTGTGTTACTGGAATTGTATACTACAGGACCGAATATATACAAACATGGCACGATTTCTAAAATACACAAAAATATACATAATATACAGAAAGGTTAAGACAGAGAATACAATTGCTTGTTTAAAAATTACAATACATAAATTTACACAAAATCACATATTTTTGATTTTGAAATCACCAATCATGTACAAGTTATCAAATTTATCTATATATTTACAAAAAAACTCTGCTTTAAAAGCAGAATAAACATGATAATAAACCCTGAAAATAGTGCCAACATTGACATAAATAACAATAATAAATGGTCACACAAACTTGAGTTTGTATGTATATTTGGTTATGCTTACACTTATTATACATGTCTTACATGTACATTTTGTTATATCTACAAAAATAATTGAAGCTAGACTGTCTAATGTTAGTATTTATATGGTACCAAGGGAAGGCACTTCAAAAATGGGGTATGCGATGAAAGAAGAAATTTTAGCTTGTTTCTTAGAAGAAAGGCACCATAGATGCAATATCTGACTGCCCTCCCTGGGTGGTTTATCATTTTTGATAATAAATCTGTTGTGCTTCATTAATTAACACACACCTCTTGTAACATTTACACCATATTAAATTGACAAGAAGGGGCTGATTAATTGACTTTTGTTTAGTAGGGACACAATACTATCAAAAATGTCAAGCAAGCATAGTGAGAAAAAAATAATAAATTTTCAAATAAAATTTCAGGAAAACCCACTTAAACAATTATTCCTTTTAAAAGTTATTTGCATTTTCACAGTTTTCATGGTACAATATATTTTAATCATCTATTTCACCATTCATTAACATTCAAGCACACTACCATGGTGGATTACAATATCTATATTCATTCATGATGCTGGTAATTAAATTTTCAAAATTTACATTTTAGATCTATAAAACACCTGGGACAAAAAATAAAAAGAAATTCTGGAGACATGGCTAACAATTACCAAATTAACATTTCAGCATGTAAATTAAATCCCTCAGTCAAAACTTACTACAAATCTACACATAGCCATTCTACACATAGACAAGCCATTGTAAACAGATGATGACAAACTATACCTGTGCATGATCTATAAAACTTACAGCAGCTGTGTAAAGACACAATTGTATAAAATTACAACTTGAATAACTTGCCATTTCTTTTTCTTTCCAAGTGCCACTAAATTCTTCATTACAATATGTAATCAGATGTTGTCATTAAGGGTCTTATAACAACTTACATAGTATTAATTCAATACATAGGTGACAGTATCATGTGTCAAGGTCATATCTACTACTGAATCATGATTTAAGCTTAACTTATGGTAATAATGTAGGTTCTACTTAACCAGTGGTTACCATGGACACAAGTTCATCCGTACATGATGAATATTCTCATTACTGTCCACTCACATACTCATCAGGGAAACATTTCATCTAAGACTGATAATAAATGTGAAGACACTGGATCATCAAACTTCAGCACCAAGGTCCATTACCCCTGAATCTGCAATTGGAACATATTTGTCACCTATTTGCACTAAAAGTATGACTTTGTCAACATGAGATCTTTTGATGGTTTCTCGATGACAGGGAATCCATTTGTGTACAACTATTCCCACCATGCCTTTAGCAGGAAGCCAGCCCTGCCATGCATTACTACCTCCATTCAGTCTCCATTCTTCATTGGGCCATTGGACATCAATACGTCGACCAAGATTAATGTTCAGGAAAACTAAAGATGGATCCATTATCTGAAAACAGCAAAATACACATTAAAATATTATTCCTAATGTCATTACTATTGCTTATAATAAATTGTTGAAAAAAGACCTGTCCTACCTACTCCATACCTAAACAGAACCATTTGATGGATTATCAGATGAATGCATACAGGGGTCAGTCCCTCTGGTATCTTTCGTCCCTCTTTTACTGAAACTTTAAAATATTAATCACTGAAACATGAATGATATTGAAGAACTATTCCCAAGATGCAGGTTTATTTTATTGTTACAACTTACCTATATTCCAAGACATATATTGTGCTACTTGAATGAAATTTAACATGTAAAGAAAGATTCTATGAAAGTTCATTGAATAATGTCATTGTTCAAGGAGTAGTTGCAGGTACAAGATGTCTACCTTTTAGTAGATATGACATGGTCCATATTTGCCATTGGAAAAAACTTATAAAATGGGTGCACAATACCATCCAATACTAAATATTTAGTGAAAGGTTCAGTGAAATCCAGTTGTGGTTTGGAGTTGCAGATACAAAGTGCAGACAGACAAATGGACAAACAAACACAATTACTGTATATACCATTTTTCATTAAGATTGGATGTTACTTTCTTAAATTCCTAAAAGAAGGATACGTTTTAATTATGTCAACATGCTACTTCCAAATTTGTGAAAATAAGATACATTAAAGTCATATTATATGTTGTGTTTACTTACCCTGACTTTTTGATTAAAGGTTTCTTTTGAGTTGATTTCTGTCAACACTCCAGCAAATGCTGCCAAGGCACTAGGTTTACCAAGGGAACTTGTTGTGGATATCAAACTCCCTCTATTCCCTAATGTTTGTAGAGCTATGTCTTGTTGATTAGTTGGTGTACCGATAGTTGTGGCTCTTGTATTACTACCTGATGAGAAAAATATATTTTTGTTGATCAGTATTTTGTCAGTGTTAAAACCTACTAATAACTTTATTCACTGGATAAATTTCAATAAAATTGAGAATGGAAACGGGGAATGCATCAAAGAGACAACAACCCGACCAGAAAACAGCCCAAGGCCACCAATGTGTCTTCAACACAGCAAGAAAATCCCGCACCCGGAGGCAGACTTCAGCTGGCCCCTAAACAATAATGTATATTAGTTCATCAAAAATGGACGTCACACTTAACTCCGTAACATACAAATGAACCAAAATTAAAAAAACATACAAGACTAACAATGGCCAGAGGTTCCTGACTTCGGACAGATGCAGTATATTAATACATAACTGATAGATTAATTTTTCCAACAGACAGATTTTGTTCATGTACACAATATTTAACCACTGGTTAACTGCTTAAAATTTACAATATTGGGTAGCTTGTTAAACAGATATGGTTTATATTTGCCGTTATATATAATATATATATTTATTTGGAAGACGAACTAAAACCCTTTGCGACCTTAAAATCCTGGGATCCAAAACTGACTTAACCACACTTACTACTTACAGAGAAAGACTGAAAGATGATAAAATCATATATTTGTTACACGTTATTAAGCAAGGAACACTTTTCATGTGAAATTATACTATCAAAACTTTATATGGATACATGATAACATACTCTTAAAATTGAACCAAAATGAAGAAATATCATAGCTTTCAAGTATTTCAGTAAAAACGATTAATTTGAAGAAAATAAGGCAATTTCAATGTCAGTTCATGTTTGTAACATAAAATAAGGCAACTTCAATGTCAGTTCATGTTTGTAACATAAAATAAGGCAATTTCCATGTCAGTTCATGTTTGTAACATGAAATAAGGCAATTTCCATGTCAGTTCATGTTTGTAACATGAAATAAGAAATATCTGTTATCCATTTATTATTTTACCTGCAGAGCCTAAAGCAGTGGCTGCTCCAACATGAGAACAACCTATTGAGTATGCCATTTCTTCCTGGAAACCAGAACTACTTCCTGCACAGGTGGCACCACATCGTCGTCGCATCCTAAAATTATTTATCAGATAACAATGTATGATCGAACAAAGCAAAATACTAATATATCATAAACTAGATCAGTAAAAGTGACGCCACCAAAATTCAAACTTGATCTGTGTTTTGTGGTAATAAGCATTGTGTATAAGTTTCATAACATTTGGTTGAGGCAAACTAAAGTTAGAGAATGGAAACCAATTTTGGGACGTACGTACGTACGTACAGACGGACAAGGGTAAAACTTAATGCCCCCTCCGCCACGGCGGGGGCATAAAAATATAAACAAAAACTCTGGCAAAAGTTCTTTTTTCACATTACAAAAATACACAAGATGCTCCTAAGATCCTTCATCGCTCTCTGAATCTCTTTTTTTACATTCTCTTGTTGTTTTTATTCAATATCCTTCAAAGCATTCATCTCACCAGAACCTTGGATTTTTGTGGGGTTTGTGTTATTCTATCTTATGTTTCATAGAATGTTCTTGGTCTTTTGGTCTTTTTTCTTTCAAGACAGAGACCACTGGTATTCATGAATATCACATATGGTTTGTGGCCACAACCTTGGTAGAAGTCGTTTCCAACCTTAACTATGACCCATGGTGTTGGGAAACAAATAATTCTGAGATTGACATATCTTTGCTTATAGAAATGTGGTATGTATAATTGAAATAAATTTATGACCTAGAACTTGCTTTTTATAGATTTTAACCTTTCTGGCGTCACACCCTTTGCTGGTGGGCAACATTAGTACGGATCATAAGTAACATTCTTAAAAGCATGTGAAGGCTATGAACCCAACAGACAGACTAAGTGATTTTTATACCCTTTTTCCTGTAAGTATTATAAATTATTACTCTAAACCTTACCTTTTCCATACATTTTGGAAGAAGCTTTTAACATTTGCAAGTATAAATTCTCCACCAATGATGCTGGCAAGCTGATTATGTGTAGAAGAATATGATGTTGTCAATGGCGATACATATATAGGATAACCTATGGGTTGATCACATGAAGAGTTGATCATGTTCCTCAATGCTTGCTTGGCATTTTGTATACTGCCTCTTTCTGGATTCCTGTTCCGTAAAAAGATCAATTCTTGTTGTTGTCCTGCCCACAATCCTCTCACACATTCTCTATTTACCTGTACATTGATGAAGAAAGGGAAAAACAGTTTTATACAGGGAAATATTACAGCGTTTAATTAAAAAAAAAATCAAATGCTATTGCATATATACTAATGTACAAGTTCCTATAAAGCTATCAACAATGAATGATCAATTGTACAAAAAAAGAACTAATTACAGTTAACTCTCGTTGTCTCGAACTCGGTTGACCCGAAATTTCGGATGAGTCGAAGTTTTCTCGTGGTCCCGAACTTTGTTCCATATAAATATATGTATTTCGACTCCTGATGAGTCGAAATTGGATGAGTCGAAATTTCGGTTGAGTCGAACTAAATTTACGGTCCCAAGGTTAACAAGAGTGCACACGCTGAAATGTCTCGCCTTCTTTACTAATCATTGATATTATGTTGATAGTCCTAAATATAAAGCTTTATTACAACTGTCACATAAACTTAACATTAACCAAGTAAACTAAACATTGACCAATGAACCATGAAAATGAGGTCAAGGTCAGATGAACCATGCTAGGCAGGCATGTACAGCTAACAATTCTTCCATACAACAAATATAGTTGACCTATTGCTTATAGTTTAAGAAAAACAGACGAAAACACAAAAACTTAACACTGAGCAATGAACCTTGAAAATGAGGTCAAGGTCAAATAAAACCTGCGTGACTGACATATAGATCATAAAATATTTCCATACACCAAATATAGTTGAACTATTGCATATAGTATTAGAAAAAAAGACCAAAACTCAAAAACTTAACTTTGACCACTGAACCATGAAAATGAGGTCAAGGTAAGATGACACCTGCCAGCTAGACATGTACACCTTACAATCATTCCATACACCAAATATAGCTGACCTATTGCATGCAGTATTAGAAAGAAAGACCAAAACTCAAAAACTTAACTTTGACCACTGAACCATGAAAATGAGGTCAAGGTCAGATGACACCTGCCAGCTAGACATGTACACCTTACAATCATTCCATACACCAAATATAGTAGACCTATTGCATACAGTATAAGAAAAACAGACCAAAACACAAAAACTTAACTATAACCACTGAACCATGAAAATGAGGTCAAGGTCAGATGACACCTGCCAGTTGGACATGTACACCTTACAGTCCTTCCATACACCGAATATACTAGACCTATTGCTTATAGTATCTGAGATATGGACTTGACCACGAAAACTTAACCTTGTTCACTGATCCATGAAATGAGGTCGAGGTCAAGTGAAAACTGTCTGACGGGCATGAGGACCTTGCAAGGTACGCACATACCAAATATAGTTATCCTATTACTTATAATAAGAGAGAATTTAACATTACAAAAAATCTGAACTTTTTTTTCAAGTAGTCACTGAACCATGAAAATGAGGTCAAGGACATTAGACATGTGACTGACGGAAACTTCGTAACATGAGGCATCCATATACAAAGTATGAAGCATCCAGGTCTTCCATCTTCTAAAATATAAAGCTTTTAAGAAGTTAGCTAACGCCGCCGCCGCCGCCGCCGCCGCCGCCGCCGCCGGATCGCTATCCCTATGTCGAGCTTTCTGCGACAAAAGTCGCAGGCTCGACAACAAAAGCATTTAAAATTCATTATTTATCTCGAACTAATACACATATGTCAAAACATGACCTCCGGGATTTAAATGGATTGAAGAGTTAATCTGACAATACACGTGTAATTAAATTTCCGGTCACTGACCACTGTATTGATTTATGACATTCAATTCCACGTGTGTTTACCTAAGATTATCTTTTATCACCATGATAAATAATTAGTGATACCTTGTTAAAGTTTATGAAAAATTATTTAAAATGTTTACAAAAAAATTAATTAAATTAATTGTAATTTACACTGATGAGCTTGGATGTGTATAAAGAGGGAAATATTACAGCGTTTAATTAAAAAAAAAATCAAATGCTATTGCATATATACTAATGTACAAGTTCCTATAAAGCTATCAACAATGAATGATCAATTGTACAAAAAAAGAACTAATTACATGTATTAAGTTATTTATATAAATGGCCATCTTCGCTAGCCAAGGGTTACGATCCAATCCCCTACTCTCCACCCTTGGCAGATTGAGATAGAATTTCAAATCCACAAGTAAATTATTTCCATTGGTCCCAGTTGTAACTGGCTGACCCAATCAAAAAGTGCCTTTAAGGTAATCACATGTAAATAAACAATTGCCACATGCTGATTGTGCAACAAGTCTTTAACCCCAAAACATAGGATGATACTTAGTAACAATTCTAAAGTTCTTAATCAACTAATTTAAGTTCCTGGGTATGTTTCTCGTGCAAATGTTGGAATGTCAACGTATATTTTCGGTTCCTGCTTCATGAAATTTGTAAACACTATACACAACCATTTTACTACTCCACATTGAAGAGAGCTCAAGTGCTGTCATTGATCAAGAATAATGTAGTAGGAATGGCTCGACTTTTATCTACCGATAGATGGGGCAGCATTGTAATCACAAACGATGGCTTAATCTGCCAAGGGTGGAGAGGAGGGAATTGGATCATAACCCTTGGCTAGCGAAGATGATAAATGGCTGTTATATCAAGCTTACCTTGACAACTCTAAAGGTGAGGAACTTTTTGTTGAGCATAATAACTTTGTACTCATCGGTACCTTCATCAAACACATGTCTGAAAAGAGAAAGTTTAATATATTTTAACTGTAAACCATTTCATATCATACTGATCTGTATTTTACAAGAAAATTAAAGATACTCTAATTTGTAACAAAAAGTCTTTCAAAAATTAATCTATGATTTTTTCTAAAGCATACTGTATCTCATGTGATTTGATTGGTTATATGAGAGCCAAAGTAACCACCAATAAAAACAATTGGAAAAGTTGTATTCGTCATAAATTGGAAACAAGAAAAAGTATGTGTTAATCTCAAACAAATTCAATGAGAGTTGTGTAAATCCTGTACTTAATAGATAATAAGATATTACAAAGAAAACAACTTTGAAATCAAAACAGTGCTGTCGTTTAGTAAAATATGATGAATGTTTTCATCACTTTAACATCTTAAACAAAACACTGACAGCAGTCTGAAACTCCAAATCTGAATGAATAACTGATTATGTTTTGTAGTTGATACATCCTTATGGAATGCTTTGAAAAGAACGAAGAAATTAGTAATGAAGCATTACATATTGATATATAATAAATATTGGATTTAAAAAAACTAAAATTGCATATTAATGTGGATTAGGTAAAAGATTAAAAAATTTGAAAAGAAATAAAAGCACCCTCTAATCTTGTAAGAACAAACATGGCAGAACTTATTTATTTCTTACTTGTAGTAGTCTATAACCTGCGCCCCTGGCAGGCAATTTGGATTTTGGAGTGAAAAAAACACAGATTATACATGCTAGAATATGCAACTTAATCATTACCTCAGAGCTAACAGTGATGGTGTATTAGATAAGACAGCATTTCTCCACTGAGGATCAGCTTCATGTGATATGACTAGATTACTCTCGTAGTTACTTATGGCAGTATATAGGAAGGATTCATCCTCATATTCATCTGTGTACATAAAACAATCCTGAAAAACACAATTATACTTTTATAGACTTTTCAAAATTACGGTGATGGGTTTATAAATGCAATAAAAATTACAGAAAACTAAATATGTTTGTGTCAGTGTAATTATTATATACTTGATTACTACTGAGTTATTTGCAGTTAAAATAATACCTTCTTTTATTTTTACAGAATTTTTTGTATTGTAGTATTTCCTACCTGGTGAAGTTTAAGAGCCATTCTGATTGCTGGGGCTACAACTCTCCTCAAAAGTTCCATATCAGCAAACACCCATTCATCATGTGGAGAAGTTATTCTGAAGTCTCCTTTAAACAAGGCATGCAGGCCAAATAGGAATAAATCAGCACTGTAAAATATTTAAACAATTTTTTATTAACTCATCTTTAAAACAGACATGAATTGAAATACTTAATCAAAAGTTTGAATATCAGTTAAATAATAGGCCAAATGAAAGAACCTTAGTGAGCGCGCTCACATACCCCACGTCCCCACATTGTCATTGGAGAAATAAAATAAGTGTAATGAAAAAAAATTGTATCAGAAAAAAAAATTGAATCATAATTTCCTGTCAATATGCACATCTACATAGTATGTCCTTATTATCTACACAGTTTCATGAAATTCTGTTGTGTGGTTTGAGAGGAGTTGCGATGACAAAAGGTTGCAGTAGTATATTGGGCAAATAAGTTCAAAGGGGTGTAACTCCTGGAAAAAAAATTGAATCGTAATTTCCTGTCGATATGCACATCTACGTAGTATGTCCTTATTATCTGAAAAGGTTTCATGAAATTCTGTTGTGTGGTATGAGAGGAGTTGTGATGACAAACTGTTGCAGTAGTACATTAAAGTAAATAAGTTCAAAGGGGCGTAACTCCTAGAAAAAGAATTGAATCCTAATTTCCTGTCGATATGCACAACTACATAGTATGTCCTTATTATCTAAAAAGGTTTCGTGAAATTCTGTTGTGTGGTTTGAGAGGAGTTGCGATGACAAGAAACAGGACTGACGGACGGACAGACGGACAGACGGACAGACGTCGGACGGGTCAAAAACATTATACCCTCTGCAACTCGTTGCGTGGGGTATAATAAGGCCCACATCCCACCCTGTCCTTTGGTGATTCTAAAATTGATGTATAAACAATGAAACAATCATATTTAGTTAAAATGTTCCCTGAAGAAAAAGTTCAATTAAATTTTATTATAAATGTGACAAATATAAATCATTGGCATCTCATTATCAATTTACATGTCTATTTCATACATCAATTTTAGAATCACCAAAGGACAGGGTGGGATATGGGCCGTATTTGGCAAAATTTTTTGGATTTTGGTCATTTTTGTAGCTTTTTAGCACACTCCTCCTTTAAAAGAGTATTTATAAATGCATATACAAGTTCAACTCTCCTACATGTATGTAATATTGTTGAAGGCTTTTACTTTACCTTGCAGAAATGGTATTATGTGCTGCTGTTCCTAGGGCTCGTCTCCCAAGAAGACTAAGACAGTAACACAGGGACACAACAGGTGATGTTTTTATTATTATTTGTTCCTGTAAAGTATAAAAAAAAAAGTTATAAAAAAAATATTGTAGACTTTTCAAAAGTGTAGATACTTTTAAAAGTGATAATTAATAATTTGAACTAAATATTTGTACTGTAATATAATGTAACCAAAAAATCATTAATAAAAATAACGCATTTCCAGAATTTCATTAATGAATTACTGGATCCTATACTAAAAATAGAAAAAAAAACCAACGTACTAATACCCATTGTGTTGTACTATTATATGCATACTAACCAGTATAATTTTTCCTAAACATTCAATACAATAAAACTTATTATCCTACCTTGTCTCGTCTTTCGTAGCAATTTTTGATCCATTTAAGGTAAACAGAACAAAACTTGTTTCTGGATACACCTTTTAATTTGGAATCATAATCTTCATCAATATGATGTGAGAAAATAGGATCCACATCAACATAGTTATCTCCTGTTGTAGCCTGGAGAGCTTCCAGAATAGTCTCCCCTTCTAACCAGTCCTGTAATCGTGGTGATCGCACAGTGTAGTAAATAATACTCTGGAAAATATGAACATTTTGCTCTGTAGCATATTATACGTTGGACTTCAAAAAGTAATATACATATGATATCGTTGTGTAGTATACGATTCTCTGGAGTATTCCTAGTGAATACATTCAGTTATATCATTTTCTTTATTTCAGATTTGACAATCATACCAAAACATTTTGAAAAGTAAAATTGGTGAATTTAAGAAATACTTTGCAGTAGTGGATCCAGAAATTTTTATAAGGGGGGGCCCACTGACTGCCTAAGTCAGTGATTCCCTATATAATCAACCAAATTTTTCCACAAAAGGGGGGGGGCCCGGGCCCCCTGAAACACCGTGAATCCGCCTCTGCTTTGTAATGCTTTCCATATATAAAATTTGCTGATTTTTTTTATATTATTTTCAAACATACTTGTCTTCATAACTTTCTTGGTTTCCCTTTAATCATTGAAGTTGTTTGTTATTGAAGTAAAAAGGTTTCTTTCCTATCACACTGTCATAAACTAAAGACAAATTCTAAAAGTGAAATTGACATTTACTAATTTTAAATTGATATGCAATCTGTTATATAATAGCTCAAAACTAACCTTAATGTAAAAAGAAATGAGAATTTTTCTGGTTTCATAACTCTGAACCATAGACGCTGCATTGTTATCTGATATACTATATCCATCTAGGACATATTTAGTCACAACAACTTCCCAAGCTAATCCTCGCTGATTAAAGGCTGCATTCAGTGAGAGAAAATGAGGTAGATGGCCAGGTTCACAACAACAAAATCCTGTAAAATATCAAATGTTGAATTTTTGTTTTATAATGTCAAGTGTTATCTAATGCAATCCACAAGTAGCAACTCAAACAAAAGGTTCTTTCAAAAAGTATTACAATCATCAAACTTATAAAAAAAATCTGCATTTCTTATTCAAGAAAATAAGTCATGTTTATCTTATCAGGAAAACAAAAATGATTTCTCTAGTTTAAATATATTTTATTTGCAAAAGTAGCAAAGGGTTTTGACACAATTCATAATTTCTCTGTCAATAGTAAATTTTATGAGAACCATACTCTAGAAAAGACAAACCTTCGTTATCTTCAACACCTTCTGTAATTGCTTCTACTTCTCTTTGTTGACAGTATGTTCCTGGAAATAAAACACAAATTGAGTGAAATCTAACTTTTTCATTATCACACCACTTTTAAATCTGTTATTTCCTCTTAAATTTATGTAAATGACATTTACACACCTATCGTATAAAACACACAATAATTTAAAACAAGCAATATGAAAAAAAATGTTTTTATATTTTGTAAGTTTCAATATTTCTAGTACTATGAAATAATTTCATGTCATAAATGCTATTTTTCCTGTGAATAAACACATAATTATGTGAAAAAATAATGGAGGGTGTCAAAAACCCAGTTTTCTTGGTTGAAACAGACCTTTTCCTTCTTTTCACCAAAAATTCACTGATAAAGCTTTTTTTAACATAAAGTTTAAAATTCACTGATAAAGTTTTTTTTTTACATAAAGTTTAAAATTCACTATATTCTATTTTGTATCATGTACCTATCCATCCTGTAAGACATAATGAAAAAAGAAAAGGTAAAATTGCAGCATTTCTTTTCAGTATCATTACCTCTAAATTCTAACCCTCTGAGTTGGAATGTTACAAGTCCATTTCCCATTTCAATTACATGTACAAGTGCATTGAGGTAGTCTGAAGCCATTATAAAACAGTCTCCCTGCTCTGTATTACCCCATCGTCCCATCATTAAATCTCCACACAAGCTGTGCTGTAGTGATCTTGTTAAATGTTCATAAAATATGGAATTTAAATTATTGTCATCTGCACCTGAAAACAGAAATACATTTTCAGTTACACATACATCACAACATAAGCTTTGTAAACTTTTAACATGCATCCAAATCTATAAACAAAGTACAGACAATAAAGATACATATACATAACATCAAATATAGAACATACAAGTTTCGGCAAAGTATGTTTTGGTTAATGAAATTCCTGAAAATAAAAGATAATGCAATAATTCTAATTCCCCCAAAAATTCTGCTACTTTAAGAGTAAATAGGATATGCAGATAAGAGTTACAAATCACCATATAAACCGTGCAAGAGTCCTTTATACTTGGCTATGTGAAACAACAAATTTAAATGATGTCAAATTGAAAATTTCACACCTATTGTAATTACACTCCATTTACCTGGATTTCTTTCCAGTTGTGATGACAGTCTAGTATTTGAATGGTCCACTCTCTTTGTACTGTAATAAAACATAAAAATGCTTGCAATAGGTTACATCCATACATCTAGTAATCAAAACTTTTAGAAGCCAGCTAACATACCTAACAATAAAATGCTTCGCTGGGTGCAGCTTGATACGACCGCAGAGGTCGAACCCTGAACAGTTGGGGCAAGTATGGACACAACATTCAAGCTTGATACAGCTCTGAATTTGGATTGTGATTAAATATTTGACACAGCATAGGTTTCTGACACAGAAAGAATGTGGTCTAAGAACTTGAATTTTTTTAATTTTCCTATTATGGTCCAATGTCCAAAATCAAAATACATGGTTAGATTCAGCATATCAAAGAACCCCATATATTCAATTTTTGTTGAAATCAAACAAAAGTTTAATTTTGGACCCCAACTTGGACCAACTTGAAAACTGGGCCCATAATCAAAAATCTAAACACATGTTTAGATTCAGCATATCAAAGTACCCCAAGTATTCAATTTTTGTTAAAATCAAAATAAGTTTAATTTTGGACCCTTTGGACCTTAATGTAGACCAATTTAAAAAACGGGACCCAAAATTAAAAATCTAAATACACGGTTAGATTTGGAATGTCAAAGAACCCCAATAATTCAATTTTTGATGAAATCAAACAAAGTTTAATTTTGGACCCTTTTGACCTCAATATGAACCAATTTGATAGCGGGGCCCACAAATAAAAAATCTAAATAAATGGTTAGATTCAGCATATCAAAGAACCCCATATATTCAATTTTTGTTGAAATAAAAAAAAGTTTAATTTTGGACCCCAACTTGGACCAACTTGAAAACTGGGCCCATAATCAAAAATCTAAACACAAGTTTAGATTCAGCATATCAAAGAACCCCAAGAATTCAATTTTTGTTAAAATCAAACTAAGTTTAATTTTGGACCCTTTGGACCTTAATGTAGACTATTTTAAAAAACAGGACCCAAAATTAAAAATCTAAATACACGGTTAGATTTGGCATATCAAAGAACCCCAATAATTCAATTTTTGATGAAATCAAATGAAGTTTAATTTTGGACCCTTTGGACCTTAATGTAGACCATTTTAAAAAACAGGACCCAAAATTAAAAATCTAAATACACGGTTAGATTTGGCATATCAAAGAACCCCAATAATTCAATTTTTGATGAAATCAAACAAAGTTTAATTTTGGACCCTTTTGACCTCAATATGAACCAATTTGATAGCGGGTCCACAAATAAAAAATCTAAATGCATGGTTAGATTCAGCATATCAAAGAATCCCATATATTCAATTTTTGTTGAAATCAAACATAGTTTAATTTTGGACCCCAATTTAGACCAACTTGAAAACTGGGCCAAAAACCAAAAATCTAAATACATGTTTAGATTCAGCATATCAAAGAACCCCATATATTCAATTTTTGTTAAAATCAAACTAGGTTTAATTTTGGACCCTTTGGACCTTAATGTAAACCAATTTGAAAACTGGACCCAAAATTAAAAATCTAAATACACGGTTAGATTCGGCATAACAAATGAATAAATGTGGTCAAAGATTTTACAAATCTAATGCGCCATACTGTGCAATTAAAGATTACTTCTTGAAATTTTTCAATATTTGAAATTTGAAAAAAAAATAATATTTGAAGAATAATTCTTTTTAATTTCTGAAATCTGAAATGAGAAAAAATTGACCCCCCACAATTTCTTTTTACCCCCCCCCCCTTTTTTCCCCCAAAAAATTCTTTCCCTAAAGATATGGTCATAATCTCAATTCAAATTTCCAATGGAGTTTGAAACCATAATTACCCATTTAAATTTACCATAGTGCTAACTTAATCTATTTATAATAGAATTTAAAATATGGTGTCAAATCTTTCATATGGATTTTTTTTGTAAAAAAAAAAATGCAACATTTGCAGATATTTTTACTGGTCTTCCTTTATAATTATGCATTTCTTTAAACATAATTTAAAAGCAGTGTAGGGGAAGTAACCAAAACGTTTTATTTGGATTACCTCCCTTACACTGTTTTAAATTATCTTAATTGTTCATTAACCATTACTTTATACATAATTTAAAAGCAGTGTAAGGGAGATAATTTCAATGATGTTTTTGATTTATCTCCCTTACACTGCTTTAAATTATGTTTTGTACTAAAGTATTTGTCCATTAACCAGGACAACCTTGTTTTTCCCCCTTTTTTGCCCCTAATTCCTAAACGGTTTGAGCCATAACCCCCCAAAGCAAATCCTAACCATCCTTTTGTGGTATGGAAACTTGTAGTATAATTTCAGAGAGATCCATACACCGTTCCACAGTTATTGTCTGGAAACTAGAAAATGCTTATTTTTGGCCCCTAATTCCTTAACTGTTGGTACCATAACCCCCAAAATCAATCCCCACCTTCCTTTTGTGGTATTGAACCTTATGGTAAAATTTCAAAGAGATCCATTCACTTAAACTAAAGTTAGAGTGCGAAAACCAATGTGTCTTCGGACGACGACGACGCCAACGTCATACCAATATAAGACCGCAAAAATTTTTTGCGGTCATATAAAAAAGCACTCTCCATTTCTATTTCTTTTTATATTATCAAATTCATCCAGGATTTTTATAAGTTACATTTGTTTCCAATATGAAGGAATCTGACTAGGAATATAGGCCCTTTCCAACAAAGGTATGACAGACGATACAAGTTGAACTGTGAGCTACTGCTCACTATTGATACTCCTGCTATAAGCATGGGTTATCAGGAAATTGATAAGCATGTGAAAACATATCACACAATATAACATGATTCATGTAAAATGTGACAAAATATTCATGGGACAGATGGACACACAGAAAAAAGATAGAAAAGCAGAGGTAAACCAGTCGACCCTCTCCATATGAGAAGGATGTAATGAAAGCTACACACTGAAACTCAAGTGTAAATAAAATGCTCCGCAGGGCGCAGCTTGATACGACCGCAGAGGTCGAACCCTGAACAGTTGGGGCAAGTATGGACACAACATTCAAGCTTGATACAGCTCTGAATTTGGATTGTGATTAAATATTTGACACAGCATAGGTTTCTGACACAGAATGAATGTGGTCTAAGAACTTAAAAATTTTAAATTGGACATTCACCTATTATGGTCCAATATCCAAAATCTAAATACATGGTTAGATTCAGCATATCAAAGAACCCCAAGAATTCAATTTTTGATGAAATCAAACAAAGTTTAATTTTGGACCCTTTTGATCTCAATGTGGACAAAAATGATAACAGGGCCCAAAAATCAAAAATCTAAATACATGGTTAGATTCAGCATATCAAAGAACCCCATATATTCAGATTTTGTTGAAATCAAACAAAGTTTAATTTTGGACCCCGATTTGGACCAACCTGAAAACTGGGCCCATAATCAAAAATCTAAATACATGTTTAGATTCAGCATATCAAAGAACCCTAAAAATTCAATTTTTGTTAAAATCAAACTAACTTTAATTTTGGACCCTTTGGACCTTTATGTAGACCAATTTGAAAACGGAACCAAAAATTAAGAATCTAAATACACGGTTAGATTTGGCATATCAAAGAACCCCAATAATTCAATTTTTGATGAAATCAAACAAAGTTAAATTTTGGACCCTTTGGACTTCAATGTGGACCAATTTAAAAACGGGGCCCAAAATCCAAAAACTTAATACACGGTTAGATTCAGCATATTACAGAACCCCATATATTCAATTTTTGTTGAAATCAAACAAAGTTTAATTTTGGACCCCGATTTGGACCAACTTGAAAACTGGGCCCATAATCAAAAATCTAAATACATGGTTAGATTCAGCATATCAAAGAACCCCATATATTCAATTTTTGTTGAAATCAAACAAAAGTTTAATTTTGGACCCCGATTTGGACCAACTTGAAAACTGGGCCCATAATCAAAAATCTAAATACATGGTTAGATTCAGCATATCAAAGAACCCCATATATTCAATTTTTGATGAAATCAAACAAAGTTTAATTTTGGACCCTTTTGATCTCAATGTGGACAAAGTTGATAACGGGGCCCAACAATCAAAAATCTAAATACATGGTTAGATTCAGCATATCAAAGAACCCCATATATTCAATTTTTGTTGAAATCAAACAAAGTTTAATTTTGGACCCCGATTTGGACCAACTTGAAAACTGGGCCCATAATCAAAAATCTAAATACATGGTTAGATTCAGCATATCAAAGAACCCCATATATTCAATTTTTGTTGAAATCAAACAAAGTTTAATTTTGGACCCCGATTTGAACCAACTTGAAAACTGGGCCCATAATCAAAAATCTAAATACATGGTTAGATTCAGCATATCAAAGAACCCCATATATTCAATTTTTGCTAAAATCAAACAAAGTTTAATTTTGGACCCTTTGGACCTTTATGTAGACCAATTTGAAAACGGAACCAAAAATTAAGAATCTAAATACACGGTTAGATTCGGCATATCAAAGAACCCCAATAATTCAATTTTTGATGAAATCCAACAAAGTTAAATTTTGGACCCTTTGGACCTCAATGTGGACCAATTTAAAAACGGGGCCCAAAATCCAAAAACTTAATACACGGTTAGATTCAGCATATTAAAGAACCCAAGAATTCAAGAATAAAACCCCATTGAAATTGATCAAGAAATAAGCAATTTATACGAAGTATCTTCTTTTGCACAATACTGTGCAATTGATTATTTCTTGCTATTGCGCAATACTGTACAATTGACAATTTCTTGCTATTGCGCAATATTGTGCTATTGGATATTTCTTGCTATTGCGCAATACTGTGCAATTGAAGATTTCTTGCTATTGCGCAATACTGTGCAATTGAAGATTTCTTGCTATTGTGCAATACTGTGCAATTGAAAATTTCTTGCTATTGCACAATACTTATTATATAATAATTTACACATCCTGTTTGGTGTGTATCTCCTTCCATATCATTATTATTTGCTTTTAAATATAAATCAGAAATAACCAACTTAAAATGGAAAATTTTAAAAGAAAAAAAAAAGGAAAAAAAGAAAAAAAAAAGAAAAAAAAAAATCCCCCCCCAAAATTTTTTGAACCCCCTTATGATTCATCACCCCCAAACTCAATCTCAGCCTTCCCTTTGTGGTATGGTACCTTGCAGTACAATTTCAGAGAGATCCATACACTTGAACACAAGTTATTGTCTGGAAACTAGAAAAATGCTTATTTTTGGCCCCTTTTTGGCCCCCAATTCCTAAACATTTCGGGCAATTACCCCCAAACTCAATTCCAGCTTTCCCTTTGTAATATGGAACCTTGTAGTACAATTTCAGAAATATCCAAAAACTTACACACAAGTTATTGTCATGAAACTAGAAAAATGCTTGTTTTTTGCCCTTTTTTTGGCCCCTAATTCCTAACATTTTGAGGCAATTACCCCCAAAATCAATCCCAGCATTCCTTTTGTGATATGGAACCTTGTGGTACAATGTCAGAGAGATCCATACACTTACACACAAGTTATTGTCTGGAAGTTACAAAAATGCTTATTGTTGGCCCCTTTTTGGCCCCTAATTCCTTAACTGTTGGTACCATAACCCCCAAAATCAATCCCAACCTTCCTTTCATGGTATTGAACCTTATGGTAAAATTTCATGGAGATCCATTCACTTAAACTAAAGTTAGAGTGCGAAAACCAATGTGTCTTCGGACGACGCCGGACGACGCCGGACGACGACGACGACGACGACGACAACGACGACGACGACGACGACGACGACGACGACGACGACGACGCCAACGTCATACCAATATACGACCAAAAAATTTTCAATTTTTGCGGTCGTATAAAAAAACAGTTGTAATAAACTTACTTGTAATCTTTCTCCCAGAATTTCACTGGACGAGCATATGATGTAATAAATATAGCACTACCAAGGAATGGATTCAATGGTGTAGAAAAGAAAGCAGATACACCTGCTTGTAAAAATAACATGGCTGAATCTGATATTGGTTAAGGAAACCGGCAAATCATTATTTTATACTGAAACAATGGTTTCTTATAAATTAACAGAGTTGTTTTGACCAATTAATTATTTAAGACACTGTTAGAAATTTTATAACAACATAATATTCCATGTAAAAATTAACACTTATAGAAGAATAATAGTCAATATGATATCATTATAATTTTTCTTAAAAACCTACAAGTTGTAATATCATTGTGAACAACTAAAAAGATGAAAATCAATATTATGTGACTGATAATATTTTAAAACCATATATCAGGCAAACTTATGACAATCAATTGTTCCAATATTCAGTTTCTAAAATTGTCTCAATTAAACTTTAAAAAAATCTTGTGCATGTCAGCTTAAACAGCAGTTACTATACTAACAAATTCTTATTACAAAATAATAAAGGATACGTGGAACACTGAATGGTTGAGCAAACGCATGGAAGGCAGATCCCCATGTGATCTGCCATGGAGCTATATACGTCAGAATGAACTTCATTTTTAATAATAAATCACAGAACTGAAACAAAAAATAAAAATTATTTTATAATAAATACAGCAAAATTGTTACACATAAATAATAATTCTTTTTTTTCTACAGTTACTGTTATTCATTTACCAGAAGAACTAGTTAGTATTGTAAATTTACTAATATTAACATTTAAAAGCCTGTTGTTTATGAAATAATTTATGTTTTATCAAAGGTAAGTTGTATCATACTTAAAACAGAAAACAGATGGCCTATAGTTTCTGTAAAATGAATTCACAACTTGTATGGGGCCCTGAATGATTTAGAGCTTGCCGTATTGCAAATGACACCTGTTTATTGTAGAAGACTGTATGTTGACCTTTTGATGTCTTTCAGTTATTTTTGTCTTTTAGTTGCCGTCTCACCACCATCTTCCTTTATTCAACAGAAATACTTTTCTCACAATCAAGTGCAAAAAAAAATAATGCTTAACAGTTAGGCTAAATCATCTTAACAAGTTTTTTTCACATTTTGGCTTTCTTTAACATATGAGTGAGGCTAGCATTACCAAAATCAGTATGATTTTCAGTTTTGTTCTATTTCTTGAGTCTTAATGTAATGAAAACTAATACCCTCAAGCCACCTTCTTTGTGTATATACTTACTTTAACAAATACAATAGATATAAAAAAATAATCTATGAGGAATGTCTCTGAGGCATCTCTGTAGTCATATTTGAAGAAGAACACAGTAAATGTCATGATTAGATACTGCTTTGATGTCTGTGAGAAGGCAAATCTCAACAACTTCAGGGAACACATTATTATTAAAAATGGTCCAACACTGAAAAAAATAAAAAGTATGGATATGATAATAAAGTAATAAAATTGGTACTTTTTTAAACATCATAAATACTCCTGCAGAATGATGGAAGGACAGAGACTTTCTTATTCATTGAAAAGAAGAACAGAAATTTAGAATGACAGATGGATGGTAGCAAAGTAAAACTAATGATTGAAAGTGTAATGAAATGCAGATCAACTGTTTAAATTGAATAGGTATGTTCCCATCAAAACTTTTTTAACAATTGAATATCTGGTCATCACTACAGAATACCTTTTTCTTATTTTAAGGTTATAGGCATTTTATTCTTCTTTGGCTTCAAATAGCTTTTATGTGTTTATCATTCCTTTCTACCTTTTTGCATAAAATAAATCGATCAAGCCATTTGTTAAGAATAACACACGATCTAAACTTCCATGCAACTGCCCTGTATTGTAACATGGTCTAAGGGTGACATTCTTGTTGACTTACTTATAATTAGAAATCTATACAATTTGATATCTATGCCTAGAAGTGTCATAATCTACCACTTTATAGTGTGGTGCCTTGATCAGGTTACTAAGTATAATATGTGTAAAATTGTAAATAAGCATTCAAAATCTCTTATGCATAATTTACATCCTTGTAATTTTGATACAGCCCCTAAAAATGTTTGATATTTAATGCACTGTACATAAAAATATGCAACTTACTATTTTCCAAATTTACACATAATGATGGGCGTGGAACTTGTTAAGGCACAAAGAAAGACAACAGGGTACATCACATTTCTTTCAAAAAATCTCATCCAAACATACATCTTCTCAAACCACATTATCATTGGCAATGCTGAAACAAAAAAATAATATATTGATCTAATTTGATGTTCTGCCATTATAAACTATCAAATGACTTAACACATATTAAATCTTTCCCTTTATACAAGTGTGGGAGGTTGTGGGTTTGATCTCAGGCCAGGTCAAACCAAACACTTGAAAATTGGTATTTGCCGCTTCTCAACTAAGCATTCAGGAAAAAGAGCAAAGACAGATTGGCTCCAAGTCAGAATAATGTGACAGAGTAGGGTGACATGTTTCATGGGTTCATTACCTTTTGAACTAGCAAATTTAAAATCTGGCTCATTGTGTAAATCTAGAACAAAGCAGGGATCATATTCATGTAACATTAACATAATAAAATGCTTCGCTGGGCGCAGCTTGATACGACCGCAGAGGTCGAACCCTGAACAGTTGGGGCAAGTATGGACACAACATTCAAGCTTGATACAGCTCTGAATTTGGATTGTGATTTAATATTTGACACAGCATAGGTTTCTGACACAGAAAGAATGTGGTCTAAGAACTTCAATTTTTTTAATTTACCTATTATGGTCCAATGTCCAAAATCAAAATACATGGTTAGATTCAGCATATCAAAGAACCCCATATATTCAATTTTTGTTGAAATCAAACAAAGTTTAATTTTGGACCCCAACTTGGACAAACTTGAAAACTGGTCCCATAATCAAAAATCTAAACACATGTTTAGATTCAGCATATCAAAGTACCCCAAGAATTCAATTTTTGTTAAAATCAAACTAAGTTTAATTTTGGACCCTTTGGACCTTAATGTAGACCAATTTAAAAAACGGGACCCAAAATTAAAAATCTAAAAACACGGTTAGATTTGGCATATCAAAGAACCCCAATAATTCAATTTTTGATGAAATCAAACAAAGTTTAATTTTGGACCCTTTTGACCTCAATATGAACCAATTTGATAGCAGGCCCACAAAATAAAAAATCTAAATACATGGTAAGATTCAGCATATCAAAGAACCCCATATATTCAATTTTTGTTGAAATCAAAAAGTTTAATTTTGGACCCCAATTTGGACCAACTTGAAAACTGGGCCAAAAATCTAAAATCTAAATACATGTTTAGATTCAGCATATCAAAGAACCCCATATATTCAATTTTTGTTGAAATCAAACAAAGTTTAATTTTGGACCCCAACTTGGACCAACTTGAAAACTGGTCCCATAATCAAAAATCTAAACACATGTTTAGATTCAGCATATCAAAGAACCCAAAAATTCAATTTTTGTTAAAATCAAACTAAGTTTAATTTTGGACCCTTTGGACCTTAATGTAGACCAATTTAAAAAACGGGACCCAAAATTAAAAATCTAAATACACGGTTAGATTTGGCATATCAAAGAACCCCAATAATTCAATTTTTGATGAAATCAAACAAAGTTTAATTTTGGACCCTTTTGACCTCAATATGAACCAATTTGATAGCGGGTCCACAAATAAAAAATCTAAATACATGGTTAGATTCAGCATATCAAAGAACCCCAAGAATTCAATTTTTGATGAAATCAAACAAAGTTTAATTTTGGACCCTTTTGACCTCAATGTGGACAAAGTTGATAACGGGGCCCAAAAATCAAAAATCTAAATACATGGTTAGATTCAGCATATCAAAGAACCCCATATATTCAATTTTTGTTGAAATCAAACAAAGTTTAATTTTGGACCCCGATTTGGACCAACTTGAAAACTGGGCCCATAATCAAAAATCTAAATACATGTTTAGATTCAGCATATCAAAGTACCCTAAAAATTCAATTTTTGTTAAAATCAAACTAAGTTTAATTTTGGACCCTTTTGACCTTAATGTAGACCAATTTGAAAACGGAACCAAAAATTAAGAATCTAAATACACGGTTAGATTCGGCATATCAAAGAACCCCAATAATTCAATTTTTGATGAAATCAAACAAAGTTTAATTTTGGACCCTTTGGACCTCAATGTGGACCAATTTAAAAACGGGGCCCAAAATCCAAAAACTTAATACACGGTTAGATTCAGCATATTAAAGAACCCCAAGAATTCAAGAATAAAACCCCATTGAAATTGATCAAGAAATAAGCAATTTATACGAAGTATCTTCTTTTGCACAATACTGTGCAATTGAATATTTCTTGCTATTGTGCAATACTGTACAATTGACAATTTCTTGCTATTGCGCAATATTGTGCTATTGGATATTTCTTGCTATTGCGCAATACTGTGCAATTGAAGATTTCTTGCTATTGCTCAATACTGTGCAATTGAAGATTTCTTGCAATTGTGCAATACTGTGCAATTGAAAATTTCTTGCTATTGCACAATACTTATTATATAATAATTTACACATCCTGTTTGGTGTGTATCTCCTACCATATCATTATTATTTGCTTTTAAATATTAATCAGAAATAACCAACTTAAAATGGAAAATTTTAAAAGGAAAAAAAAAGGAAAAAAAGAAAAAAAAAGAAAAAAATAAATCCCCCCCCCCCAAATTTTTTGAACCCCCTTATGATTCATCACCCCCAAACTCAATCCCAGCCTTCCCTTTGTGGTATGGTACCTTGCAGTACAATTTCAGAGAGATCCATACACTTGAACACAAGTTATTGTCTGGAAACTAGAAAAATGCTTATTTTTGGCCCCTTTTTGGCCCCCAATTCCTAAACGTTTCGGACAATTACCCCCAAACTCAATTCCAGCTTTCCCTTTGTGATATGGAACCTTGTAGTACAATTTCAGAAATATCCAAACACTTACACACAAGTTATTGTCATGAAACTAGAAAAATGCTTGTTTTTTGCCCCTTTTTTGGCCCCTAATTCCTAAAATTTTGAGGCAATTACCCCCAAAATCAATTACAGCCTTCCCTTTGTGATATGGAACCTTGTGGTACAATGTCAGAGAGATCCATACACTTACACACAAGTTATTGTCTGGAAGTTACAAAAATGCTTATATTTGGCCCCTTTTTGGCCCCTAATTCCTTAACTGTTGGTACCATAACCCCCAAAATCAATCCCCACCTTCCTTTCGTGGTATTGAACCGTATGGTAAAATTTCATGGAGATCCATTCACTTAAACTAAAGTTAGAGTGCGAAAACCAATGTGTCTTCGGACGACGCCGGACGACGACGACGACGACGACGACAACGTCATACCAATATACGACCTAAAAATTTTCAATTTTTGCGGTCGTATAAAAATAAGATGTGGTATGATTGCCAATGAGACAACTCTCCACCAGAGACCAAATGATGTTATGTTTTCTTCCTAATATGCGTGTTAAATTTGCCACTGGACATTAAACACCAATTCATCTTCATCATCATCATCTATACAGTTTCTATAGCCTTGGTCTCATTACGAAGTGTGATGCATTATTGAATCATACATGCTTCAAATTTTTCTGATTGGTAAAAGGCAAACTTTGAGCAGAGAGTGAAATTGTCAAACCTAAATTATATGTACAAGTTCAATTTCTGAAATGGTCAATCATAACCAAATATGGATGTATGGAATATAATTTGTGACATTGCACAATTATGTTTAATTTATTTGCCATGATATCCCTTAGATCTTACAAATAGAATGTCAGGTCATACAAATGTTGCTTCCTTATAAATCAGCCTAGAACAAAGCAAGGTACAAACCCAAGTTCTTACTTTTCAAAATAGCTCTTCATAAAATTGGAAATAAAGAATTGACAAGCTGCAAGATATTTTTTTTTTAAGTTGTTACCCATGACAAAGTAGATAACACATTTATTGGCAAGCAAAGCTTTACTTAATCAGGTTTTTACCCGAGTGCATTAGATGAACTAAGACTCAAGGAACACATCTTAGCCAGTCATTTCTCCATGCTCATCCGGTCTAAATATTTTAAAGCCCTGTCCAAACCTCTTGATGATGTTCTGCACCACCGTTCATTGCTTCCCTTTTTTTCTTTCTTTTTTTCTTTTTTTTTTAAAGTTTTGGTGTTTTTATTTTTACATTTAGTGGTTATCTGTTAGACCAGGTTCTAAATTTGTAACCTTCCTTTTGTTGAAAATACCATTATAAATTATACAAGATAGCATTTTTTGTCAGATCAATACATACCAGTTACTTCGAAGAAATTTCTCTCCCTACTATTTAGTACTGGGTGAGAACAACATAGCCATGGCATTTCTTTACGTAGTTGTGGAATAATGTAATGGATAATAAAGCCAAGCCCACCAGCCATGTAGTAAATAATATCACTGACAACAGGCTGAAATACAAAACAAATGATATTTACAACTGAACTATGAGTGTGTCCTTTGTGCTTGTTTGTTGTGATTCATGAATTTGTTATTGATGATTGTAAATATAGAAACATACTGGTTAAACAGGTTTTTCTGTAATCTTTCTGTTACTCACCCCGTGATTTGATTGATTAGTAATAACCATTGTTATTCTTTAATAGAAAGTAAACAAAGGTATATTGATTTTATGGTTCACTCAGAGAACAAGCAAACTTAACTTCATTCTTCATTGTACACACTCAAGTATACGGTAAAACAACTTATTTTCGTGAATACATTATTTACAATTAGTCCTTTCTAACCAACTTTATGGCTTTTTATTTTCGCAATTGTCTAATTTTCTTCAGGTATTTTATGATAAAAGAGATGATTTTTCATTTCCTATCGTTAATTATCCATTTTTAGATGGTGACGTTCCCTTTTCACCATCTTATGGTGTTTATATATCTCAACTTGTACGATTTGCTCGTGTATGTAACAACATATTAGATTTTAACGAGAGAAATTTATGTATTACTGAAAAAGTATTACACCAGGGTTCTCGATATCATAAACTAGTCAAAACATTTACTAAATTTTATCATCGGTATAAGGGCATCATTCGTAAATATAACTCAACATGCAGACATCTTATACGTTCGGGTATTTCACATCCAATCTTTTATGGTAATATTCTTTACAAAGCACAAAAATGTCAGTATTCACCTCAAAAGCTAACAAAACCTTTAAACAGACTTATTAAGAAGGGATATAGTTACGATACTGTTGTCAGGTCATTAAAGATTGCATATTTTGGCTTTAATATTGATTCACTTATAGGGTCTTTGCATCGGAATTAACACATTATTCTAAAACCAGTTGTTGGCATGACACAGGTTATGTTCTTCTCATATATTTTATGACGGTATAATACTAAACCCCTAACAGGAGGGATTGTGTCTGATATTCATATGATGAAGACATAATATTTCAATCAGTTTAATTGAGGTCTGGAGCTGGCATGTCAGTAACTGCTAGTAGTCTGTTGTTATTTATGTATTATTGTCATTTTGTTTATTTTCTTTTGTTTCCTATTCTGACATCGGACTCAGACTTCTCTAATACTGAGTTTTACTGTGCGTACTGTTGTGCGTTTGTTTTTTCTACATTGGCTAGAGGTGTAGGGGGAGGGTTGAGATCTCATCAAACATGTTTAACCCCGCCGCATTTTTGCGCCTGTCCCAAGTCAGGAGCCTCTGGCCTTTGTTAGTCTTGTATCATTTTTAATTTTAGTTTCCTGTGTATAATTTGGAGTTTAGTATGACGTTCATTATCACTGAACTAGTATACTTATTTGTTTAGGGGCCAGCTGAAGGACGCCTCCGGGTGAGGGAGTTTCTCGCTGCATTGAAGACCCATTGGTGGCCTTCAGCTGTTGTCTGCTCTATGGTCGGGTTGTTGTCTCTTTGACACATTCCCCATTTCCATTCTCAATTTTATATAAGGGAAGAATCACAAATTTACGTATAAACAACAATTATATTCACATTATTTTTTCTAAAAGTCGTGAAAATGAATTTCTTGGGAAAATTAGTTGGTTTACAGTATATGCTGTAAAGTAAGACCAGCTACAGTATGGTAAATGGCAATCACAGCAGGTCAGTAAATATTACAGAATTTTGATCTTTTTGCAAGGACTGACATCTTGGACAACTTCTATCTATTGGTCTCATCTGACATGTTATATTTCAAAAATAAATCTGATCAAGGTCAAAGGCTGAAGTTAAATTTAACATTTTCCCCAATACACCAATCTTGTTGTTTTTTTATGAATGAGTTACACTGGTTGACCCGAGGTCAATCTGTGAAAACGATGTCATCTAAACAATCGGTTCTTACTGTGACATAATAACATAAGCATTGTGACATATGAAAAAAATTTATGGGAAATTGCATGAATTTGAAAGTCATCTATAGAAATCTGTTAACTGACACTATTTGAATGTTATATTGTTAGAATAAAGCTGCAAACTGACTGGCTAACTTATATTGTAGAATGTCTTAACTGAGAGAAATGATAATCACATGTAAAAGAATATTTTAAGAAAATTATTTTTTACAGTGATACAAACAATGCCAAAATATATGTCTGTACTTGAATATATAGATAGGTTGGATTAAAACAAAAAATTGATATTCAAAAACCTCTAATAAGAAGACAAGGGGAAGTGATAATTTACTTATTGTTCACTAACCTGAAGACTGCTGAATGCTGTACTCAAATGAACTGCAAATACTATGACTAGAATTATTAAACTAATTAACAAATCTGACTGTAGTCTCTCACTCTGAAAAATGAAACATACAAATATGAGTAATCAGATTTTATGTGTAAAGTATTGAGGGTGAATTCTGAAAAAGTAAAAAAAGGTCATTTAAAAAAAAATAAAGAACTTTAGTGACAAACCTCACAGCCCACATGTTTGACTTGAACAGTTATGATTTAAACACCTTAAGTTTTTGAACTGGCAAAAACAATTTTTTTACAGTTGAAAGGTTTTAGCTATAAATATTATCCATAATAAGATACACATTTATTAATTAACCCCTAATACAGATAAATCAGCATGTGTAATACTGATGACACTGCTCTACTGATATGCATACCTATCATTTTTGGAGAGCAGATAGAAACCAGAACGGAGGAGGACTTGTCGCATATGCTCGATCAGATCTGGTATGTGACAGGAAGTGTATTAAGAATTTAAATCAGTAGAACCAATTTGTGTAGACTTATTTGCCAATAATAGAAAATGGCTTATAACAGGGTTATATATATATATATATATATATATATAGACCACCATCCATGTCAAATTCAGACTTTAGCAAAGACTTTATAGATACTTTTGACAAGGCTTCAACCAAATATGATAATATTTTGATGTTAGGAGATCTCAATTATGATATGCTAGTAAACGAAAAATGTATTACTTTAAAAGAGGCCTGTGATTTTTGTGATTTAACAAATATGGTCCATGAACCTACATGTCATACTAAGGGGAATAATCCAAGTCTGATAGATGTTGTACTGACAAATAAATCTAGTTTATGTATGAATATAAGAAACTTTAATACTGGTATTAGAGATGTACACAATATGATCAGTGTACAGATAAAGGGTCAAATTTCAAATAAGAACACATAGTATAAAACTTATATAAGCTTTAAAAAATTAAACCAAGAAAATTTTCTTGCAGACTAAGAAAATATTGAATTCTCTAGAATAATAGATCAAGATGATATAAATCAGGCATATTCAGATTTTGAAAAGGCTGTGGTAAATGTTTTAGACCAACATGCTCCCTTGAAGAAAAGAAAACAATGCAAACAACCTGCACCATTTATTTAGTGGTTCTCTAGAAGAAGACATTAGTATGATTTTCCAACAGGGTCCTATGTTAAACTAAGTCTGGCACTGGTGGCCATCTTGGATGATGGATCGGCTACAAAGTAACAACACTTGGTCAGCACCTCATTAGGAACATTCATGCCATGTTTGGTTTCATTCCATTCAGTGGATCTCTAGAAAATGACATTTGTAGGTATTTCCCATAGGGTCCTATGTAAAACTAAGTCCCCCGCTGGCGGCCATCTTGGGTCAGGGATTGACTACAAAGGAACAACACTTAGTCAGCACCTCATAAGGAACATTCCTGCTATGTTTGGTTTCATTCCATTCAGTGGTTCTCTAGAAGAAGACATTTGTATGTATTTCCCATAGGGCCTATGTTAAACTAAGTCCCCTGCTGGATGCCATCTTGGATGAGGAATCAGCCACAAAGTAACAACCCTTGGTCAGCACCTCATAAGGAACAGTCATGCCATGTTTGGTTACATTCCATTCAGTGGTTCTCTAGAAGAAGACATTTGTATGTATTTCCCATAGGGCCTATGTTAAACTAAGTCCCGGCTGGTGGCCATCTTGGATGAGGGATCGGCTACAAAGTAACAACTCTTGGTCAGCACCTCATAAAGAACAGTCATTCCATGTTTGGTTTCATTCCATTCAGTGGTTCTCTAGAAGAAGTTAAAAATGTAAAAAGTTAACGGACGACGGACAACGGACGACAGACCCAAAGTGATGAGAAAAGCTCACTTGACCTTTTAGGTCAGGTGAGCTAAAAAGGCAACAGGAATAGATGGCATCTCAGTTAAATTCCTAAAACTAGCACAACCAGTTATCACAAAACCAATAACTGAATTAATTAAAGAACCTTAGTGAGCGCGCTCACATACCCCATGTCCCCACGTTGTCACTGGAGAAATAAAATAACTGTAAGAAAAAAAATTGTATAAGAAAAAAAAATTGAATCATAATTTCCTGTCGATATGCACATCTACATAGTATGTCCTTATTATCTACAAAGTTTCATGAAATTCTGTTGTGTGGTTTCAGAGGAGTTGCAATGACAAACTGTTGCAGAGGTATATTGAAGCAAATAAGTTCAAAGGGGCGTAACTCCTAGAAAAATTAAAGAACCTTAGTGAGCACGCTCACATACCCCACGTCCCCACATTGTCACTGGAGAAATAAAATAACTGTGAGAAAAAAAAATTGTATAAGAAAAAAAAATTGAATCATAATTTCCTGTCGATATGCACATCTACATAGTATGTCCTTATTATCTACAAAGTTTCATGAAATTCTGTTGTGTGGTTTCAGAGGAGTTGCAATGACAAACTGTTGCAGAGGTATATTGAAGCAAATAAATTCAAAGGTGCGTAACTCCTAGAAAAAAAATTGAATCGTAATTTCCTGTCGATATGCACATCTACGTAGTATGTCCTTATTATCTGAAAAGGTTTCATGAAATTCTATTGTGTGGTTTGAGAGGAGTTGCGATGACAAAAGGTTGCAGTAGTATATTGGGCAAATAAGTTCAATGGGGCGTAACTCCTGGAAAAAAAATTGAATCGTAATTTCCTGTCGATATGCACATCTACGTAGTATGTCCTTATTATCTACAAAGTTTCATGAAATTTTGTTGTGTGGTTTCAGAGGAGTTGAGATGACAAACTGTTGCAGTAGTACATTCAAGTAAATAAGTTCAAAGGGGCGTAACTCCTAGAAAAAAAATTGAATCATAATTTCCTGTCGATATGCACATCTACATAGTATGTCCTTATTATCTACAAAGTTTCATGAAATTCTGTTGTGTGGTTTCAGAGGAGTTGCGATGACAAACTGTTGCAAAGGTTTATTAAAGCAAATAAGTTCAAAGGGGCGTAACTCCTAGAAAAAAAATTGAATCATAATTTCCTGTCGATATGCACATCTACGTAGTATGTCCTTATTATCTGAAAAGGTTTCATGAAATTCTATTGTGTGGTTTGAGAGGAGTTGCGATGACAAAAGGTTGCAGTAGTTTATTGGGCAAATAAGTTCAAAGGGGCGTAATTCCTGGAAAAAAATTGAATCGTAATTTCCTGTCGATATGCACATCTACGTAGTATGTCCTTATTATCTACAAAGTTTCATGAAATTTTGTTGTGTGGTTTCAGAGGGGTTGAGATGACAAACTGTTGCAGTAGTACATTAAAGTAAATAAGTTCAAAGGGGTGTAACTCCTAGAAAAAAAATTAAATCGTAATTTCCTATCGATATGCACAACTACATAGTATGTCCTTATTATCTAAAAAGGTTTCGTGAAATTCTGTTGTGTGGTTTGAGAGGAGTTGCGATGACAAGAAACAGGACTGACGGACTGACGGACGGACGGGTCAAAAACATTATACCCTCAGCAACTCGTTGCGTGGGGTATAATAATTGAATCGTAATTTCCTGTCGATATGTACATCTACATAGTATGTCCTTATTATCTACAAAGTTTCATGAAATTCTGTTGTGTGGTTTCAGAGGAGTTGCGATGACAAACTGTTGCAGAGGTTTATTAAAGCAAATAAGTTCAAAGGGGCGTAACTCCTAGAAAAAAAATTGAATCATAATTTCCTGTCGATATGCACATCTACGTAGTATGTCCTTATTATCTAAAAAGGTTTCATGAAATTCTATTGTGTGGTTTGAGAGGAGTTGCGATGACAAAAGGTTGCAGTAGTTTATTGGGCAAATAAGTTCAAAGCGGCGTAATTCCTGGAAAAAAATTGAATCGTAATTTCCTGTCGATATGCACATCTACGTAGTATGTCCTTATTATCTACAAAGTTTCATGAAATTTTGTTGTGTGGTTTCAGAGGAGTTGAGATGACAAACTGTTGCAGTAGTACATTAAAGTAAATAAGTTCAAAGGGGTGTAACTCCTAGAAAAAAAATTAAATCGTAATTTCCTATCGATATGCACAACTACATAGTATGTCCTTATTATATAAAAAGGTTTCGTGAAATTCTGTTGTGTGGTTTGAGAGGAGTTGTGATGACAAGAAACAGGACTGACGGACTGCCGGACGGACGGACGGACGGGTCAAAAACATTATACCCTTCGCAACTCGTTGCATGCGGTATAATAAACAAGACTATAAAATCAGCTACTTTTCCAGACCAACTAAAACAGGCACAAGTTGTTCCATTGAACAAAAAGAACAATGTATTTGATGTAGGCAACTATAGACCAGTAAGTATACTATCAGTTATTTCAAAATTTTTAGAATGAGCAATTTACAAACAGCTAGTTGAATACTTCAATACACACTTTCACCCATACTTATCAGCTTTTCGACCAAAATATGGATGTCAAACTACTCTACTCAGAATCATTGAGGATTGGAAAATGGCACTTGTATCAAAATAAGTTTATTGGGTCAATACTAATGGATCTTTCTAAGGCGTTTGACTGTCTTCCTCACAATCTTCTGCTGCTAAAACTTGAAGCTTATGGTCTTTCAACTTCTTCTCTAGAACTGATAACTAGAGGCTCTCAAGAGCCTGTGTCGCTCACCTGATTCTACTTTGGTTTTGGAAATAATGTAAAAATAGATTAAAATCATAACAGATACCCTAATAATGAGTGAGGCCAAATTTGGTTTAATATTGGTCCTGTAATTTAATAAAAAATCCTGGTGGCCATCTTGAACAGTAAATCGGCAACAAAGTAGCAACACTTCATCAGCACCTCATAAGAAACATTTATGCCATGTTTTGGTTTCATTCCATTCAGTGCACCTCTAGAAGAGGCATTTGTATGTATTTCCCATAGGGTCTTATGTTAAAGCAAGTCCCCCCCTTGGCGGCCATCATGGATGAAGGATCAGCTTCAAAGTAACAAAACTTAGTCAGCACCTCATAAGGAACATTCATGCCATGTTTGGTTTCAATCCATTCAGTATGTGGTTCTCTAAAAGAAGACATTTGTATGTATTGTCCAACAGGGTCCTTTGTTAAACATTGTCCCCATCTGGCAGCCATCGTGGATGAAGGATCAGCTTCAAAGTAACAACACTTGGTCAGCACCTCAAAAGGAACATGCATGCTATGTTTGGTTTCATTCCATTCAATGGTTCTCTAAAAGAAAACATTTGTATGTATTTCCGTTAAGGTCCCATGTTAAACTAAGTCCCCCGCTGGCGTCCATCTTGGATTATGGATCGGCTTCAAAGTAACAACACTCGGTCAGCACCTCATAAGGAACATTCATGCCATGTTTGGTTTCATTCCATTCAGTGGTTCTCTAAAAGAAGACATTTGTATGTATTTCCCATAGGGTCCTATGTTAAACTAAGTCCCCCGCTGGCGGCCATCTTGGATAATGGATCAGCTTCAAAGTAACAACACTTGGTCAGCACCTCATAAGGAACATTCATACCATGTTTGGTTTCATTCCATTCAGTGGTTCTCTAAAAGAAGACATTTGTATGTATTTCCCATAGGGTCCTATGTTAAACTAAGTCCCCCGCTGGCGGCCATCTTGGATGATGGATCCGCTACAAAGTAACAACACTTGGTCAGCACCTCATAAGGAACATTCATGCCATGTTTGGTTTCATTCCATTCAGTGGTTCTCTAGAAGAAGTTCAAAATGTAAAAAGTTGACGACGACGACGGACGATGGATGCCAAGTGATGAGAAAAGCTCACTTGGACCTTCGGGCCAGGTGAGCTAAAAAATTACTTATCTTACAGGAAACAATGTGTTCGAGTTGGCTCCAGTCTGAGCAATTGGCAAAATATATACAAAAGAGTACCACAGGGTTCGATTCTTGGTCATATACTTTTAAACATATTCTTAAATGATATCTTTCACTTCAACTCACACAGTTCACTCTACAATTATGATGATGACAATACACTTTCCTATGCAAATAGGGATATAAACAGTTATTTCTACACTTGAAAAAGACAGTTTGGCTCTGATAGACTGGTTCTCTTCCAATCAAATGAATGCAAACCCTGAAAAATTTCAAGCTTTGGCAATTGGCAAAAAAACAATGGGCAAAAACATTACATTTGACCTGGCAGGTAACAAAATAAAATGTGAAAAAGAGGTCAAACTATTAGGCATCACCAGTGACTTTGAACTAAATTTCAACACAAAAATCTCCAACATCTGCAAAAAAGCATCCAGACAACTTAATGTCTTAAAAAGACTTGGCAAATACTTGAACAAACTGGGAAAATTAACAATTATCACTCGTTCATTATGTCAAACTTTAAATTCTGCTCATTGTCCTGGCATTTCTACAGCAAGGCAAACACTACTAAAATTGGAAAAGTACAAGAAAGAGCACTCCACTTCATTTACCAGGATTACAATAGCACATATGATGATTTACTTTTGAAATAAAAAATGCCATCTCTTAAAGTAAGACGCCTAAGAACCATGGCAATAGAGGTATTTAGAACAGTTAATAAAGAAAATCCAATATACCTACATGATCTTATAAACATTAAAAAAACAAAATAATTTTTCAGATATCAAAACTTAGCTCAAATGCCTGCAGTAAGAACTACAAGGTATTGATTGAAATCTTTCAGATATTCTGCAGTCAAACTATGGAATGAGTTGCCAAACCACTTTAGAACTGAAACATCTTTTACCCAATTCAAGAGTCTAATAAACTCATGGAATGGCAACTCATGCCATTGCAATGCATGTGCTTAGTATTTATTTTTATGTTTTATGTTACAGCTTTGAAACATAGTAGTGCTGCTTATTTTACTTCCACTCTTTTTGTGTTTTATTTGCTTAGCTTTTTATAATTTGTGATTATCTGTGCTTTAGTGTTTTATGTTGCTGCTTTAATGTTGCTGCTTTAATGTTGCTATTAGCTTAGTGCTCATGCATGTATATAATGTGTAGTATTTAAAGTAGTTCAGCCTTGCCTAACTGTGCATGAAATATATGTTTTATGTCTTTTATGCTTTAATATTTATTTTGTATGTTTATTGTGTATGTTTATTGTGTAAATGTATGTATTTGTAGGTTATAAAAGCTCAAAGAGGTTATGTTATTGTTTTGTGACATACCGACTTTAATTAAAGATTTTGATTTGATTTCATTCGATACAGCTTTTCAGCTTGGGGCTAATACATAACAAATAAGCTAATACAGATTACTCACTTCTGGTGGAAAGTGTTTTTGCCTCATCAAACTATGGACATATTTTGATACATAAGATACATCTTTTATTACAAATGACATCAACAAATTTAAATAATGTAGCAAGAATTATAAAACATTTAAACAGAAAATTCCACAGCCTTTCCAAGCAGCATTTTAGATTAATATTACTGTTTAATTTCTGTCAATCAAAATCTACAAGAATGTAGACCACAATAAGAAGGATGGTTAAATGTTTAAATTATTCTGTACATGTATTAGCATTGATTAAGTACATGAATAAGAAATCAGAAGTTTCATCAATATTGACAAAAAATACATTGTAACTGAGAAAAAGACAATTTCAATATATTAAATTACACCTGCCAAAAATTTAACTAGAAGAGATAGAATCATTTAACAAAAGTGTTATGATCTAGATGTTTCTGTATTGGTCATGGTATGGATTCTTGATCAGCTGAATAGACCCTCAATTCTCAGTCTCTGGGACAATACAGAAACAGACAGTTAATAACACTATAGAACTAACTAGATATCATTGAGATGGGAGCCATCTCTGTGGGCCCCGCTGTGAATAATATGTGGTAAAAAATTTGTATCTTTATCATTGGACATGGGGTTGTCAACTGAAACCAAAGTTTATGACCTTGACCTTTGACCTAGGAAGTTGTACATAAATTATGACACACCCTCTGGTGTTGGTTTATATACATGTCAAGTATAAACTTTGAAATCATAACGGTTCTCAAGATATAGAGCAGACACAATCTTTACCATAGGACATGGGGTTGTCAACTAAAACCAAAGTTTTTAACCTTGACCTCTGACCTAGGAAGTTGTACATACATTATGACACACCCTCTGGTGTTGGTTAATGTACATGTCAAGTATAAACTTTGAAATCATAATGGTTCTTTAGATATAGAGCGGACACAATTTGTTACGGACGGACGGACTGATCACTATAGGGCGTCTGCCATTCAGCGGGGCCCTAACTAGACAATTTATATAAATGTAATAAATCTTTTATAATTCATAAATCCTCTCTTCACTGCTGATATGTATACTATACTCACAACACACTGTTTAAGTTTCTCTGGTAAAGGATCTTCCAGATCTTTCTCATCAACTTCATCCTGTTTCTTATTACTACATATCAAATCTTTTACAAGCATCCTGTTGATCAAAATGAATACTAAGGTTTTCATTATCTTTATCACACAGCTAACATTTTATATTTGGACTTTTACATAAACTTAACTTAAGATGTTTTTTGCTAACTGCAAATCATTTATTTCAAGATAACAATAAATATGTATTACTGTGTTTATTTAGCTGAAATAAATGACTGAAGACCTACACACAAGACACTTGGATCACTGTCACCTCTACTGAGATGGTAGGAGAGAAACACATGGCTCAGGACTTACCACAAGACACTTGGATCACTGACACCTCTACTGATATGGTAGGAGAGAAACAAATGACTGAAGACTTACCAAAAGACACTTGGATCACTGGCACCTCTACTGAGATGGTAGGAGAGAAACAAATGACTGAAGACTTACCAAAAGACACTTGGATCACTGGCACCTCTTTTGAGATGGTAGGAGAAAAACAAATGGCTGAAGACTTATCAAAAGACACTTGGATCACTGACACCTCTACTGAGATGGTAGGAGAGAAACAAACGACTGAAGACTTACCAAAAGACACTTGGATCACTGGCACCTCTTTTGAGATGGTAGGAGAAAAACAAATGGCTGAAGACTTATCGAAAGACACTTGGATCACTGGCACCTCTACTGAGATGGTAGGAGAGAAACACATCACTGAAGACTTACCAAAGAACACTTGGATCACTGGCACCTCTACTGAGATAGTAGGAGAGAAAACAAATGACTGAAGACTTACAAAAAGACACTTGAATCACTGGCATCTCTATTGAGATGGTAGGAGAGAAACAAATGACTGAAGACTTACCAACAGACACTTGAATCACTGACACCTCTACTGAGATGGTAGGAGAGAAACAAACGACTGAAGACTTACCAAAAGACACTTGGATCACTGGCACCTCTACTGAGATAGTAGGAGAGAAACACATGACTGAAGACTTACCACAAGACACTTAGATCACTAACACCTTCTACTGAGATGGTAGGAGAGAAACACATGACTGAAGACTCACTACAAGACACTTAGATCACTGACACCTCTACTGAAATGGTAGGAGAGAAACAAATGATTGAAGCCTTACCACAAGACACTTGGATCACTGATACATCTTATGAATTAGTACAAGAGAAATAAATGACTCAAGACTTACCACAAGACATTTGGATCACTGATACATCTAACAAATTAGTACAAGAGAAACAAGCATTCTGTGAGTATTGCATGGCCATACATAGTCCCCTACCGGTTAAAAATTCATTGTATTGGAACAAAATTCTAACTAGATCTATAACTTGGCATGATGTACAAACTATACAACAAATATCAAGTCAATACCTCAAGCATGACGAAAAAAAACATTGAAAACTGATTACTTAAGTCCAAGGACCATAACTCTGCACAAAATCATCAGACCGGAACAAAATTCCAACTTGATCTGTAACTTGTCATGATAAAACAATACTCCAAATATCAAATAACTATCTTTAAGCATGAAGAAAAAAAGTGTGGAAAACTGATTTGCCGGACTGACGGATTGACAGACAGACAGAGTGCAAACCTAAAGTCCCCTTCGGCCTTCATCGGTAGGGGACTAATAAATGACTCAAGACTTACCACAAGACACTTGGATCACTGGCACCTCTACTGAGATGGTATGAGACAGCAACAATCATTGCACATAAAATAGAAAATACTGCATTCTGGGCACATTCTTGTTCACATTTACTCTGAGGACATGTTCCTACCTGAAATGAGGAGGTAAAATACAATAATAAGACTCACAATTCAAAATGTAACATCATTTAGACACTTATATAGTGTACAGTATGAAGAAGACTTCATAAATCAGTATTGCCAAAGATAATGTTTTCTAAGAGAAAATTATAAAATTCTTATCTTTTTTTTTCATTCAGTCCAATTTCCTTACAAAGAACATTTAAAACATATTTGGTATACATTGGTTGAAAAAGTGCAGAAAAAGATATTTTTAAATATAAGTATATATGTAAAAATAAGTCCCCTTCTAATGTTGGGTGCCCGGATTTGACACCAAAATAACACCATCATGTATCCCCTATTCTGTCACATTTAGTAAAAAGGTCACATGATATTTGACTTTAAATATGAAAATGTAACATAAAATCCATGTAAAATTTACCTGTGCAGCTAAATAACAGAAAGGATAGAGAAAAGCTGTTGCAATTATACTTCTACAAAACACATATATTGATGATCCTAGGCTGACTGTAGCTGAAAAATACAGGTACATGTATCAAATGAAATGAACAATGCAGGATTCCAATAAATATTTTACTTTTTAGGATGTAATTTGTGAGCAGGTTGCTATATCATTCGTTTATTTCATGTTTTTTTTCTTCTTTTTTATGAACAGATACATAGCTGAAACATGTGTGGTCTTTACTGATGCCATGTTTTTCATAAAACTATTTCAATTTCAAAATATGTAAAAGATTACTTGTTGACTTGATGATATCAGATATGTTCTACAGTACTAAATTCTTACTAAGGATTACTTACCATTACCTCCAAACAGATGCATATCAAGTTGCTCAAATAGATACATAATAAATGTATTGACTTGAGGCAGAAGTCCTACTGTAAAAATCACAGGGAAAAACAAAACTAATACTGAAATAAAAATTAATATTAGCATTGTGTATAAGTTTGATAACATTTGGTTGAGGCAAACTTAAGTTAGAGAACGGAAACCAATTTTGGGACGTACGGACAGACGGACAAGGGTAAAACTTAATGCCCCCTCCACTTCCGCGGGGGCATAAAAACATAAAAACTCTTAACTTTGTACAGTAAACTAACTTATTCTTGTGGATACTTTCTATTGGGTCTTGTGGTCTCTTAACACAGGTGGTCTTTGAATACAGGTCTTCACATTAAGACTAGAATGAACCATTTTGCATGAGTTCTATGTAAGTTAGTTATACTGTATTGGTCTCATTTGCATCTCCACCATTGTATGCAATATGATAAAAACAAAGTAATGTGTTTTCCTAGCTTGTTTTTATGTCTTCTTTTATATTTTTATTTCATCGCAAGAAAAGTTTTTGGTTATATTAAGTCCAGTCTCATCCACATACATTTTTCTTCTACTTTCATATACTTTTATTTGTTATTTGATGTCAACAGTTCCGTGTCAGAGTAATACTTAAATAACTATGTATATATATCATTTGAACTTAAAAATCATTAGTAATTAACGATCAATGGCTTTGGTATAGGAGTCCTGATTTTTTTAACTTTGTGAATTCATTGTTTGAATTATCAATGAGGTCAAAATCTACATATAAAGGTCATATGCAAATTATAATGTATTTAAACAGCCATGGAAAGACAAATTTGTAAGTGTATGATTCAACATTACCTTTAAGGAGATCTCTGGTAAATCTCAGAGATGATACAATTCCAAATGGCATACCATAAACATCTACAGGGTTAGGTGAGGCAAAGCTATGTGCATAGTCCAGCAGCAACATAAGGCCACAACATACACAAAAATAAAATGGACGGCTGAATACAACTAATCTGTTATACCCCTATAAAAAAAAAGCATATCATATGAATACATAAGCAACAAGAATGTGTCCATAGTACACGGATGCCCCACTCGCACTATCATTTTCTATGTTCAGCGGACAGTGAAATTGGGGTCAAAACTCTAATTTGGCATTAAAATTAGAAAGATCATCTCATAGGGAACATGTGTACTAAGTTTCAAGTTGATTGGACTTCAACTACATCAAAAACTACCTTGACCAAAAACTTTAACCTGAAGCAGGACAGACGGACAGATGGACAGACCGAACATAAATAAAAATATTAAAAATATTAACATTAACCATGAAAGCACTAACTAGCAATATATAAGATATAGATAGGCTTGGGAAAAGAAATTTGAAAATATTTCAAGGCATCAGAAAGTTGATAAATGAGAATTTCTACTGCCACTCTTTAATAGTTTACTTTGAAATGAGCATGCTTTCACCATTTCTCATTATGACATGTTGAAGTATAAAATTGGTGGGTTGACAGCTATAGGGCTCCTTAAAGATTGATGAAGTGAGACCTGTGAAAAGTCCATGGATGCAATTCTTTAGATCTTCAATAAGAAGTCAGAGATAGAAATATTGAATCCAAATTTGAAGGAAAAGAAAACGTTATATCTAAAAAATGTAAAAGGGTGATATTTGGAGGATAAGAGGTACCATAAATGTAAAAAAAAATATTGTCATGGATTTTCATAAGGAATTCAAAGAAATAGTCACACAAATTCTAAATGAAAAGAAAGAAGTTAATCTTTCTGGGCTTGATTAAAATAAAAAGCCGTAACAGACTCATGATTAAAAAAAAAAGCTCTAACAGACTCACTTGGAATATCTATTGTTTTAAAGAAAAATACCTGCAACAAAATCTAATGAAAAACCAGTAAAAACCCTGTGATGGGTCCATTTGACCTTTGTGTCATCAACAAATAGGTACACAATCCACAAAATCAATACAAGCCTTTGTTTTTTGCCAGGAACTTTATTTTAATTTCATAAGCCAAATATTTGTCAACTTAAACTTAAAATTGTGTCTTCAAACAGAAGATGATAATTCTGACAACTACTGATGATAATGATGACAACAAACTAATATCATAAATTCACAATTTGTTTGATAGTATAAAATCAATATTTTTCTGGACACATACATCATCCTCCCTTCCAACTTTCTTTTTTTTTCAAATTGCTATGAAACTTGGGCTATTTTCATAGATAAAGTATAAAGACTCTCATAAACAATTAATAACTTACATGTGTAGGAGAAGCAGCATCTGGTTGTACACTCTGTAAAAATATATTAATGTGTTATGTTCAATCTACATCAGCTAACCTGCTGTTGACAATTATCAAATTCTCAATTAAAAATTATTTTTTTTCTGTTTTCTTACCATAACTTTAAAATAAATTGCACTTTCATATTTCTAATTCTGCCATTGAAAATAAACTAAATCTGTATACATTTCTTTTTATTTAGGGGGGATACTCACGATTTTTAATATCTTTATGCTAACAAAATAAAAATCATTTTTTTTATAAATTTTTCAAAAATAAAAATTTTCTCATGCAAGTTTAACAATTAGTTCAGTGAACAACTAAAACTATTTTTTCTTTTATGGAACACTTACCTTCATAACAGAATACTGACAACCAGCAATAACAAAACAAAACATGAAGACCCAGAAATCATAATAAAAATTGGCAGACAGCACCAGTGCCCCAACAGCACCTACGGTCACTGCTATTATCACAGCTATACTATTTTCTATTGTTGTTAAATTTCTGAAATCACAAACAAAAGCCTCAAGTATAATTTTAAACTCAAGAAAAACATCTATTATGCATTCACTTTACTGATGGTTTTACTTGTTTTATATGTGAGCATGAAAAATTTCTATTTTTGACTGATTAATATAGTTTGTGAGACCACTATTAAAGGCCATGTATTTTTACATCTTATTACTGAGTTTTCTGTCTCATTTGAATTTTGGAAAAATTTGAACACATAACTATGTGATCTGAACAGCTTAAAAATAATATTTTTTTACCTAGAAAATATGCTTCATTCCTTAATTATTTTTTTCAGCAATAAAATGTATATACTTGATATCATTTGATTTTTTTCCCCTATCTATATATGAAATATTTACTGTTTATCCCACTGAAAAATTTTATATTTTTCTTCTCATTATCTAAAAATAAGGAAATATTGGTATTTTAACCCCAAAATGATAATTATCAATATTGTTTAATACAAATATACTTCTTGTAAGAGGTCACCTCAATGAGAATTTTTTTTTTTGGCCAACAACTTTATATAAACAATTTTATTACATATTTTCAACATACAGTTAACTCTCATTGTCTCGAACTCGGTAGACTCGAAATTTCGGATGAGTTGAAGTTTTCTCGTGGTCCTGAACTTTGTTCCATATAAATATATGTATTTCGACTCCTGATGAGTCGAAATTGGATGAGTCGAAATTCAGTTGAGTCGAACTAAATTTACGGTCCCAAGGTTAACAAAAGCATTCAAAATTCATTATTTATCTCGAACTAATACACATATGTCAAAACATGACCTCCGGGAATTAAATGGATTGAAGAGTTAATCTGACAATACACGTGTAATTAAATTTCCGGTCACTGACCACTGTATTGATTTATGACATTCTATTTCCACGAGTGTTTACCTAAGATTATCTTTTATCACCATGATAAATAATTAGTGATACATTGTTAAAGTTTATGAAAAATTATTTAAAATGTTTACAAAAAAAATTAATTAAATTAATCATGATTTACACTGATGAGCTTGGATGTGTATAAAGTGGGGATTAAGACTTCCGTTGGTGATCACACAAAAACTACTCACTCGGAGTCTTTTATCTTTTTGTATTTTTTCTTTAAAAGAAAGATTGAGATAAAAGAAAATAAAAATACATCTAAATTTCTAAAATCTCTTGTTTCTGAGAATAAACAATTTCGTCACATTTAAATGACTTAAATAACGCTAAGATCGATTGGAAATTACTCTCTCGGATAAAAGCCACAGGGAAAAATTGTAACTGTTCAAAGAAATAATTAAATAAGTGAAAACAATGTTATTATAATAATGAAAGACCATAACATACAAATCCATCGATATGAGACCAGAATATCGATCCCCTTCCCATATTCATCCGGATTTATTTTAGCTTTACCAAGCTAAGCAAGAGTTGTGCCCCTTGGTCTGTCAAACTTCCGGTATTCGTTTGAGTCGAACTACGGGTATCTCGAAATATTTTTCTGGTCCGGCTGACTTCGAGATAAAGAGAGTCGACTGTATAATTCAGTCATAAATATATGTCTGTTTTCTGCCTCCCGAAAAAATCCCAACCCACCAACCCTTTTTTATGGCGGCAATCACATATATTTTTGTTGGCCTTATATTTCAATTCATTTCAGCTAGAGTAAAGGTGACCTGTTTATACAGATGAAGGAAATTTATCATTACTAACCTGTCTAACAATGCTAATAAAGCTAATCGATCAAATCTAATCTTTAAAAATTTCTTTGGAAGATATTGGAATTTGTAGAAATGGTTTCTTTTTGCCTCTTTTATGCTTGCTTTTCCTGATGAATCAGAATCTGCAGAACTATCACATGCTGTACCAGCCATTCTTCTTCTTGTCATTAAAAGTTCCTCAATAGTTTGACGAGTGACTGTTCCTGGAAGATCAAGTTCATGTAAGACTGGTTCATCTTTTTTATCTTCTGTCTTTGAATCAATCATCACAGTTGAGCCAGATCCACTAGATGAATTACTCCAACTGTAATATTTCAAACGATAAAAACATAACTATCATTGAAAGGGCATAGAAACTCTTCTTTCTATGTTAATGTCTTACTACGGTGGATTGTTATTTCATGGGTACAGATGAACCACATATTTAAATGTTCAACAAAGTACAAACTTTCTTTAAGCTTGTATGCAGACTTTGGCAAAACCATGTATTGAAATATCATCAAAAATTCAATTAATCCTTAATCCACGAAAATTGGTACTCACAAAAATAAATTAATCAAATTGAACAAAGCATCTTCAGTAAAATATCAAAATAGCACTTTAACATGCATGATACCTATAGAAAATACTGAACATGTTCATTCAATAAGTCCAATGTATATAATTTAGACATCTAGTTTTGTCCAAAACAACATAATGCTTATTCTTAGGTTTTACAAAATTATGACCAGTGTCATTTTATTTAATTGTTATAGTTTTCTTCTGTTGTAAAGTAAATAAGATAGCTTAAAGAAAGAACAAAGAGCAGGCTCACATACCTCCACAGTAATAAGAAGGCAGTTTCCTATTTGTGAAGTTTCTGATGATCAACTACTAGCAGATTTTGATAAAAGTGAACTTTCATTCAAACCTGCAGACCCCAACAAACAGAAATTGCTATTCAAGTAGCAAATAGTTTAATACTTGTACAAGCATCCTACTAAAATATGGTTCCTAATTAATGTTTTTACTATTAGAATAATATATTCAATAATTGAATTTATACAAGGTAAAGATAAAACTCTCCCCTCACTGCCCACCCCCCAAATCCTTGATTTCCCAAATTTTCTAGTAAACAAACTAATCCATTATCTTACTAAAAGTAAACTTTCATTCAAATTGAAAGGTATGAGGCATCAAATCAAGCTGCTATCCATTTAGCACTAATAATTAAGTGAAACTTGTAAAAAGTCTCCCCTCCAAATGTGTGTCAAATGATAACATGACTAGAGAAAATCTTTCTTCAAAGGAGGAAGTTCGGTGTGGGTCATACATGTATATGGCCCCAAATATTAAGTCCACTGTTCAAAGATAAAAAATTATTCCAGTGGACATATAGGAAAGTGCAATAAAGCCTTTTCTGAGTAGCTTTTCATTTAAAGCCTTAATATTTACAACCCAAAGAGACCAAAAGTAGAGATTTTGATGAAATAGGCAAAATCGTCTGAATTTCTACCAAATTTAGGCCTAGGAAACATACAGCGCAGGCTTCGACAAACTAAATGTTCAAATCAGATATGTAAAATGTTACAATAAACAAATTGTTAAAAGATCTTTCTTGTCGATTCATGGGCTCTATGTTTCCAGTCCAAAAAAACAATGAAAATTTACCTGTTTTCTTTAATTTATGTGGAAAATCAATATGTGTGCTATTTGTGACATCATGACAAGAACTTTAACCCTTAGACTGCTGCATTCATTTCTATTGTACTTTTGTGTATTGCTGAATAAATTGTTAATAACTGACGAAATAAACATGTTTACCTGGGTACTTATTATTGCTATATATAGAAATAAGAAGATGTGGTATGAGTGCCAATCTTTGTAATTATTGAGTACTCATCAATAAAAGTTATATAAAAAAGTATTGTTAGATTCTGTATTTTTTATATATTTTATTTTTTGTGTGTCTTTGGTAATTTTTTACCTGTATAGGTGCAAATAGAGGAAAACAAAGGTAAATTTTTTAAATTTTAAGTTTTATTTACGAATCCATCAATGTTATAACTTTACAAAAGTATCATTCACTTTAGAATTGAACCAATATTATTGAAAATCTCTTTTATGAACTACCGGTAGTTTCATTGTGATTATCAAAAAAAAACTTTTAGCTCGCACCAGCTGCCTTTTTTATGCGACTATTTTCCTTCTGACTTTCACTGCGACAACTTTTACTTCCACATTCAAATAAGTTTAACCAATGAACAGGTTCATTGATAACAGTTTCGTCAATAGATAAGCTTAAACAAACACAAAGTTCGGAACTGTCGATGTCAGTGATCAATTTTGTTTCACAGTTAAACGGCAAAATGATAAACATCGTAATCCTGTCTCATGTCCATCCGTTTGGTACATCGTCTGGGAAATCCCAGTGGTTCTTGCATGAAAAGTCTTCTGTTGGCAGATTTGCTAGAATGTTTCAATTTTTATCTATCATATCTTTTGTTCTGGTCCAAATCCTTCAAATCTGGCGCCACTATCACGTCATTATCATTGAAATAATTCTGAGTTTGTTAGCCATCACTCCAAACACTATCCGCCATTTTGTTACTTTTTTCATCAAAATTTTTCACTTTTGGTTTTATTGCTTATAGCTGATTTAAAAGTCAAGAGAAACTCGAAAAAAATACGCAGAATTTTAACCAATTGAAATCCATACAAGTCTAAAATGCTGCAATCTCATAATATTGACTCCACTCGTTCCATGGTAACTGTGTTAGACAAGAGTGCACACGCTGAAATGTCTCGCCTTCTTTACTAATCATTGATATTATGTTGATAGTCCTAAATATAAAGCTTTATTACAACTGTCACATAAACTTAACATTAACCAAGTAAACTAAACATTGACCAATGAACCATGAAAATGAGGTCAAGGTCAGATGAACCATGCTAGGCAGGCATGTACAGCTAACAATTCTTCCATACAACAAATAGAGTTGACCTATTGCTTATAGTTTAAGAAAACAGATCAAAACACAAAAACTTAACACTGAGCAATGAACCTTGAAAATGAGGTCAAGGTCAAATAAAACCTGCGTGACTGCCAAATAGATCATAAAATATTTCCATACACCAAATATAGTTGAACTATTGCATATAGTATAAGAAAAACAGACCAAAACACAAAAACTTAACTATAACCACTGAACCATGAAAATGAGGTCAAGGTCAGATGACACCTGCCAGTTGGACATGTACACCTTACAGTCCTTCCATACACCGAATATACTAGACCTATTGCTTATAGTATCTGAGATATGGACTTGACCATCAAAACTTAACCTTGTTCATTGATCCATGAAATGAGGTCGAGGTCAAGTGAAAACTGTCTGACGGGCATGAGGACCTTGCAAGGTACGCACATATCAAATATAGTTGAACTATTGCACATAGTATTAGAAAAAAAGACCAAAACTCAAAAACTTAACTTTGACCACTGAACCATGAAAATGAGGTCAAGGTCAAATGACATCTGCCCGCTAGACATGTACACATTACAATCATTCCATACACCAAATATAGTAGACCTATGGCATACAGTATAAGAAAAACAGACCAAAACACAAAAACTTAACTATAACCACTGAACCATGAAAATGAGGTCAAGGTCAGATGACACCTGCCAGTTGGACATGTACACCTTACAGTCCTTCCATACACCGAATATACTAGACCTATTGCTTATAGTATCTGAGATATGGACTTGACCACCAAAACTTAACCTTGTTCACTGATCCATGAAATGAGGTAGAGGTCAAGTGAAAACTGTCTGACGGGCATGAGGACCTTGCAAGGTACGCACATACCAAATATAGTTATCTTATTACTTATAATAAGAGAGAATCTAACATTACAAAAAATCTTAACTTTTTTTTCAAGTAGTCACTGAACCATGAAAATGAGGTCAAGGACATTGGACATGTGACTGACGGAAACTTCGTAACATGAGGCATCCATATACAAAGTATGAAGCATCCAGACCTTCCACCTTCTAAAATATAAAGCTTTTAAGAAGTGAGCTAACGCCGCCGCCGCCGCCGCCGCCGCCGCCGCCGCCGCCGCCGCCGCCGCCGCCGGATCGCTATCCCTATGTCGAGCTTTCTGCGACAAAAGTCGCAGGCTCGACAAAAACTAGTTACGGAAACGACAATAGTCGCGCGTAGCAGTCTAAGGGTTAATACATAATTTTCAAAAAAAAGTCATATTTCCTAGATCTTAATTTGAAACTGAAGCTAGAAGTAGGGGCCATTTTAGGGCATTATCAAACATACTCCTTTGAAAGGTATCAAGACAAATTATGAAGGCATCAACAAGTGTTGACTGACAGATGTACAGTAATTTAATTAAATGTAATTATTACCTGTCTGACCAAAAACTATTATCTACAGGAGTTTCATTGGCTGTAAAAGCTAATCCTGAACTGTTTTCTCCAAAGCTATAGGAATACCATTTTCCTATAAAAATACAAAGTAAATAATGTCATATTTTAAATCATTATTTTCTGACGGACTTTTAAGAAACAGTGTGTCTTTACTGCTATACCATTTAATCTATACAATGTAAATAAAATATTTGTACAACTATCAAATAAAATTTGTTTACCATTTTCATCTTGGAACCAATGAAGAGCTCCTTCAGTTGTATCATCATGAGATGCAGCAGTATGGAACTTCCCAGTGTTTCTCACGCTGTCCCTCACACTACCAGGTGGTGAACCACTTCGTCTTACACGTCTTCTTGACTTTCCTACTCCTCGTTCTCTTTTTTTACTGTAAGTTAAGATTATGTTTGAAAGAAAAGATAATCTATACTACAAATTTTTGTTCAACACACATGATATTTTATGATTTATTGAAACTAAGAAGGTATATTTAGTTATAATGTTTTACTATTTTTTTCGAATTGCTGTCAACAACCTAAATGTATTTATTAACTATCAATAGCATATGGGTTTGTTGTTATATTGGGAACATGTGTTCATGTTTACAATAATATTTAAATTATTTTAGCATAACAATAAGTCACCTTAACAAAGTTAAGAGTTTAAAGTTTCTTTATATGATAGCATGGACTGGTCATTCGCAGTAAAAGTTTACATTGAAAATACATTTTCATAGTTTGACCATTCAAAGCTCAGTCTTAGTGCAGTAAAGTTTCCCTCCCCCCCCCCCCCCCCCCCCCCCCCCTGTGAAAATGTTTTGTATTAATTTCTAATTATTGTAAACGCATTACGTTTTTTATGCAGATCTTGAAAGAACATTATGTAAATATTGTTTTATGATATGAACAAATTCTATTTCATTATTTTTCTTTGTAGATATGTTTGTAAGACATGTATGCTGCAGCGGTCTTAGTGTGCTGGCAAAGTGATTGAGGACAGTTGTATAATTAGAAAAATAAAACTTTGCTGCACTCGTCTAGGCTAGCTGTTTCCCATAGATATGTGTTGAGTTTTTGTTCATAAATACTTTATTTGCGCTTGAGGCCACGAATTAGAAAATAACGAAGGTTATATTTACAGTGATTATATTGGTACTTATGTCCAACTTACCTAACTAGAAGGTTATATTTACAGTGATGATATTGATACTTATGTCAAACTTACCCAACTATAGAAATTGAATATAGAATTCATAAACTACAAACAAAGATTTGTCCTACCTGAAACCATCATAACTAAAAACAAAGCAAAGTGATGGCATGCATTTTATTGCAGGTAATGGTTTTTATAGCAGGTAAAGGTTATTTACAGAAGGCAAACTATAATTAGATGGTATTGTTACCTGCCATGCCTCTTAATCTAAGTTAAAGCTGCCGCAGCTATAAGAAGGCAAAAGTTTGCCAGAGTGTATGGCTGCCTGCCATACCGTTTAATCTGAGATAAAGCTGCAGAGGCTATCAGGCAAAAGATTAAGTCAGATGATAGTTACCTGCTGTGCCTTTTTATCTAAGATGAAGCTTTTGTAGCTAAACTAACAGAGGATAAAATGTTCTTCAGATGCTATAGTTACCTGCCATTTATTTTTAATCTGAGATGAAGCTGCTGAAACTATCCTGACAGAAGGCAGAAATTTGTCAGATATTATAGTTACCTGCCGTGCCCTTTAATCTGAGATATTGCTGAGGCTATCCTAACAAAAGGCAAAAATTTGTCAGATGGTAAAGTTACCTGCCACTTCTTTAGCTGCCCTAGCTTTCCTTACAGAAAGCAAAAATTTACCAGAGAGTATGGTTGCCTGGTTTGCCAATTTATCTGAGATGAAACTTTCACATAAAAACTAACAGAAGGAAGAAAAGGGTAGGTTCGATAAGGTCCCAATATGGCCCCTTTTTCTAGAAAAAATTTCAAATCAGGATTTATTTGCCATTATCACAATGAAAGAAAAGTTAAACAATGACTACATAGGAATAAGTTCTTTTAGCTAAAAAATTTACATATAAGCAATTGTTTCATGACGTCATAAATAGAACAAATTTTGATTTTCAACAAAATTCAATGAAAACAGGGCCAATTTCCATCAGGTTTTAGCATCAGAAACATGCAGCGCATGTGTAGACAAAAAAGGTCTTTCATCATTATATTTGTTTCAAGAAATTATCCATCTGACTTGAATATTTAGTTTTTCAAAACCTGTGCTCTATGATTCCTAGACCTAAATGTGGTTGTAATCCAGAAGATTTTGTCAACTTTTATTATTTTAGCCTATTTAGGATTTAAATGTCAACGCTTTATAAGAAAAGCATTACAAAGATAATTTTATTTCATTTTCTTACATTTCTATACATCAAATTGAAAAAAACTTTTTATCTTATAACAATGGACTGGATACTCTAGGCCAAATAAGGCCTTACAGAAACTAAGTCCTATGTCAGATGTTATAGTTACCTGCCATGCATTTGAATCTGAGATAAACCTGGTGAAGCCCTTATTACAGAAGGCAGGAATTTGTCAGATGTTATAGTTACCTGCCATGCCTTTTAATCTGAGATGAAGCTGCCGAAGCTATACTAACAGAGGGTAAAAGAGCAGAACTTTCTGTAGGTGACCCTGATTTAGAATCTGATGAACCTCTATCATGTTCTCCTAACCTTGGTGTACTTTCTCCTGTTGGATCTTCTGCACAGTCAGATTTACTTTTACCTAAAATAACATTACAACATTAATATATGTACTGTGGATCTATTATTATTCCTGGGATACCAATTTACATGGATTTTGTTGGTAAAGGCAAACCTAGAATTTAAATTTCATCAAAGTACAAATTTACTACAGGTTGTATGCAGTTTTTGTCAATATGAGAAACATCAATAAAAGCACTATTCTCTTTATTTTGGCTGTAAGATGTGAGATAGTTCATTGCTTAAGACCATTTCAGTGAATGTCATGATGAGGAACATCAATAAAAGAACTGTTCCTTTAATTATTAACATTTCCAAGTAATTCATGAAACTATTGCATTTACATCAACCCATGTTAACATCAAACTATACATTTATGTACTACTGTAAATTCAGAAATTATTGCGAGGTTCTTATTAATGCGAATAATGCGACTGGGTGAGTATCGCAATAATTGGAACTCGCATTCTGATATCGAATACATATAACTGTATCCAGATTTTGATAGAATCGCAATAATTAATCTCGCATTTTTGTCTTTTCTTCAACAATCGCATTAATAAATGTGCGCAATAATTTCTGAATTTACAGTATATTATTATATATTAAGAATGCAGATTTCTGGAATCCTATAAGATACAAGACATGCATAGAAAGAGAAGAGGTCTATTTGGTCATTTATGTAAGCATTTGTCACATACAACCAAATTATCTGTATGCATAATAAGTCCAAAGCAAGTGTTGGGAAAATGTAATGCTGTCTGCACCTTAAAGAAACAATCGTCAAATCTCCAGGGAAATTCATAAATTTCAAAATTTCATACTAAACCTATAATATGATTTTGTTTTCAAGTGGAAGTAAAAAAGGTATGTTTATTAAACCCAGCGCAACAACTTCTGAGATCCACAAATATTGTTAACTTGTTCTCATCCTTCATGTATGAAATATTTTCCACTGAATGTAAAGACCCCTATGATTAATTATTAGATTAAGATTCATATTCCTGATTAAGCCTCAGCTGATCAACTGAATAATTTTTATTCAAATATATATATCTCGGAATGTAAATAGTTTTTTTTTAAGAAGAAATACATTCAATGGTAGTTTTTTGCCATTCAAATTCATAAATTATCTGCTGCTGGATGATTTGTGAATAGCAATAAGTTTAACATATGTATATTTAGGTGTGTATTTAGTCATATGAATACCTATCAGAACATAATAAGTAACTTTTCCATTCTTACTAGCAGTTCTGTCTCGTCGAGGACTACTGCCATCTCTACTTCCTGATCTCCCTGTAATAAATATTTGAGTAAAAAATTAAGATTTTATACTTTTCAAGAAATATATAAATGAAAGTCATTCAATGTCTTATCTTGATCTTTCAATAGTTTTGGTTGAAACAATCAACCTGTTTTTACAATGTTTTCTTAGGACTTTTGAAGAATTTATTCCTCAAAGTTATCTAAAATATTGCACTCCGTAATACACCCCCTCCCCCCCTCAAAATATCTTCAAATGTGTAGTTTGGATTGTGTAAAATACACAATGCAGCTCCCATTGCAGATTTAACTCTACCACTTTTACTTTGAAGTTCAAAATTAAATATATAGTAAAGGAAGGGTCAAATGCACCACTCTTCTTGTTTTACAACAATTCTTTACTTTTGTCTCTAAGGTAGAACATTAGAACTAGTGTGCAGGAAAACTTATGTCTTAAAATATTAAGTTTCTCCCAAAAGAGTGGACTTTGAATTGTCTCTGTAGGGTGTAAACATATTTCAACAGTTAATTTTCTTTCTTTTTTAAGCAATAACAAAACTCTAGAATCAAGAATTTACAATTAGTAAAAAGAAATGAATCAAAGGATATGATTTTTCTTTTTATTCATAAGAAAGACAACCAAACACACCTTTGGCTTCAATAACAACTTTAAAAAGTTTCTTCATTTGTTCTGGATTATCAGACGTATCACTGAGTATCTCCATAATCTTCCGTCTGAAGTCTTCAGGATCTGGTAACTCTCCAGAAGATGGACTTCCTGCAGCGCTCTCATCTATAATAATTATAAACATGTGACATGTTTTAAACAAAAAGGGATATGCACTTCTAGCACCCATACAAGTAAAATTAGTGTTGAACAACACATTATACCTCTAACACAATATACCTAGTGTTGAACAACACATTATACCTCTAACACAATATACCTACCACAGTTGTCTAAAACAGTTACAAAAGTGAAAGTTATTCAATCAGTAGATTATAGACAAAGTGTAAGGAATCAGTTTGAAAATTTCTGTTGTTAATAGCCATCTTAGTAGAGGTTTTACTGTAACTCATGTGAAATGTACATCAAAAGGCTAAAATAACATTTTATTTTTACAGGAACTTTTGAAATTAAATGATTTTTTTTTTGGCATTTACATCAGAGGGCACTTAAAAACATCTACTACAAGGATAAAATCAAAAGATAGGTAGACAGGAACATCTCATTTTTTATATTTCTCCTTACCTGTAGGTGTAGGTTTGGGTATAGGAGGGAGTGGCCTAGCTGACGGCCGCTTTGGTATCGCACCTTGTTGTCTCATCATTTCAAGTTCGTCTGCACTAGGTGAACTTGGAGTAGGTGTATCAGGCCGCTTATGCATGGCACCTTGCCTCATTGTCTCAAGTTCATCAGCACTAGGTGTACTTGGAGTAGGTGTGTCTGTCTCCTTTAGGACTTCATACTTGATAGGAAATTGCGGACTAGTATCAATTGTACTGTCTCCTTCATTAGTCATTGTACTTGAGGTATCAGACATAAAGTGATCTCTGTGTGAATCTAGTTCAACTGAAATTTTAATTTAAACATGATATATCTTTTAATAAAGGCAGCCAATTTCTGTGCCTTCTATTTAAATTGCAATAAAATGCTTCGCTGGGCGCAGCTTGATACGACCGCAGAGGTCGAACCCTGAACAGTTGGGGCAAGTATGGACACAACATTCAAGCTTGATACAGCTCTGAATTTGGATTGTGATTAAATATTTGACACAGCATAGGTTTCTGACACAGAAAGAATGTGGTCTAAGAACTTCAATTTTTTTAATTTACCTATTATGGTCCAACGTCCAAAATCAAAATACATGGTTAGATTCAGCATATCAAAGAACCCCATATATTCAATTTTTGTTGAAATCAAACAAAGTTTAATTTTGGACCCCAACTTGGACAAACTTGAAAACTGGTCCCATAATCAAAAATCTAAACACATGTTTAGATTCAGCATATCAAAGTACCCCAAGAATTCATTTTTTGTTAAAATCAAACTAAGTTTAATTTTGGACCCTTTGGACCTTAATGTAGACCAATTTAAAAAACGGGACCCAAAATTAAAAATCTAAAAACACGGTTAGATTTGGCATATCAAAGAACCCCAATAATTCAATTTTTGATGAAATCAAACAAAGTTTGATTTTGGACCCTTTTGACCTCAATATGAACCAATTTGATAGCGGGCCCACAAATAAAAAATCTAAATACAAGGTAAGATTCAGCATATCAAAGACCCCATATATTCAATTTTTGTTGAAATCAAACAAAGTTTAATTTTGGACCCCAATTTGGACCAACTTGAAAACTTGGCCAAAAATCTAAAATCTAAATACATGTTTAGATTCAGCATATCAAAGAACCCCATATATTCAATTTTTGTTGAAATCAAACAAAGTTTAATTTTGTTGGACCCCAACTTGGACCAATTTAAAAAACGGGACCCAAAATTAAAAATCTAAATACACGGTTAGATTTGTCATATCAAAGAACCCCAATAATTAAATTTTTGATGAAATCAAACAAAGTTTAATTTTGGACCCTTTTGACCTCAATATGAACCAATTTGATAGCGGGCCCACAAATAAAAAATCTAAATACATGGTAAGATTCAGCATATCAAAGAACCCCATATATTCAATTTTTGTTGAAATCAAACAAAGTTTAATTTTGGACCCCAACTTGGACCAACTTGAAAACTGGGCCCATAATCAAAAATCTAAACACATGTTTAGATTCAGCATATCAAAGAACCCCAAGAATTCAATTTTTGTTAAAATCAAACTAAGTTTAATTTTGGACCCTTTGGACCTTAATGTAGACCAATTTAAAAAACGGGACCCAAAATTAAAAATCTAAATACACGGTTAGATTTGGCATATCAAAGAACCCCAATAATTAAATTTTTGATGAAATCAAACAAAGTTTAATTTTGGACCCTTTTGACCTCTATATGAACCAATTTGATAGCGGGGTCCACAAATAAAAAATCTAAATACATGGTTAGATTCAGCATATCAAAGAACCCCATATATTCAATTTTTGTTGAAATCAAACAAAGTTTAATTTTGGACCCCAATTTGGACCAACTTGAAAACTGGGCCAAAAATCAAAAATCTAAATACATGTTTAGATTCAGCATATCAAAGAACCCCATATATTCAATTTTTGTTAAAATCAAACAAATTTTAATTTTGGACCCTTTGGACCTTAATGTAGACCAATTTGAAAACTGGATCCAAAATTAAAAATCTAAATACATCGTTAGATTCGGCATAACAAATAAATAAATGTGGTCAAAGATTTTACAAATCTAATGCGCCATACTGTGCAATTAAAGATTACTTCTTGAAATTTTTCAATATTTGAAATTTGAAAAAAAATAATATTTGAAGAATAATTCTTTTTAATTTCTGAAATCTGAAATGAGAAAAAATTGACCCCCCACAATTTCTTTTTACCCCCCCCCCCCCCCCATTTTTTCCCCCAAACCATAATTACCCATTTAAATTTACCATAGTGCTAACTTAATCTATTTTATAATAGAATTTAAAATATAGTGTCAAATCTTTCATATGGATTTTTTTGTAGTGTGTCAATCTATAATTTTGTAGCATCTAAATATTAACTGTTCCGAAAGCCTTATAACCTTTAACCTTACCTTCACCAGATGAAACAGAATCACTGTCAGTACTAAACAACCAATCAAGTCCCACAGTACTACTTTTCTGAGAAGCACCATCAATGTCCTTCACCTTTTGTGATTGTTTATGAGATAAAGGTAGGTCTTTAGGTTTACTACTTTTTCCCGACTGGTGTTTATCTGCATAAATTTTATGGATATCGCCTGCACTATTAGGTCTTGATTTCTTTTTATATGTTTTCTCTTTCTTTGGTACATCACATGAACTATTTTTAGATGTTGATTGTTTGTCTTTAGACATTTTGCTTCCTTTTTCCTCTTCACAGTCTTTAGTTCTACTACTGTCTTTTGCTTCTTTTTTACTTGAATGTGATTTTAAGTCTAAACCACAGCCTGCTGAAAAAGCTTTTGGTTTAAAAGGCATGAATGCACCATCTTGGGACATACTTCTTCTATACTTTGGTTTATCAGCTTCATCATCAGCATCCATTTTTTCTGAAATATCATCTCTCCTTGCATGTTTTGGACTTGACTCTAATTCAACAATCATCATCTCACAATTTGGTCTACTATGTTTTCTTTGTCGTATGATACACTCACTTCTAGGTCTAAACATATTACCACTCGCAATTTCATCATTAATATCAATTTTAACTTCCGATAATTTTGTACCTTGGGGAAGTGACATGTTAGATCTGTTTTGTCTTGGTCTTTCACGATAGTATTCACCTCTTTCAACATCACTCTGAGCTCGTCTTACAGCTTTGCGTCTCTTTTTAATTCGATGTTTACCATGAGGAGACATATCGGAATCAGAATCTTCATGTTTATGATTGACAGCTTTGATTTCTCCTTCCTCTAATTCTCCATCAGAAATGTGATGATTTATTTCTACATGAGCTGTTGTGGTAATCTGACTACCTCCTGCTAAATCTTTGTCAGAACTATCCTCTGTAATAGAAAACAAAATGAAAATATTCAAAACATTTCTGATAAATCAAACCCCTGTTTTTTCTCAGAATGACGAAATGCCTCACAGTTTTCTTAAGACAAAAAGAACATCAATACATGTATTTGTAAAAGACCTTTAACAAATTTATGTCATTTAATTATGTCTGTATATTTACAGATAGGGCTGACTGATTGTTATACATGTAGATTCAAATAAAGTCTTTAAAATGGCAATATTTTTTTTCAGTTTCAGAAATAACAAGCATTCTGAGAGTATTGCATGGCAATACATAGTCCATTACCGGGTAAAAATTCATTATACTGGAACAAAATGCTAACTTGTTATATAACTTGCCATGGTGTAAACAAAAAGTAAATATCATGTCAATATCTTCAAGCATGACTTAAAACAGTGTGGAAAACTGATTATATGAGTGAATTTTTCAAGTCCAAGGACCATAACTCTGCACAAAATTATTAGACCGAAACAAAAATTTGATATGTAACTTGTCATGATAAAACTATATACCAATTATCAATCAATATCGTATAAGCATGATGAAAAAAACATTAGATATGATTAATAGTTCTCTAAAATTAGATATGATGTAAAACAGTGTATATCTATTTTCAAATTATCATCAAATATAATTAATAGTTCCAAATATTTTTTCTTTCATTTGTCACAAACTAATATAGATTTGTAACTTATCTATAAAATGTCAAAAACTTTTATCTACACAATGTAATGTATTGAAATATATACATAATAAAAATAGATTATTATCTAATTAAAGGATTTTTCTTCATAATTTTTTTTTATATATATAGCATTCAGAAAATGAGTTTATACTAAATCACTAACAAACCTGCCAAAAAAATTCTTCAAATAATTGAACAAAGAATGTCTTTTAAAAAATTTGTTATCTCCCTTTGTACAGAAATATGGTTTAACATAGTACTCTAACATTAGATCTGGTCCAGAGTAATGGTCCATAACTCTGGATTAAATCATCAGACTGGAACAAAATTTGAACTTGATCTATAACTTGTCATGATAAAACTATACCAAATATCAAATCAACATCTTCAAGAACAGTGAGTGGTCTAAGTAGTTACTACTGTAATCACTAGCCAGTCAACACTGAGGTTGTGAGTTCGAACCCCACTCGTGCGGGTGCACTCGTCTCCATTCTTAATTGACTAGGATTGCCAGTTTTCCTATCGAAGGTCGGTGGTTTTCTCCGGGCACTCCGGCTTCCTCCACCAATAAAAACTGGCCGCCACGAAAATAGCCCAAAAGCGGTGCTTAAAAGTGGCGTTAAAACGCCAAAAATCAAATCAAATAAAATCTTCAAGAACAAAGAAAAAAAGTGTGGAAAGCTGATTTGCCGGACTGACAGAAGGACAGACAGACGGACAGAGTGCAAACCTAAAGTCCCCTTTGACTTCGTCGGTAGGGGACTAAAAAGTAATGTTTCAGAGTTTAAAGTATAATAAAATGCTCCACAGGGCGCAGCTTGATACGACCGCAGAGGTCGAACCCTGAACAGTTGGGGCAAGTATGGACACAACATTCAAGCTTGATACAGCTCTGAATTTGGATTGTGATTAAATATTTGACACAGCATAGGTTTCTGACACAGAATGAATGTGGTCTAAGAATTTAAAAATTTTAAATTGGACATTCACCTATTATGGTCCAATATCCAAAATCTAAATACATGGTTAGATTCAGCATATCAAAGAACCCCAAGAATTCAATTTTTAATGAAATAAAACAAAGTTTAATTTTGGACCCTTTTAACCTCAATGTGGACAAAGTTGATAATGGGGACCAAAAATTAAAAATCTGAATACATGGTTAGATTCAGCATATCAAAGAACCCCAAGAATTCAAGAATAAAACCCCACTGAAATTGGTCAAGAAATAAGCAATTTATACGAAGTATCTTCTTTTGCACAATACTGTGCAATTGAATATTTCTTGCTATTGCACAATACTGTACAATTGACAAGTTCTAGCTATTGCGCAATATTGTGCTATTGGATATTTCTTGCTATTGCACAATACTGTGCAATTGAAGATATCTTGCTATTACGCAATACTGTGCAATTGAAGATTTCTTGCTATTGTGCAATACTGTGCAATTGAAAATTTCTTGCTATTGCACAATACTTATTATATAATAATTTACACATCCTGTTTGGTGTGTATCTCCTACAATATCATTATTATTTGCTTTTAAATATAAAACAGAAATAACCAACTTAAAATGGAAAATTTTAAAAGAAAAAAAAAGGAAAAAAGGAAAAAAAAGGAAAAAAAAATAAAAAAAAAAAAATCCCCCCCCCCCCAAATTTTTTGAACCCCCTTATGATTCATCACCCCCAAACTCAATCCCAGCCTTCCCTTTGTAGTATTATACCTTGCAGTACAATTTCAGAGAGATACATACACTTGAACACAAGTTATTGTCTAGAAACTAGAAAAATGCTTATTTTTGGCCCCTTTTTGGCCCCTTATTCCTAAACGTTTTGGGCAATTACCCCCAAACTCAATTCCAGCTTTCCTTTTGTGATATGGAACCTTGTAGTACAATTTCAGAAAGATCCATACACTTACACACAAGTTATTGTCATGAAACTAGATAAATGCTTGTTTTTTGCCCCTTTTTTGGCCCCTAATTCCTAATATTTTGAGGCAATTACCCCCTAAATCAATCCCAGCATTCCCTGTGTGATATAGAACCTTGTGGTACAATTTCAGAGAGATCCATACACTAACACACAAGTTATGTCTGGAAGTTACAAAAATGCTTATTTTTGGCCCCTAATTCCTTAACTGTTGGTACCATAACCCCCAAAATCAATCCCAACCTTCCTTTTGTGGTATTGAACCTTATGGTAAATTTTCATAGAGATCCATTCACTTAAAGTAAAACTAAAGTTAGAGTGCGAAAACCAATGTGTCTTCGGACGACGCAGGACGACGACGACGCCAACGACGCCAACGTCATACCAATATACGACCGCTTTGCAGTCGTATAAAAATTACAGTCAAACTTTTCATTGTCAAATCTGAATTTTTTTTAATGTTAAATAACCATTTTCTAATTTACCTTTGTTTTTTTTTAAATGAAAAGACATATTTCTCCAAGGAACAATATCACTATCCCTGTTGAATATTTTATAAACATATATGTTTGTTACCTTTTGAACTGATTGTTCCAAAGTCATGAATTTGTTTTAATGAATCATCTTGTTGTTGATCTATACTGTCAGTTTCATGCTCAGCCAAGGGAGCCTGACTACCTTTACCTGCAAATCACAAACACAACTATTGTGTATATCATCATCATGAATGCAACTCCCTTAATCTCAGACTTCCTGGGAAGCAATTATAATCTGTATCATGTTGTCCATAAAAAATATGTCAACATTTGTAATAACTATATACATATATTAAAATCAAGTTTTTGTCAGACTGTTTACATTTTTTCAAGGTGTCTATCATAACAATTAGTAACAGTAAGAATGTGATCATCAAATACTAAGTTTATGTAGCCAGATGCTAACTTTTACCTGTACAATATTTTTGTCTAAAATGTTTACCTTGTTTGTTGATTAGATTAACTTCCACTTGACTATTTTTCTCTTCACTTGAATTACTAGGATCAGATGTAGTAATATTTATATCATCCAGTCGTCGTATTGTTGCCATTTCTATTGCCTCCCCTTCTATGGACATCTGTACTGGTACTGAATTACTGCTAGATCTATAAAAATATTGATAAAATGTTTCAAAGAGAAAAACAAATCTAAAGGAGGGGTGACAACTGCAGAGAATACTGATATTTTTTATGAAAGGGACATAATTAGGTAAAAAATATGCCAACCAGAGCAAAACTCATAAGTGGTATGTAATTACCACCCTCTTTGAAATTAATTGGCATATCAAATATCAGCACAAAATCCCTACAGAGCAGCAAACTCATATTTTTATGAAATTGATTTCAATAGTCAAATATCCAAATAAGGCACAAAAAAAAATTTTAACAACTCATTACATATATATTAAATGTTATTCCAATATTTGTAAAGAAGGCTGACAATGACCATTCAATTAGGGTCATACAGACAGACTGTTCAAATACACATTGTGTAGGTTTCAACTTAATGTATTAATAAACAAGTTTTAATCTGATATAAATACTTCAACAGTAGCAGATGGATGGACAGACACACAGTTGAACAGATGTCCAAGCAAACACATACCCCCTTTACTTCCACAATTTCAGTAAGGGATTTAATATACATAAACTGTTGACACAGAGATATGTTCCACCTTTATGATGTTTTGATACTATAATGCAATTCTTTAAACTTTAGCATGTTAACTATGCAAAACATTCAAAGTCAATGAACCATGACTGTAGGTGCAGGGTCAAATAATCTCTGAATAAATGAGAAATGCCAATTGCTAATACAACTGCATACCAAATACCATGTTGACCTACCACTAGTGGTTCCACTTAAATTGACCAAATCACAAACTAATACATTGTTTACGCCACTGCTGCTGGTAACAGCACACCTTGTCTCCCTTTATTGATTTTGTTGAGGGGAGGCAAAAAATGTTTAAATGATAGTGAATTTACAATTTTTTTAAAAGAAATCCATTAACAGCACATTAAAATGACTGTAACACCAGTGACATTATAATACAAACCCAATAACTGCTGGTTTGTTTTCTTTATTTTCCTCTTCATTTTTGTCTGATTTGTCTTCTATAACTTCACTAGTATCGAACATATGATGTATTCTAAAGTTGAATATCTTGATGATGGTGAATATAGCTCCTATTACACAGCAATATATTGTCCAAACTACCAGGGATGGTTCCAATGTCTGAAAATAACCAGAAAAAACACAAATTTGATATCATCAAAACTCTGATTCTTAGTTCTTATTATAAAAGGGGGAAAAAAAAGGGAGAATGTGTCCATGGGACACAAATGATGCCCCTGCTTGCATATAACGTCATAAAGGGGCATAGCTCCAGAACGGTAACAGTGATGCCAGTCCAATTTGAAAATTGATCTGAGTTTTGTAATAATAAGCATTGAGTATAAGTTTCATAACATTTCGTTTAGGCATACTAAAGTAAGAGAAAAGAAACCAATTTTGGGACGTACATACAGACAAGGGTAAACCTTAATGCCCTCTTTGCTACAACGGAGCACAAAAATGTTATACATATCCATTATGCGAAAGAATCAATACATAAGTATTCTGAAATCAGAAAACTGATGAGAGATGAATTTGAAGTATAGCATGCTCACATAAAGCTAAGTATATGTAAACAGAATGGGTGTCTTAAACCTACACCAACATTTGATGATATATATGTAGGACTCTAAAGTGCGATGGTCACGCTAAAGTGCGATGGTTTACGCTAAAGTACGATGGTGAATCACGCTAAAGTGCGATGGTTGTTTGTTTGCTAAAATACGATGGTATGTCACGCTAAAGTGCGATGGATGAATAGGATAAGGTTCGAGGACTTAAAACGTTAAACACATGGCTGTTAAAAAATAGTCTTTTTTCAAAAGCTAGTAGGCTCAGGTATAACATATGTGATAGATTGTATTATAATTTACCGGTAGGCTTAAGTGGTTGTTTCTAACTCTAGAAGACCGACCACGCAATAATTGCTAAAACGGTAATATATAGGTGTCACAAAATACTTTATTTCCTGTAAATGTAACAATTGGGGCGTATTTAATATTTGGATAATTAGCGTAGGTTGCCGTTCACAAAGTCTATCAGTAATGTGAACACCTCCCCTTACAGTCGTCATTGTAAATAACAAATACAAAATTCATTCACTGTCGGAATAAGTAACATTTATTAGTACAAGCTTTATTATCAATGCGAGAGAAAGGCAATGTTCGCCGAGCTTTTTTTTCCTCCTTTTTCGTAGCGAGTGCAAATACATATTATATTTTCCAACAATGTACAAACTAATGTTTTTAATAGCCAAAAATTTATAATTTACTTTTGAAAACATGTACACAATTTTATTTAGGGGCCAGCTGAGGACCACCTCCGGGTGCGGGATTTTCTCGCTGCATTGAAGACACATTGGTGGCCTTCGGCTGTTGTCTGCTCTTTGGTCGGGTTGTTGTCTCTTTGACATATTCCCCATTTCCATTCTTAATTTTACCTTTATTTTACCGACGTTACTTTTCAATAAAATCGAAAATATTTTAACGGGGACCGCAAAGTAAGCTTCAACGTAAACAATGATTTAAATGTATCCGTTCGCTTCCAATGGAAACAGGGTACTTTTGCGTATACTAGAGGGGCGAAAGATACCAGAGGGACAGTCAAACTCATAGATCGAAAATAAACTGACAACGCCATGGCTAAAAAATAAAAAGACAAACAGACAAAATATAGTACACAAGACACAACATAGAAAACTAAAGACTAAGCAACACGAACCCCACCAAACACTGGGGGTGATCGCAGGTGCTCCGGAAGGGTAAACAGATCCTGTTTCACATGTGGCAGCCTATTTTGTATCTATATAGTAAAATGGTTGACTGTAGGAGACAATTCCTTCTTCCAGCACCCGAAAAAAACACATTTGCTTCAGCCGAAAAAGCACGGTTAGGTCTAAAATTAAGTCATGGACATTTGGTTTAAAAGTTGTTTCAAAATCAAATATTCAAAATCTATCTTCCGGCATGTTCATTTTTGGTTTGTATAAACGACTGTTAACGTCATAATCCAACTACGTTTCTTACGTCTATACTTTCGCGGACCATCTGACTTTAGCGTATGGAGGCATCGCACTTTAGCGCAGACCATCGCACTTTAGTGTGACCATCGTACTTTAGCGTCCCCATCGCACTTTAGAGTCCTACATATATATACAAAATATATATGTAAATTTAAGCATCTTACAATTACCCTAAGTTACAAAATTAGAAATAAATAATGCAACAGAACACTAAATACTTGAAAAAATTAGATTTTTTAACTTACGTGAAAGTTAAAAAACGTAAACAAATATACGAACAAAAATAAAATTTAAAGATTGGCAAATATATTTTTGTTTACCAGCTATGATTACAGAAGTGTTTGTACATATTGAGCTGCTTGTGGATTTTTTGTCATAATATAAATTATATATCATTATGATAATGAATCAACATGGCTTACACTTTTTCAGCATCATTGGCAGGGTATGACATAAGAGGTTATTCCATTGCCCAGGACAATTGAATGTTATTCTCAATCAAGTAAAAGCTGAAGTGTACTTGTCTGGTGGGCAAGTAAAGAAATAAAATCAAAAACATGGAAAATACAGAATCTAGCCTCATTTATTTCTCTTGTTATCAATAATCATCATCACAATCAGCCCTGACAATAAACTCATATTCACTGATTTTTAGTAAACCCTGTATTCATAAACAGCCAAATCAATGATTAACACACATTTTGATGGACCAATCATGAGAAACCTAGCTAATTTAGGAAAGTACTGAAGAATGTGAGACATAATGTATATAATCAAGGTCACCTTCAATCAAAAGTGAAATCATGGAAATTTTTGAGATTCTTTATCATGTTTATGGGTAAAAAATATGTCCATTTTCTGTATTCTTATGCTATTTAGTGTATATCAAAACTGAATCAGTGTTTTTCCCAGACTTGAGATGGGTATAGCAGCTTATGCTGGGGAAACCTTTAAGTGGTATTTAAAATAAAATTAAACCTGGACAGGATGGATGGATTTTGTGCCAAAATGGCAGTTTGGAAATTTCTTAAGCAAAGTACAAAATTTGGACAAGTGATTGGTTTTTTTTGGAAAAGTAAAATATCATGGTTTAGTTGTTAAAGAGTTAAGGTTGAACCTTGTATAGATAACATTCTTTTCTTTTTAATCAAAAAAGGAGAAGCAGTATGACTTTAGAGAGAAATGTCACACCCTCATAAATATAATGGAGGATCACTCACATTTGCATGACTTGAAAAGAAATTGTGTTAAAAAAACATTAAATGTACAGTGCATGGACATAAGAATTCCTCTCCTACATTTAATACAAATATAATATGATATTTCATATAATAACACACTAAAATAAAACTTTAAGCCATAAATGGCTGAATTTGTTTAAACCTTGTGTTGAAAGGTAGTAGAATAGTCTGAAGTTTATTAGATTTTTCTGTCATAATTTTGTTTTCTGTTGCTTTTGTTTTCTCATGAAATAAAAATGCATATTTACCATTAAAGTAAGTTGAACAACATGTATTTGGCAAATTTCCTGACAAAAAATTATATATATAAGGCAGCTTCCATATAATAAGTAAAAAAACTCCCATAAGTATGTTTGGCATTAATCAACACCAATGAACTTGTGTTTTGGAATACATGTTATACTAATATATAAATAAAGACTTTTTGACAAAAAATAAATCTATTCACATCATATTTTTTTAAATGAAAGACACGTCAAATATAAAGTTGCTATCATAAGAAAAATTCGTAAGGGTTCCGCGGAACCCAGTGTCTCGCCTACTTTTTCTGTTAATCGCAGGCTCAACAAAAATGAGGAAGTAAATCAATAAAAATATTCCTCTTGATACTATCTTTTGATTGTAAGAAGCTTCTGTCCAAGTTTGGTAAAAATCCAGGATAGTTTATGAATCTAATAAATGTTTAAAAACTTTAACTGCAGACTGAATGTAATGTTAACTGGAAGAAAAAAAAAATTCCCTTCTAGATACTAGCATTTGACCATAAACAAGCTTCTGTCCAAGTTTGGTACAAATCCAAAATAGTATAAGAAAGTTATTAAAATTTTAAAAACTTTAACCACAGAGTGAATGTGTTGTTTCCTGGCAGAAAATCTAAGTCCATTTAAAAGTAAAATACTGAAAAAATGGATTTATTTTTTTACAAAATTTCCTTCTAGATACTAGCTTTTGATCATAAACAAGCTTCTGTCCAAGTTTGGTAGAAATCCAGGATAGTTTAAGAAAGTTATTAAAATTTTAAAAACTTTGACCACAGAGTGAATGTGTTGTTTCCTGGCAGAAAATCTAAGTCCATTTAAAAGTAAAATAAGAAAAAAATGGATTTTTTGTTTTACAAAATTTACTTCTGGATACTATCTTATGATCATAAACAAGCTTCTGTCCAAGTTTGGTAGAAACCCAGGATAGTTTAAGAAAGTTATTAAAATTTTAAAAACTTTAACCACAGAGTGAATGTAATATTTCCCGGCAGAAAAACTAAGTCCATTTATAAGTAAAATACGGAAAAAATGGAATTTTATTTTTACAAAATTTACTTCTGGATACTATCTTATGATCATAAACAAGCTTCTGTCCAAATTTGGTAGAAATCCAGGATAGTTTAAGAAAGTTATTAAAATTTCAAAAACTTTAACCACAGAGTGAATATTTGTGGACGCCGCCGACGACGACGACGGAATGTAGGATCGCTATGTCTCGCTTTTTCGACTAAAGTCGAAGGCTCGACAAAAAGGACAGACATTTTGACAGAAAATTCTTATGTTAGCAACATGAACATAAGATTAACATAAGAATTGACTGACTTTATTGTTGCTAATATAGGATTTGATGGACTTTATTGTTGCTAACATAAGATTTGACAGATTTTATTGTTGCTAACATCAGATTTGACAGACTAAATAGTGTTGCTAACATAAGATTTTGACAGACTTGATGCTATCATAAGATGTTGTTAACATCAGATAAATTTGACAGACAATATATATTTGGGTTTTTTAACTAACATTGGAGATCTTATCCTAATTGAAAGTCATTTTTAAAACTCCTTGAAAATACCGCAGCCTGACATTTAACAAGATTTCACCCCGGGACTGATAACTCTAATTTGTAGCTCATCCAAATGTTCATGATGTTGCTAACATAAGATTATAACAAGTTTGACAGAACTTATGTTAGCAACATATTTTATTAAACTATTGATTAAATAAAGTTTATTGAAAGATTCAACGTGTGTTTGTTTAATGTACATTATGAAATACAGTTTAAAAAGGCTTATATAAGTACCTACAATGATGTGGCAAGATTTAAAGAACATTTTGCTATCATAAGATTTATTGACAGACAAACAGCTATGAAGCACTATATTTGAAATTGAAAAAAATTATATCACAGATGTTTTTGACTAAAAAAAACAATAGATTTGGAAACAGGGATGTTTGAAATCAGACTTCACTAATAAAAACCATTATACCAGTGTCAACACAAAGCATAGTAACACATGAACCTTGTGTCAAAAAATGGGAAGTAATTCTGTCAAACATTTAGCCTTTTTTCAACTTATTTTGATAATTTCTACTTTAAATGGAAACAATCATATCCAATAACTGATTTTTTACATCATTTAACATTATTATTCATTAAAACGTTCACAGATTATCATTCAAATAACAGATAGTATTATTTTTATTTATTTGTTCATGTAGCAGTCAAGGGTCTAACTTAAGTTATTAGAGAAAAATAACATACATTTGTTATTGAGGGCTAAGAAATCAAACATCTGTGATAACATATGTATGTTACATGTTTCAAAGGGGCATTATACATCCTTTATTTTGTTAAATTGTGTACTAGTTCTATTGATATTATAATTGTCTTTATGTATATTAAACTTTAGAAAGATATAACAGCCCATAGTTTGCCAATCATGCATAACACACCCATGTTATTACAGAAAAATTATGCCTGTAATAACTAAAGGGTGTTATTACAGCTTCTCTACATCTCTTCAACATGTTCAAAGCCTTTTCTCCTACATATATCACAATGTATTTTAATTTATTGTAATAAATAATTATAAGAGCATGTAATGAGGTTCTGCGCAAGCTTCCTAGTCATTTTCAAGTGTCTCATGTAATAAGTTAAATGCCTGTAATAACTAAGCCTTGTTATTACAGCTAAGTTATCACTTAAAAGCCTTGTCTCATTGATTTACCATAGTTGATCAAAAATTTATTAATTGAATTGGAAAATTAGTTTTCAAGGTTATGTATTAAGTTACTGCACAAGTTTCAAGAATTCCCAAGTGCCCACTGAAAATAAAAAAATTTATGGTACACTGATAACAAACATATGTTACTACATATTAAGAGAAAGTATCTGTAATAACACATGTATGTTATTTTTCTCTAATAACTTATTCAAGTTACACCCTTGACTGTTTAGACAGACATTTCCTTTTCTTTTATGGAATCTGCCTTAATTACACTTCATATCAAAATGTCACTTTTATATTGGATAATATAAGAATGACATTCTTATAGATATATTACCCTTCAAATTGTAAAATGATCAGGAATAACAGCACTGGAATAAATGTATATTCACTTTAAAATCATAAAATAAATTATGTGGTATTTTTATGAAATATTTATAAACATAAAACCATGAAAAATTGCATACATTTTAAACCAGTATAGATATTGCCCAAAAAAAGGAGTTCTCACTCATGTCTGTGATAACCAGTAATGACTGACAAATATGACCATTTACAAGGTGTATTATGTTTTAGCATGTTTAGTCATTTGTTAGTGGTGGTACGAAGTTGATTTAAATCTGTAAAGTAATTATCAGACAATAATATTTTGGTAAAAATGGAGTTATGTGAAAATTTGCAAGTAATGGATACTTTCGTCCATGCATTGTATATGGCATGGTTACTCAGAAAATAAAAGTTCTGCTTCATAATTTTGTCAATCGACATACTGTTGGTTTTTTTTTATAGCAGGAAGTACTTGCATCCGTTTTGTTATTGCTTTTTAGATGTGTAATAGCTTTTGTTTCTAATTTTTAACTTACAAGATGAAGAATTAGTGGGAATACAAGTAATGACATCCATAGATACAAATGAAAAGTATTGGAAAAGATGCTTTGATGAGGGTCGTAGAACCAGCCTCCTGTGAGTGATGCCCAGATTCCTTGGCGCAGGATGTCTATCACATGAGACCCCATAATATTTCTCTTAGTTTGGGCCAAGTCAAGCTAGTACGTTCAGCTTTCAAGTCATTGTTTCAAGAATTGGGACTAAAACTCATTAAAACTGTGAGTAACAATTTTCGCTTTCACATTGGAAGCCATTTTCTGTTGATACCGTTCAATTCTCGTGGACGTGACCATCGATTTTCCAAATTGGAGTTGTTTCCCTTTGTCCATCTTTTTTTCTGCAAAAAATGTTTGACCATTTTAGGATCTTTTATCCCAAATGAATTGTTAACGTAGTTTTCTACAAATGATTAAACAAAATTGCATCTGTTATAGCGTACTCGTATCACATTGAGTGATGGTTTTCCAATGGGAACTAATGGCATCCCTCCAGTTTTGCTACTTAGAAAAAAACTCTTTTTTCTTAATATTCAACGATCTTCAACTCCTATGGATAACTCATTTTTTTCATAACAACAAAAATAGGAAAAATTTAAGAAATACCAATCACATGGAACCCGTTTTCATACTTTTTTCCTTTGTTTCCTCTATTTGTGATTATTTTATTTTTTCAAAGATTCTTTAATACATTTGTATTTCAATTTATTTTCGTTTATCTAATGATTACTTAATTATACAAAGCATTTTTTAATTTTTTCGCATTTTTTAAAGATTGTATATATATATCAATCTATGTCTTGTTGTAAGTTTCCTCCTGTGACATAATCTTCAATTTGTTGAAGGCTGTCACTATATGGTAGAATAGAATAGAATGTGTTCTAGCTCTTACCCATGCAATCACAACATTTTATATAATAATGCTGCTACTTTATTCATATAATTTTTTCTCTCCAAAATTAGAACAGAGGAGCACAATAAATGGCCTAATGGGGGGGGGGGGGGGGGAGTGGAGGGGAAAAGGGGGGGGCAAGTTCCAGACTATGATTTCAGTGGTCATTTATAAATAGCTTATTTTTTTTGGTCGAGCAAACTTTATGCGATTGTTGGATTGTTGTTTTGGTTTATTTTTTGTGTAAATCACAAAGAAAATGAACGTAGGAAAATCCGGTAGACTAGAAAAATTCAAGCCCAATTTATTGATTTTCATTTAATTCAAACATTGTGTCACTCGAAATGAATGCCCGTTAACGGCCCAATCCATTTTTAATAGAATAGATAGTTATGATGAAAATAGTAAACTGCTGCTTTATAAAAATTTAAAACTTAGCTTGGATAGAGAATTTTATATAGCTTCCGATGACTTTTCTATAACAAAATGCCTCACCAAGTTGACAATTAGTGACCATAATTTAGAAATAGAAAAAGGTCGCTATTATAAAATTTCTAGAAAGGATAGAATATGTAAAACTGTGCCATTTGCTGGAGGATGAAAAACACTTCCCCCTTGAATGTAAAATTAACAAACAATTAAGGGGTAATCTGTTTGAAAATTGTCTATCTTCTCGTAATTTTATGTCTCTTACCCAAGTACAAAAAGTAAAAGAAAAGCTAAACCCCTCTATCATGGAACATGTTAAAAATATTGACTCCTTTAAAAAACAGTCATTAGAACTGAGGGCAGAAGTCTAATATTTTTGCATGTGTTCATTTCTTATAGAATAGTTTTTTTCTTTGCTATATTATGTTTGTTTTTGTTTTTTTGTCACAAATAAATTATGTTTATATGACAATAAAGATTTTGTATTTTCAAATAGAAACTTTATGCTGAATTCGTGTGTTTCAGTATATCACCTTTGCATGGAAGGTTTAGCATAATGCTTAGTGATAGACATGCTTGGCGATGAAAGAAAGAAATCTTTTTTCTTAATTTTTGGTACATTATAGTTTTAAGAAATTTATCAAAACTATAGCCGACGTCATTTGACGCTACAAAAAGTAATGACACAAACAGAAGTATTTGAGGGAGAAATTTACCGGACATATGGATAAATCAGACTCGACAGTTGTTTCTGTAATACTTTCACAGAAATTATTAGAAAATTTCTTTGTAAACAATCCAGATTTCCGTCGCGGATTCAGACGGGGACGCCCCAGATGCGCCTCCTAAAAACAGAAAGAAGAACAAAATGCAATAAATAGGTAAAATAATATCCATTTGTTTTTTTGTCAAAATATGACCCTCTAACTTCAATTCATAAAGGAGAACCTCAACATCAAACCCTAGATTGGATTATATGAATATTTAAACATCGATTCTATCATTGAGCCGAGTGTGAAACGATATTTCTCTTCTCGAGCCAGTTAACTTTTCAATTAAAAAAAACACGTCTTTTTACTTAAATGTCGTAAGAGGAGAGGTTTTGCTGGACATCACAATACCGGCACAATCAGTGAAAAAAAAAGAGAGGCGGAAGATACCAAGGGGACATTCAAAACTCATAAGTCTAAGAAAACCTCTCAACGCCATGGCTAAAAAACCCTAAAAAGTCCACAAAACGCTACATAGAAAACTGCAGATTGAGCAACACGAACCCTACCAAATACTAGGGGTGTACTCGTGTGCTACGGAAGGGTTAGGCAGCCCCTGTTCCCCATGCCAGTGGCATCCGTCGTGTTGCTCAAGATAGGACGGGATTGTGGTAACGACATTTGGAATATTTCCGTTGTCATCTTCTACACAGAAATTCCATAACGGTTATCCATATCATGACGTCCGTATAACTTTTCAAGGGACGACTTAAACTTCACCATGTGGAACCCTTGATTCAATAGCTTCCTTTTAAACAACAACCCTCTATCATGGAAATCATGACAGAAAACGCAAGCTCTGAAATATCGTATCAACTGTGAGATATATATACAAACTAGAACTCCATATGAAGGAATGTTGCTACATAGAAAGGGAAAGTTCACAATTGGGAAGCTGAAATCATCCCTTTAGTCGTAAAATTTTGAACTCAACTGACCCTCTTTGTCAATCTTTTAGATGTAAGTCAAGAAATGAGACAGACTTAACTGTCTCTGGTATCCTATATTTAAAGTTCGATTGCGTTTAACATGTTCACCAAACTTTGGATTACACGGTTGTAATTCGGTATATCGAGAAAAAAGGTCGCGAAAGAATACCGAACGGTGGCCAAGCATTGCAATCGGATAGTGAAAGATCTGGTATCGGATCACGAATGTAATTAATTGTAAATCTACTTCAAAATCTGTGAAAAATCTGCTGTATTTTCAAAACGCGGAACAAATCCAAAAAAAAATTATGTCTGTCAAAATGATTCAACTTTAAGAGAAAACACAAAAGGCGCAACACAAGTCTATGGTATTCATTAAAAAAACACGTTTTATACCTAGAATGGTCAAATTCCAATATATAATGATATATTTGAAACTGAATCTTTGGAGTGTCAGATAGTACATTAATATAAAAGGGTTTTCCCCTTGAAACCGTTCATTTTGTTTTTGAAAACATTGAATTTTGTTGATTTTTCATCAAAATTTATCATGAAAGATTGGGCAACGCATTATCTTGATCGTGAAAGACAAGGCGTGACCAGACGGACGCAGGACGTTTTCGCTTTTTTACCGGTAACACTTAAGGACATTAGCGCTTCAAACACTATGGACATTTGTGCTTTAAACTTTGATACACATGAACAAAATTGACAAGACATTTGCGCTTTTTACCTATAATAGTTTACCTGTTATCTATAGAAAATTTACCAAAGTCATGGAAAGATGTTCACATATTGTTTGAAAGTTCTTCCGAACAAACGACAAAATTAAAAAAAAATATTCGGGTAAACCAGACATATTATCAAAATGTAGCATTCGTTTCTAGGTAAACGATAGAGAAAAGGAAACTTTTATGGATGGAACATTTAAATTTTGACCGGTTTTCTTCAATTAGCCTTCTCATTAGTGGATTCAAATTGGAAACTATATTCCTCTTGTGGTTATTCTGTTGCATGAATAGTCCGAGGAACTGTTTCAATTTGTGAAGACCGAAATTTTATTTTTAGACCACCTGCTGTACCTGTTGACTTTTAGAAAGACTCATGGTTGTTATAAGGAATTTACTCCCATCCACCCTCTTGGAGTGTTGTCATTTTCATTTGACACAAGCATGATGGGGAAAGGTTGATGCTTTTAGCTGAATATAAATATATATGTGAATGTTTGTGTTTTTTTTTATATTAAATGATTTTTTTTTGATATGTTGATTAAGCACAAATGTCCTATTGAAAAAAAAAACGCAAATGTCCTTTTTTAAAAAGCGTAAATGTCCTTAAAATTTAAGCGCAAAAGTCCTAAAAATTTAAGCGCAAATGTCCTATCAAAAGGCACAAACGTCCCGCGCGGGACCAGACTTAGTAATCAGAAAACAATATTTCTTTTACCAATTGATATACTTGCAACTAGTTGAACCGTGTAAATATTTTAATAAGAACGAACATTTTAATTCGACACTTTTCCTTAAAAGTTATTAAATAACTAAAAACGTGTTTAGATAAGTAGATTTCCAAGATAAAAGGACCTTCAGGGGCGTAAATTTTTGAAAAGTAAAAGCACGCATGTGTCTATCATGCTTAATGCATCCGCCCTGGTAATATATGCATGTGTACGCATTTTTTTTGTGTGTAAGGGTTGTTACATTCAGTTATATGGAGTGTCGTTCGTGCGTACATCGTATGACAATATTTGCTAATCTATTGTTTAATTCGTGGCTGCGCCGACATAAACTAAAAAGGTACTCGGATAACGTTATTTTTACTTGCTTGTTTGACCAGTCTGCTCACAATAGCTATACGTCATTGTACCATACTTAGTGGGGAAATTACCGATCAATGTACCTCGCGATTGATTGTGCAGGATGCCCAGCTTGAACTGTTATTCGCCGATTAGGTTCTATTCGCAATCTTAATTTGTATAAGAAATCAAAACTTATGAAGGATGGACAAAAAGACTGATATTGCTATAAAGCATCTAGTGGTTGTGGTATTATGAGATAATCAGATCCAATGGCATTGATAGATTATAGCCATATTCACCGACAAAAGAGAAACGGAATGAGTCATGCAAATCCAATATTTGCTATACCAATTAAAAATATAAATTACCATATAATTAAATAATGATTTTCGTGGCATCAGATCTTTCACGATCCAAAAAGCGGTACGCGATCTTTCACGATCCAAAAA